AGATCACGGTCCTCAAGCTCCTCGACATCACGAGCCGCAGCACCTGCCTTCTTGGCTCCCTTGTGGTGACGAGCCTCGAGTTCCTCGAGATCACGAGCCGCAACGCCTGCCTTCTTTGCTCCCTTTGCAGTAGCTCCCTTGTGGTGACGGGCCTCAAGCTCTTCCAGATCACGAGCCGCAGCACCAGCCTTGTCACCACCGAACAATGCAGCCAAGCCTCCAGCACCAGCACCCTTTGCGGCACCGCTATAGTATGTCAGTACTGAGAGAAAAGATAGAAGTCTGGTACTTACGTAGCAGCAGTAGTAGCTCCCTTGTGGTGTCTTGCTTCGAGTTCTTCATCACGCTTGGCAGCACCAGCTTTAGCAGCACCTCCGAACAAAGCAGCTAGGCCTCCTGCACCGGCATCCTTCGCTCCACTACAACAAATTAGTGCCTGGCTCTCTCTAGGAACAAAGAAGTTGATTGCTTACGCAGCTCCAGTTGCACCGGTGGCGCCCTTGTGGTGGCGTGCTTCCAAGCCCACCTCTCCATCAATCTATACAGTAGGTCAGTCCAGTGAACCATGATAAACTATGTATGCACTTACGGGGGCAGCCTGGACCGCGACCGTCAAGGCCAATACCAACAATTGAGTGAACTGCATGGTGATCTGATTGGATATTAATGACCGTGAGGTAATTTGAGGTAAAAATCAAATGAATGAATAGAGTTAAATGCGGGCTGCCGGCAGCGGGAACGAAAAAGACTGCAAGAGAAGGTTTGAGAAGAAAGGAGGAGGAAATGAGTAAGTTGAGAAGAAAAGGCCTCAAATCAACTCGGGCCTCTGGAGTACTAATACTCCTCTTCTCCCTCACGGTCTCTCTGCAACCGGAGACCCACTCACATCGACATCTGAACCGGGAAGAGAAAGCCGTGCCTATTCTGCAGACCTGTCGCATTCAGAGGAACTCACCCTGTTGGTGAAACTGGAGAAAGGTACGTACAACCGATGGAATGGCAATTCTTTCCTTCCCAATCCTCGGAAATTCGAGGATGAGGTTTCATCGACGGAGCATGACATTGACAAAATCCTAGCTGTTTCTAATCATCCAAGATTTTCTCGGAGGGCAGTGTCGAGATGCCATTTTGCCTTCTTCCAGTGACTCGTCCGAGTAGTCGCAAAGTCGGTACGGATTCGGTCAAGCATGACTCAAAAGATCAGATAAAACTCCCCCTTGAGATGGGCTGAAGCTTGGTTGGTCTGAGTTACCCGCTTTGTGGAGTCTGGCTGTGGCTTGCGTCCTATGCGATCTGATAGCGCGGTACTGGGTGCCATTGTCCCAGTCAATTGGAAACATGGGAGGATTCCACAAGAGGCGGCGATCCCCCGCAGATCTTGCAAGGGAATTCTTGTTTACGCTTACTAAAAGCGGTAAATTTTCTGTGTTGTGATTCGGCGACGCGAAGCTCGTACTAGGACAAGATGAAACGGCCAACTTTTCACGGTCCGGGAATACCAGGCCGAGACTAACTTTGCACAGCAAATATAGAACGTCTTACGCCTCAGAACGCACCTGCAACATCCTAAGTCTGTTCACGGTTTTGATTTGCGCTTCCTCGCCTCCACCTACCCTTTCTCAAGACGTCGAATCGACCCCGCAAATCCCAATGGATGAGATTCTCTTTGTCAAGTTGGTTTCGGTGCCATGGCGCAGATGATGCAAAGTAAAGTCGATGAAGCATTCTCTCACTTTGACGCCGTCATAATGTCTTGAGTTCGTCCTTACTCGGTACAATGAGCGATTTTCGCGATAATTAGAGGAGGATTATGCTGCTGTTGCCGTTCCCGTCATCTGGATCCACTATGATGCGATAGAATTGCAAAAATTGAGGGCGTTGAGCCCATTTACGACGAAATTTCTTCTGGGGAGCACTCTGCGACTTTCAAAGAGGTTGAGGAGGGTCTCGACCTTTTCGAGTTGAAGCAATAGAATCTACAAACGCAATAAACACATCTACACAAAAGCCTTCTGATCGCTAGTTGCTGTCAGGCAGTGGGCTATTGGTAATACTGTTGCAAACGATGATGAATGTTGTGATTTGACCGTTGAAAGACGGCGCATTCAATTGCACAGCGAAGGCGTGTGGCGTTGGGACGAACTCTGGCCACTGCATTTGTTTTTGCCAATATTTACGCAGGGGGAATAGATCGAAGATGTCTCTCGAAAAAGCGCAAGTCTGTTGCATTAGGCAAATCTCAACGTTGGTTCCTGTCCTCATGTCACAAACACTGAAATGCTTGAGAACTTTATGTGGGCGAGAGTCTGCCACTAAATACCTGTTGGCGAAACCCAGAATAGTGAACATTGCAAGAACTTTCCAAGGAACGATGGAGTTTGGCGCCGAAATCAGATTCTACAGGATATAGATAAGATTTATCTTTATAGGTTTATCCACTACCAGACGCTTATATTCACAAGAAATTCTCAAGAGTTCCATGAAGAAAGCTTAGAACTTTTCTATTTTGTGCACTGAGACTTTCTATGCCAATCTTCCTCGACATTCGGTTTCTGATGCTGTTCGCTTGCTACTTGCGTTCATCATGAGTAGCTCGCTACCTAATTCCACTGAAAATAGTGAAAATAAATAACAATTCATGAATTTAAAGCGCTCCAGTCTCAATAAATTTGCTGGTCGTCATACGCCCTGACACTCTCTAAATAGTCGATAACCTGCCCGTAGTCTTTGCATACTGTTGAGGAACTCGGTCAGTTTTCTTCCTACTTTAAAATCGTACTTTGAACTCACTGTGCTTAGAATCCCATCCATCTGACCCTCCATTGTGGTCTGGGAACGTGGTCTCCAGTCCCTCCAACGCCATGTCGGCGGAACACATGATGGCTTGACGCATATAGTCGAAGCAATGAATCATGTGCCAGTGGTGATCCTCGGGCAATGTTGTATTCGATTTGAGACCAGAGTAAGTTTGGACAACGGCGAACAGGCAATGTAATTGATGGGTCATTGAGGTCGTGAACACTGTCTTGTCTGGCCACATGATAGGGTGAGGTAGGTCGTGGTATCTGTGTGTATCGTTGACCCATTGAAAGCCCATTCCAACTATTATCTTTAGCAAAGTGTTCATTCAATGTTCTTGCCACAATTACTCACCAGGCATTAATTGGTTCCATGCTGTCAACACCTCATCTTTGAAAAAGTCTGCTGTGTTGTACGGTGCAAAGGTCTGGTTGATGTGAAATGTCGTGACTTGGCTTGAGACTATCCGAGAATTAGAGGATTGCTATCGCCTCAGATATTTCCAGCGATTCTCTTACAATGTGGTCCAACACCCGTTAAATCTCCTCCCACTTCATTTTCACTGGTTTTTGGGGTCCCTTTCGGAGACTGATATTGGAGCAGCAATGCGACAATCACCAGTAATAATACCGTGTCAAGAGACCCTTTGAGAATTGACCACCATGTCGGCCTTCTTGACTTTCTCTTATATCCCATATGCTTCTCGTCTCCCATCAAAGACTCATCAACCTCCGTAATTGACGAGTCGTCATGGTCGTCGAGCTGAAGATTTTCGTATTTGAGCTGGCCAGCCATGTTGTTGAAGTGAATTAAAAGTATAACGCCAGCGTCGTGTAAAGAAAGTCAGATGAAAATCAAAGTCCCCAAACAGCGAGCGACAGAGTACCGTTGAACATAGCTGTACGAAATGCTGGTCAACAGGCCACAACTGGAGTAGGGATGAATTAGCCGAAGGGGTCAGTCAAGAAACAAGTCGTGTTTGAGATCTTGTTATGCACAGATCCACAGCAACTTTTCGCGAGCCTGCGCCGCATCTTTCTCCTTTTGCGGGGTGGGAAGGGGCTTTGATCTTCCACAGGGTACCCATAAGGTCTTCCAGACAGACTTGGAACAGAAGTTCCGATGGCGGGTCCGACGGCACGTCTCCGCGAATAGACCGCATTCGGGCGATTGTTTCACGTCAGAATCTATGGCGAACTCTGCCAGTGAGCGAATCGCCCAGTTTGATCGCTGACAGATGAGATTTGCGACTCATGTGATACTCCAACCGGTCTTGAATGTACGGTATGGTCTTTGGAAGATCTTCTTGATCCACCAAGCTTGAGACATGACAGCGGAAATGCGGCTCATTTGCGTCATGGCAAGACACGACTAGCATTTTGAATCATCCTAATGGGAAATTGAATCCGGTGCCAGTTTTTGAGCTCCACCCAAATTTGCGGCAAGCCTGTGGGGAGGGTTCAAGTCGTGATTGCGGCCATGCAACCCCTTCGCTTAGTATTCTGAAATGGAGCAGGGACAATGAGTTCGGATGAATGATCAAGATCTCACAAAAAAACTTGGGGCAAGAGGACTCATCGGGAGAGTGCATACTGTACGTCGTACTACATATCTTTCCCTGCAACGAGTTTCCCGTTAACAAAGACTTTTCTGATAGACCTATCGTCACCCATGAACACCCACTTCTTGACCAACGCAAGATCATCTTCTTCCCAGCCACTGATATTGATATTATCTTTCTGGCCAACATCAATCACGAGAGCGTCGAACAATTTGCCCTGCTCAAAGTTTCCGATCTTGTCATCCATCGCGCATACTTGAGCTCCGCCCATGGTAGCCAGAAACACGATCTCTTCAAAATTGAGCTTCAAAGATGGATCATCCTTATGAATTACAAGATGTCGAGACACATTGCTCGCGGCCCGCATCGATTCCAGGATCGAGACGCCATATCCTGCTGAGCAATCCGTTCCCAAGCCTACTTTTACACCTGCATTCAGCAACTCGCGGACTCTACACTCGCCATCCTGCAAAGTACCAAATTCAGCCAGTGTTGATATCTCGAGACAAGACGAGGCGACTTACAGTTAGGCAGGTGTTACTATTTCCATTGTGTGCCACCCCAGCTTTGCGCTCAACCAGAAGTTCAATATCTCTGTCCGAAAGATGAATGCAGTGCGCAAGGATGGTCTTCTCATGCAAGAAGCCATAGTGATCATACATCTCAGAATAATTCTCGAAGCCTGGGTGCACAGTTTTCATTTTTCGAATATCGAACAGCGTCTCGCACATGTGAGCCTGAATGTGAATATTCTTAGACCCAGGCTCACCGTTACTCATTCTCCCAAGACCGGCCATAAGAGGTGGAGTTACAAAAGAACCATTTCGTGGCTGGATACAGGGAGATATAAGTTTCTCGTCGGGGTCGATCTTGCGAATGTGTTCAACTGCTTTCCACTCATCCTCGAGGGATATTTCGGGAGACTTTTCAATGTTCCCATGTGTAGCATTGCAGTCAATGCACAGCTTCCCGATAATTGCTCGTTGTCCGTACTTTAGACACATATCTGCGAGCACATTTGTTGCTTCCCAGTGGGGCGAACTGTTGTATGCCACAGTCGTTGACCCGTTCTCAAGTAGCTTTTGCACCATATCATCGTACACTCTTCTAGCCTTGTCGGTATCCTTATATGAATGTTCGATCGGATCGGTGTAGCCTTCTACCCATTCCTGCAAATTTCCTTCCATGCCAATAGCCATATTGGGCCATTGCGGAGCGTGCATATGCGTGTCAATCATGCCAGGAAATAGGAACTCCAATGACTTTAGCGTAGTGCACTGAGCATTCTCAAATCCGGAGTACTTCTTGCAAGCTGCGGCGGCAGATTTGACAGTGCTGTCCAAGAAGCATATGATGCCAGTTTCGTCGACACCGAGAGCTGCTTTGTTGAATATTTCCAGATGCTTCAGACTCTTGCTGTGTACGACACGGCCAAAGAAGACTTGCTTGCCATGGCCAACTTTCTCTGACCTCAGTTGCTCCCGAGTCTGACATGCCTGAGGACTGTAAGGTGGGGGAGGCAGATCTAACTTCCTCTTCGATTTGAACAATCGAGGGATACAACCCATTCTGAATTGATTTCGGCTGAGTCCAGATTCACAATCCGCTGAATCAACTAAGCTCAGGGCCGTCAACAGACTTCGAAATATTTGCAAAGCTTCATGAATGCGTCGAGCTTGAAGCTCCCCTGTCGACAAAGGTGGGGTTTGCCGACTTGCCACTTCGCCTAAAATTTAGCCCCTTTTCCCCTTATCTTGTTGATCCCTCGGACGAGACCGCTCCCACCTTTGAAAGTAACTGAGTAGGACGAGTGCGGGGCTCAAAGCTTATGTTGTTATCTTCTAGGGTCTATGATTGCTGCGTCAATAATAGAGAGAAAAGTCTGTCATGGAACCTACATGCGGTTGCCGAATTGAGTCATTCCCGCCGCCTATCTCCGGGTTAATCATGGAATTCTGCTAGTACCACCCTGCCAGATAAGCACGAAGATATCCGCAAAGAAGAAGGCAATAGCGACGGGGATAAAGAGTAGTCATCTTCTCAAATCTTTTGTTTTCGACCTTTCGAGAAGATACGTGGAGCACGAAGTCATTCTTGAAGTGAGGATAAGATTCCTTCTCCATCATGGTCGGTGCGAGTGAAAGAAGCGCTGCGGACATTGAATCTGGAGCAGTAGTGACTTTCATCGAGGCACCGGGAACTGTCGTTCTTGAAAATTGTGAGTACATCTTATCTTCATTTACTGTTCAATGAAATAGCTGACAAGACCAAACAGCTCAATCAAAGTTGAAGCATGGACAAGATGGAACATTGGTCCTGTACCCGCAACCGTCGGAAGATCCAAATGATCCTTTGGTAAATGTAAAGCTAATTATACTTCCAACATCTGCTCACTGTCTCCCAGAATTGGTTTTATTTCCGCAAAATCGTCAACTTCTCGTTGGTCGCATTCTATGTGCTGATGGTCTTTGCCTTGTGAGAATTTCCACATCAGTAGATCGATAAATCGCTAAGCTTTTCCTCGCTCTAGTCAAGATATCCCAGTCATTGTATTTCAAGACTACGTCGACCAACTCGGCGTGACCTATGGCCAGCTAAACAATACTTTCGGACTCAACTGTGCCGGACTTGCTTTGGGATGTCTAATGTTTATCCCATTTTCCATCAAGTATGGTCGGCGCCCAGTGTATATTGTCACGACGTTTGTGATGTTCTTCACTACGATCTGGCAAGCAAGATTGCGTACTTACGTGAGTATGATGGGAGTTAATCTCGTCATGGGTCTCGCTGGAGCTGTGGCAGATACGATTGTGCAAATGACTGTGGGCTTTTCTGGTTCCGAAACTCAGCTTTTAGTTGACTTACATCTGCTAGATCAACGACCTTTTCTATCTTCACCAAAGAGGAACAATGAACGCTATCTACTTGATCTTTGTCAATGTGGGGGTACGTAGTATTTCACGAGAAGCTCATGACTCAAGATGTTAACAGTTTTTCAGGTCTACCTTGCTCCCGTGGCGGCAGGCTATTCAGCTCAATCTCAAGGATGGCCGGTGAGTGATTTTGGTACTCTTATTGGATTATTTCCTTCTTGGTTTCGATGTGAAGCAGTCCCCTGGACATGCTCCCTCTGCTTGGCAGCGTAGTAATAATCTGCCTCAGTGGATATATTGGTGGTGTACCATATTTTTCGGCATTGTTATGGTCATCTTCCTCTTCATTTATGAGGAAACTAAGTACATGGTCATGTCCGAAGGTAAAGAGGTACCCACATCTGAAGTTCTGATTGGCGAAGGCGAGAAAGGTGTCCAGGGCAACGAAAAGCAGCCAGTCGAGAACGCCACAGCAGCACACTCGACGAGACAAATCGATGCCTCGATTCCATTGAAATCTTATCGCCAACGAATGACACTAATCACCAAGACTCCCGGAACATTCAAGGACTTTCTACGTCATTTTTACAACCCATTGTTGATGTTGGCAATCCCAGGAGTCGCTTACACGGCACTCCAATACGGCGCATTCCTTTCGTGGATCTCCGCTGTCGCCACCACCGAGTCAGACTTCTTCTCTTCAGACCCTTACGACTTTTCCACAAGTGGGATCGGATTACTGAATCTGGCACCGTTTATTGGTGCGGTCGTTGCTGCCCCTTACTCGGGCCCCTTGAGCGACTGGTCTATCATCCAGCTGGCAAAGCGAAATGACGGGTGAGCAAACTTTCCCACTCGTGTGGTTTTTTGCATCCTAGCAACCTCGATGCTTCTTCGTTGAATTAACATACCTATAGTATTTACGAACCGGAAATGCGTCTATATCTTGCTATCTTCCCTGCGCTGGTTGGACCTGCAGGTCTCTTCCTCTATGGCTTTGCTCTGGCACATGTAAGACCCCCTTTGTCACAAGCCTTGGAAACAGACTAATGGTCCCCGCCAGGATGCTCATTGGATAGCGCCTATGGCAGGAGTGGCTCTTTACGGATTCTCTCAAGCATCGATCCAGGCATTGAGCTTGACATATCTAATGGACTCCTACGAAGAGGCAAGCAACATCCCCATTTGTCCCAGAATCTTTCACTAACGGTCACCAGATTCTCCGGGGATGCCTTAGTTGGTGTCTGCTTCGTACGCAATGCAATTGCTGCGTGCATCGTTTTCGCAGTCAGCCCCTGGATTGAGGGCATGGGGATGTACAACACTTTCGTCCTGCTCGGATGTGTTGCACTGTTCGTGATGCTGTTGTGTGTACCGATAATCATTTGGGGGAAGAAACTTAGGATTTTATGCAAGGGTCGCTACGCCGCTTATGCCAAGGTGCAGCCTGCACGAAGGGGATAGAATTTTTGAAACACATCGAGAATTTCATCCGCCTCTTAGGTTTGTAGGCTTGTGGAGGCCTTTTTGTCGAGGCCCCAAAAAACATTTGGCTGAGGACGCAGTTCTTGAACACATACAGCTCACTATGTTGTAATAGTAATCTCTATTGAAACCTTTCAAACAGCCACTGCCGGCCCATATATGCTAGTCATTATCTGCTTGTTCAACTCCCCCACGGTGATCCCAGGCTCAACGCACAACCCATTAGAATAATATTTTCCCATCGTCACACCTGACAACAATGGCTGCAGCACTGTATCTGGATTTGCAGCCCCAAAATAAGCCATTGACTGACGTTCTTTGTCATGCGGCAGTCCATCAAACGTAACTCTGTGTAACGTAGCCTTCAATTGATTTCCGGACCAAAACGAAAGTGCATCTCCGAGATTGATCAGAATGCAATCTCTCTCACAAGGTGCCTTCACCCACTCTCCACTTGGCGCAAGAACCTCAAGGCCAGCTGCCTGCTGGAACAGAAGAGTCACTGATCCCGAATCTGTGTGCTGTCCCATTCTCGAGCCAACATCTTTCGGCTTCTTGTCTCGTGCGGGATACATCAACATCCTCAAGCTGTTGCCTCTACCTATATTTTCGCGATGTGCCTTCGCGAAGAAGTCGTTGTCTGGCAGATCCATGGCAATAGCGAAGCAGACAAGAAGCTTGAGAACCAGAGCATGGCATTCATGTTTGAAAGCCTCGATTCTCTGGGTTTTGGTGTGCCAAAATGGAGGGAGAGCTTCACTGTTGTTTTCGAGTGCGCCGGGAAGACCTCCGAACCACATCGACATCTTATCGTCATTGTTTTTGTCTCTGAAAGATCCCATGTAGCCGATTTGATTCTTGTTGATAGGCCATGGGTCTTTTTCGTTGTCTAGAAGCGAGAAGAAGTCTTTCGCAAGGGAGAACATCTCTTGGATGTCACTCGGCGGGATGGGGTGACCTTTGATGAGAAGAAATCCCCATTGCTTACAGGCGTCCGTAATTTGCTGTGCTATCGTGAGTTGATGTTGAGGGTCGTCAATATTGGAAATATCTATGACTGGAAATGGCATCTTGAAAGGGCTGAAGTTTAAAATCGTACAAAATGGAGGCTTTCAATAGAAAACTTGTTTCGACCTTGAAGGAGTGAGTGTTATCTCGTCTCAAACAAGCTTTTCGGAGGACGGTGCCGCTCTACACTATCTCCTAAGCTTAGGGAGGTTCTTATCGGACTGCAGCTCAGTTTCACACTATCTGTACCCACACTACCTGTAGTACCTAGGTCAGCTCGCTTACCTATCATAGGCCTCCTATTATAGGCGAGACCAGCAGCGAGCCGAGCACTACTGCATCTCCCCCACCTTCAAATACATCTCGCACCACCTCAAATGGATGTCCACAGAATCTCCAAGTAATTGCCACGCTGCCAAGCTGTTGTAGCCTATTTACGTTTATGGATTAGCCGAGAGGCTTAGACCGATTTCGCACACAGGTCAAGTCTGGATCATTCTTCTTGTCATAACATCAAACTGGTGCTGGTATATGCATAGTGCGGACACGTCTAACTTTTGAGTGTTTGATTTCCAAACTATGGCATCTCCTACTTTGCCAGCCCAAGTTACAAAAACGACAGAACGAACCCCACTCTTGGGAGACCCTCTCCTCGATGAAGCAAATGCACCAGCGGTCAACCCATCAGAGAAGCCTCAATATGGTTCCGAAATTCTTTTACTATTCCGTGCTTCGGTCCCCATAGCACTGTCATTTGCACTCCAGAATATCGTCCAAGCCTCCAGTATCTTGATCGCCGGTTCGCTGGGAACATATGAGCTAGGCGTGGTTTCATATGGCTACATGTTTGCATCAAGCACTGGCTCAATGATTGGGTTAGGAGGTGCCACGGCTTTGGATACGCTTTGCTCTCAAGCCATCACAGCAGTGAAGTCGGAAGAAAAGGCTTTTGTGCTCAGAAATTATCTCCAGCGTGGAATCTTGATTCTTGCGGCAATTTACACTATTGTCATTGTACCGCTTTGGTGGTTTTCGGGACGGCTCTTTGTCGGACTTGGACAGGATGAAGATTTTGCTATGGATACTGGCTTGTTCTTACGGGTCCTGCTTCCTGGAGGCTTATTTCAAGTCATGGCAGAATGTTTGAAGAAATTCTTGCAGGTACAAGGACATAGCTTCCAGACGGGTTGGGCTATCGGTATTGCCGCTATCATTGGTTTTGGAGCCAATCTTCTGCTCATGCGAGTTCTAGACCTTGGATTTCTTGGTGCTCCTCTAGCACATACAGTCTACCACCTTAGTACAGTAGTGTGTCTTTTGGTTTATACTACCACCATTCCGGAGTCCGTACCTTGCTGGGGTGGATTCCGAAAAGGAAGATTGACAGATTGGACGAGGTTTGCGAATCTTGCAATTATAGGCATTGTCACACAAGCTGCAGAAAGTTTCAGGCGAGTCTCTCAAAGCTAATCGTAAGCACCTACCTATGCTGATACTAAACCAGCTTTGAGATCCTTGCATTGATGGCCGCTCGACTTGATCAAGTCGCGATAGGCGCACAGGGAGTATGTATCGCAGACTTCCACTGGTTGATGTAATATTAATTTTTCTCAGATCGTCATGGCATCTGACCTCATTCTATACACAATACCAATAGGCATTAGTGTGGCCTCAAGTCATCGTATAGGAAACCTAATGGGAGCAGGCGACGTCAGTGGTGTCAAGTTCGCTCTTCGAATGCCTTACATATTGTCTCTAATCTTCGGAATCGTTGAGTTTATCCTCATCATGCTTGTCAGAAACTCTTTTGGCTATCTTTTCTCGGACGAGGAAGCAGTGGTGCGACTTGCGGCCCACGTCTTACCCGTCATAGCTCTTTTCCAGGTCCTGGACTTGTCCAACAATGGTGCGTGTGGTATTTTGCGAGGAGCTGGCAAGGTGCATCTGGTGGGTATCAGCAATATTTTGGGGTATTATGGTGTTGGTATGACGACTGCCTGGTTCTTCTGCTTCAAGTTGGACTTGGGTCTGGCAGGTCTATGGGGAGGACTTGTTATAGGTAGCGCAGTATTGTTGATTGTGCAAACGATCTGCATTCTTTTGATTAATTGGGAGAAGGAGGTAGAAGCCGTCTCACAGCAAGATCATGGGCACTAGCCAGACAGATCTAAGATAAAGCGTAGTTGAAAATGATAGAAACTTTTGATTAATGAAAAAGCCAGGTTGAAAATCAGCATGCACCAAAAATCAAAAGCTGTTATTACAGCTACGTCAAATCTATTCGAACTTCGAAACAAAACAAGAAAGTATTGACTGTTATCCCAATGGTATCTTGCAGCACCAATAAACGCCTGCCATGAACGTTTTTATATCATCTTACAATCATAGTACACAAATCTTCTTTCTTCGGAAGCATGCCAGTCCCACACTTCAAGAAAGCTCCCCTCTTTGTGGTTGTCGTGGATACCCAGCATCCAAGAACGCATCATTCCTTGCATAGCCAAGGCCTGGCGTCAATCTCTCGTCCATCGTGCTCACCATACTCCCGTGTCTCACGTCAGAAGTCGCCGACTCGCTATGTACTTCGCTGTAAGTATCTTGTCCCACTGGACTCACAGGGGAACCGAATTCATGAAGCTCATAATCAGCATTGGGCGACTGTGAGCGGGGATCCAGAGATTGATAAGAAGGGTGGTTCTGGGAATTCTGTCCTTGACCTTGCCTTTCAATCTGTGCCGCAGTAGGTGGCATGGCGAAGCCTGCAGCTGGAGATGGATTTGGCCTCGGTGGTATGACGGTGCCATTTTGGTAAGGTGGAACAGCGTAGCCGTTGTTCTGGTATCCACTTCCGTAGTTCACAGGAGGTGGCCCCATATTGCCGCCGTATGGTGGATTGTAGTTGAGTTGTGGCACGTTGCCGCCTTGCTCCTCGGGAGGGGTGATGGGACGTCCACCTTCTATGAGACCGTCGAGTCTGAGCAGGGTTTCTCGCAATTGTGCAAAATCTCCGAGTGTTACCCAACCAGGTGTCCTTCTTCTGACGATCTTGAGAATGGTGAATATAGTGATCAAAATTGCTGGCTACGTAGACATCCTCATTAGTTTAGAGTCTAGGGCAGCGCAGAACAAGATTGAACATGAAAACGGGAGATTGATCATGAAGTAATTGGAAGTCCAGCTTACACCCAGATAATTCACCAAAGCTTTAAACAACAGTTTTTCGCCGTTGATCATGCTGATTGCATTCAAAACAACCACAATGATGAGACAGGAAATCAATCCAGCATAGGCTGGGAATGGTTGCAGGCTAACGAGATAGGTCGAGAAACCCCTGGGATGCCACCGATCAAATCTGTTCATGGTTTGATGATCTCTTAGTCGTTGTTTATGTTTCCATAACCTGAAGTAACGTAAGATGTCAGTGGGCTACTCGTAGATCTGGGCTATGAGCGGCTAGCCATGCTTACCATTTATTATATTGGATGAATGCAAGACATTGCGAAGCCCATACCAAGACGCAACTGACACTACCGATGGCGACAAGAGTTTGTTTGAGCTGTGAGAGTTAGTCCAAAATCTTTAATGAGAGAGAGCTTGAGACAAGCCGCATACCTCTTCCTGAGTAAAACTAGACTGAAAATGTGCAAATGGGAGCCAACCAGCGAAGATGAAGCATGAGAAGATGAGAGCCCAAATTGGAACCCGTGTCTTTGGAGAGACTGTGTTGAGCTTCGCAATAGTACGTTTGACAAAACGATCATCGTCTTGTCTTAATTGTCGTGTGAGTCCATACAGCGTTCTCGAGGACACATAGAGCGCGGTGTTCGCAGCACTCATCCCAGAGTAAATCAAGAACCCGATCAACAGTCCAGGTAAGACAGGAACTCCAGCTTCCATAACAGCGACTACGGGAGCCGCTGTGATATTATGAAGGTTTGGTAGAACTTGCCAGCTGCGAGGAAAATGTCCAAGGGTTGAGTTGAGATTCGCTGCGGGAATGGCGGTAACGTTGATGCGGTCTTGCGATAAAAACTGAGGAAGATTTTGGTTGAACCACTCGATGTTTGCTGCAAATCCTCCAATACTCACCATGTATATAACGAAAATGATAACTGCAATATGTTTGGAAGGAAATTGCAGCTCGCGATTCGTTCTCGCTTCGAATGCCGTAACAGTGATAAGTTCGACGCCGATGTATGAGAATATCGCAAGAGGAATACACATTCTATGAGAATATTAGCATAATCACAAGGAACATAGCTCAACACTTACAGTACTGCTTCGATATGACTGTGGGCCACCTCTGGGTTGTTTCGAACACCATCGGCGAAGTCTAAATTTCACCATTAAAACGATTCTCCTCCTGGGAAAACATTGTAATGACTTACATTCGGCTCCGATACGCTGGCCAGTACCGAGAACTATTCGCGTCAGCTTGATGATGCTCCACGTATGCAAAATACTAACCACCTGCATTTATGCAGATCATGATTATGAAGATTGTCGTTACTAGTAGGACTTTGATGATGCCACCAGCAAGTTCTACCCATCCAAAAACCTGGGACGAAATGTCAGAGTTCAGACCTATGATTAAAGATGAGACAGTACCTTGACCCCAAAAGCATTAATTCCAAGCACTCCAAGCAGGAACGCCACAAATACAACATTCAATATTGGAAAAGATATATCCCAATAATCTAGCAGATCTGCAGCCCCAATGATGATTGCAGCGAGCGTGACAGCGTTCGTATACCCTGTGCACCCGATTAGCTTGTAGTTCGTGAAGAGCAACGAACTTTGGCACACAGTATGCAATACCGACGATGACCGCTAGATCTCTGTCCACAAATGCGGCCACAAATTCCATCATCGCGTTTGGTATTGGCCAGAGAACAATCATCTCACTAATCCCTTCCATAACAAATATCGTTACAAGCCCCACTACCGCGAAGGCGATGAGCAATCCTCCCGGGCCTGATATAGCAAGGACCTCCCCGCTTGTCGTCGCGAATCCAATTCCAACGGTGCCACCTATGGCTATAAACTATAGTCGAGTAAGCCCCACGATTTTCTCAACTCAAAGCCAGGCTGCTCACCAGTATCTGCCATGATGTAAGCTGGCGCCTGTAGATTTGAATTAGCTTTTTATTGAATTCTGGCACTGGGCACTACGTACAGCAAGCTGTCTTCACCTACTAACGCTGCCATATCAGTAGAAGTATAAGGATCAAGAAACGGATTCACATGCTGGTAATTAATGTATGAAAGGTCGCAAGGAGTCAACAGAGAAAAGATGTCCCATGGAGAGGCTGAGTCCTTCAAGGCTGGACTAAAGCCTCAAATAAACCGGTGTCTCGAATTAGCAAAGACAATGAGAAATATGGAGGTGGGGGACAGGTACGCGTCAACCGCAAGACAATAATTCCTTAATTGGTTACCTGCGAAAAAGAATAAAAAGGGCATTGAGCCACCACGGTAGATGATTCGACGGCTGCGACCGCAATATTGAGTCAGCCCGGCCTGGGACATATAAAGAACATTGGGTGTCCCGCTCCCACCTCCGCCGTTGAAACTTCAAGATTAGGTTGGATACCGGCGACCAAGATTGAACCGTCAATGGCGACTACTGCCGTGTTCAGATTCACGACCGAACTTCGGGAAACAGGATATATCAGCGAAGAACATCTGCGAAATAAGCTCGTGGAATTGTTTGGGGAGCGTGATTTCCGCATCAGTGTAGGTGTCTGTCAACTGGAACAGAGCAGTTGTCTCACTACCAGGCCTCAGACTAGATCAGAGAGATGGATCAATTTCGCACCACGAAAGTTAACTCCCGTAAGTCATATATGATCTTGCCCACGATCTTCAAGCACTGAAACTCTGCAGGCTGAATTGAGGTACGTAGGCGCATTCTTGTGCTAAGAGCCTCACGCAAGTTTGCGTGGCACTTTCAAAGCCCAGTTGTTGACTGTGAGGCAGGACGATCATAAATCGAGACGCTGAGTCCTGAAAACAGGTCGCCGCAGCTGTGTCTGAAAGCGTTTAGTGAGGTTTGGTGGCTTGAGTGAGGGGTGGATGGGGTCGAGTCTTCATTGGCAAGGTGTGGGTGAGGCTGTTGGAATTGCGATCAGCCGCTGTCAATACGGTGTATGTAGCCACATTGGCAGTCTTTTAATGAAGCGGGCGAACGCCTCTGCGACATGGCTACATTGCGCTCGCCCGGCTGTGCTCGCGCGCAATCTCAGAAAGGTGGGACGTGACTTGATATTCGAGCCTCTTGACAAGGCGCAGTGAGGTCTTTGAATCTGTCGCCGTCTGGTAATTTGAATATTAACGGAGCTGGACAATGACGGCAATCCAGAAGCGTTCTCAGCTCTACTCCTGCAATTAAATCGTCATCAGCATGTCGACCGATGGCGAGTTCGAAAAGGTCGAGGCGGATTGGCTGAGATACCCCGCGAGCCTGAAAGACTTCGACTCGATTGCAGTCGACAGTTCAGCGTGTATGGAACAAATCGATCGATTATCCGACGTATTGTTTTCGAAAGGGACAAAGGTGGAAGTTCTCGAGTCCTCGATATCTTCAGGATTCCTGAGCAGGAAGTTCGAGAGTGAAGATGCATTGGACGTTTACCTAAAAAATCGTTTGAACCCGCCAACTTTTCAAGTAGTGCAAGTAATCTCTTCACGTGATAGATCTCATATGCTCCAAAAGCTGATATAAATCACAGTTCAATATGGCAAGCGAATTCTTTATCTCCTCTAAGAATATCGAAGTCGTCGCTGCTGAAAATCCTCACTCGATACGAGATAAATCCACAGCTTCTCGACGTTGTTTGTGCTTTCGGAGATAAGCAAATTTCGTCCGATGAGGTCTCGGAAGTTGGACTCTACAATACTTTCGATGGAATGTCATATGGTAAATGAATCGTCTTTCTGTATCGGAAGTTTACTAATTGGACTGCAGAAACTTCTTACCAGCTCCGGTATGTTGAGCGAAATGAAAGAGCACATGGAGACCCTTGGTCTGTACGACAGACTGGTGTATATCACAAAATATCAGGTGTTGGAACGACTGGTCTGACGAATATGTGGATGTTATTACATCCGATGCCGAATTCCAAGGCATATAGAAGATTGCAAGAGAGTACGTCAGAAGATGACGCCGGTGAAGCAGTAGATGCGGACCCTTTGCGACTGCATCTCCTGGTTTTCTCTTCCTATATTGATAACTGGCGATTATACTTGCACGATATGACAAGACAGTTTCTAGAGCTAGTAAGTTATATTGCCCCGTTGTAGAGTTGCACATATGTTAAGCCGTTGACTAGGAAGACAATTTGATGACTAGCGAGCTCCGGGACCGCAGTGAATACACCATGCTCAATTTCGAGACACTACAACAACTTCGACATTTAGCAGGCAAATTAATTCCTATCCCAACGATACTCCAAGCTTCAATCAAGACGTTGAGATCAATTGCGGAGATGAGCAGCACGCTTGATCTAGGATTCCAAACAAGTCCTTCCTCGAACATTATGTTGAGAAAGTCCAAGTCGTCATACCACCTCAGAGCATTTCAGAATCGGCTTGAGAGCTATTTAGAAAGCTGTTACGTCCTTCAATCACGAATCGAAAATATGACGAAGTTTGTAAGTAGATTGACTCATGCATATATACAAAAACTTTTTGCGCTGACGTCCTGGCAGCTAGCAGATGGCTTGAATTTGCAGAACCAAGAAATATCGGCAGAGTCTAACGGCCATCTGGTGACCTTAACCAAAGATACAGTCGATGACAGTGCTACCGTCCGTGCCATCACGTTCGTGACATTGATATACTTGCCCGCAACGTTCATTTCTGTGAGTCGTACTCCCAACTTGATCTCCAGTGCAAGATCGACTGACATCATGTTGCAAAGGGCCTTCTTGGCTCCAATCTCTTTGCTTTCGAATCTGGTACCTCGGATTTCGTTATCTCACATCAGTTCTGGTTGTACTTTGCTCTTACAATACCCCTGACCATCTTGACTGTTGGATACTGGAAGTATAGAACATGGAAACAGGCAAAGAAGAGAGCAGAGGATGCTGCATTGCAACACTTGAACTTCGTGTAACTGAATGCCCAAGAATAGACGATATTGCTTGGGAAATTTCATTCATATCAAGATTTTCCGACGCTCGATGACACCTTTTGGATGAGATATGACAACATATGTGCCTTTTTCGTCTCTCGTAACTGCGACTCCATGCGTCTTGGCATCAAACGCTAGTTGTAGCTCTTGAAGTTTTGAGGGGGTCGAGCTTCGAACTTGAGGGAGCAGGGGTAGACTAAGAATTCGTGGGCTCGAATCCTGTTGAACCAGGATCAGGCGTTGAGACGTGGAATCTGGGGATTCTGGTTCATAGGTGACGTCGTAGCTGATACCTGCAGAGATACTATCCACTGGGCTTTGTAATTGAACGACAGGGCTTTCTCGATCTTTACCAATGAGATATAAACGATCAGGTATCTCGAATGCAGCAAAGTACCTTGGAAAGGGGAATATCAGGGTGTCTTTGCCCTGCCCTGGATGTTTTGCCTGTTTCATGTTAGTCAATCGGCAAGAAGCTGATGAACAGTTGCTCACAGTCGTCCATTGGCTTGTTGGTGTCAGGAGTGGCGTTGCTGTGGAATTGATATGCCAGATGTACCATCGATTTTGATAGCCATAAGTACGATCAGATGACCTTGACCATGCAAAAACATGTGAACCGTCGCAACTAAAACAAGCCCGTCGGAGCTGTCCTTCGATTACAAGGGAGTGTAGCCTGTATGGATTAGCAAATATCTCGGTGTCGACGTGTTGTTAGACTACTTACCCCATCGAAGCAGAATAGAGGCAGAGACCATCATCAAGCATGAAGATGACATCTCCTTGAACGTTAACTTTGATCTCTAACACCCTGATTGCGATCGCGTTTACAGCGTCAGGTGCTGGCATGCCGTATTTGTTGGTAGAGAATGGAGTTTCTGTCCAGAATTCCAAGGCGACTCCGACATTATCCAGATTTCTGCGGGAACAGTGATATCTTAGGATCTACTATTGATTCAGCAGTCTTCTTCTCAAGGTGAACGTAGAATTCTTGAAACATTTCGCATGAAATAATTGTTACGTTTAGTTATGATGATGCGGGGTGTGAATGCTTACTCTACAATCGGCCCCATTGTTGGCACGAAGTATAAGCCAATCTCCGCACAAGCTTATCAGATCCCATCCAAACCCAGGGTTACACTCTATAGGCCTTGGCGCATAGAAGCCGAATGTTGCACTATCAGGGCTCTTCGGTGGCTTCTTTGGGACCCATGAATTGTGATATCTGAAGTTGTGCACCAGTACTGACGTGGCTGACATGTACGCAACGCGATTGCTGATTCCACAGACCACACTTTTCGATGACCCATCTGGGAATGCTAAGTTGGTGAAAGTTACATTTCCGCTCGAAGAAGATCTCTTTCCCACCAGAGCACCTGCTTTGTCTAGGCTTGAGCTCTCGTCTGACCGATTCGACATGCTAGTTGATCTTGGTACTGTAGGTCCACTCGAGGGTGTGTAGACTTGACTCACACTATTGGTATCGCTGCGAATGATACTTGGCTTCCTCCCAGCAGGAGCCACCGAAAGATTTGGGTCGTTCGCGATATCAGATCCCAGAGAAGAGTAGTTTGGACTCCAAGGCGGTGCCGGACTTTGTCTGTACCTATTGTCCGCAAGATGCGGACTACTCAGCGAAGGAAATGATTGTCCATGTGTGCTTTGACCACGTGGAGGTGACGATGATCCATATATTGGCGAGTAGGGCATAGACTGCCGGCTAGTATTGCTTGTAGGTTGCCAAGGGCCGGGAGTAGAGCTCAGAGTGGGATAATAATCTTGCCTTTGAGGCCACGAAGATGGCGTGTTTGAGTTCCTATAGCCAATGTGTGCTTCAACGGGATGCAGACCTGAATCTGGATCTTTGGAGCGTGCTACTCGTCGAGCATCAACATGCGGTGGCGATGGTGGCCTGGCCCAGCGGCATACCTTTGCCATGCGCTGTGATTCCTCGCTGCAAATGAAATGTAACTGATCTTGAACTTCTTCAGCTTTCAGCCTGCTTGTAGGCTTTATGACAAGCATTTCTAGGACCAAATCAATGATTCGCACAATCCACCTATCCTCCGGCCTCTCTGCAGAGCGCTTATTCAACCATCTGGAGGTTGCCTCTTTGGTTACAGGTTTTCCGTCGACTTTCGTATAGAACCAATCATTAGGAACTCGATCTGTTATCGTACTATCGTAATTTACGTTCAAGAGTTCAGTGGCATCTCGAGGACCACCGAGAGCGAAGGCAAGAGCGAGGGCAATCATGCATCCGAAAGACCACATATCACTCTCTCTTCCTGTGGTTCTGTCTGTGCTGTTCTGAACCTCCGGTGCTTGAAATGTACTGGGAGATCTCTGGGCTTTCGTCAACGAAAATCTGGTAAGAAAGTCTCCAGGCGCGAGAGGACCTGTCTCTTCGACTGATTCCTTGATCTTAGATGTCCCAAAATCGTGAATCAGCCATTGACCGACCGACGTAGATTGAGCGTTATAGGTCCATCTCACCAGTATACTGCAACGAATTAGCATAGTAAAACATCAAAAAGGAAGTTGGGAGCCGGGAGCCGGGAGCTGTCTCAAGAGCTTTCGTTTGCAATAAATCCTGGTTCTGCTCGCCTCCCGGCTTTCAGAGCCCTCATATAAGAAACATTAACTTAGTAAAGGGATTTGGGCCATTTACTTATCAGGTTTGAAGTCTAGATGCGCACATGCTATCTTGCTTCCTCGTAACTCAAGGCCATTGTGTAGGAAATGGAGAGCCCCTGCGAGACAAGCTGCTTCTTGAAATAAATCGAAAGGAGTGAAACTGCGCTGACGAGCCTCGAACCCGTCGTAAACGCCAGAAAAAAAGGCCGCAAGATCAAGATCTGCAAGTGGTGATATAATGACGAAATGGGCGCCATGCGTAAAACTCAAGAAACTATGCATGATATTCTCATGCTTTTGTAGACACTGTTTGAAGACCCTGAGAGCTTTCTGTTCCGCGGTAAAGTTCTTGACTTTAACTTCATCCGATCGTTGTATTCGTTTGATAGCAACCCACATTGGCTAATAATCATTGTTAGGATCTTGGCTCACAAGAATCGGACTAAGCTATACCTTTAAATTTTGGTGCCCCTGTTCATAGAGGAAGTACTTTGGCGCTATGAGTGCCTTGAAAACGTCTCCAGTTGCACCTGTTCCTATCACTTTTGTGTCCAGAAAAGGCATTCGGTAAAGAGCCTCATAATCGTCTTTATTCGTGGCGTGCTGATTCGATCCTTCTTCGGCTAGTTCAATGGGTATGAAGATATATTGTCGTTTGAGAAACTCGTTATTATGGTTTTGTTGAGTAAGTAGCTCGGTGGTAGCATCGAAGGGCAAATATCTATCCTCTCGATCAAATATACGTCTACGATCAACGTGCTCCAAAAATACCTTCCCAAAGTCGCTCCACCCATCCCAGTGAATCCATACTAATACAGATAGCACTAGTCTATAGTCTGCCAATGCTCTTTCGTGCAAGGCAGGTTTGTCCCATGGCAGACCTTTGGAAAGGCTCTGTATTCTTTGGAGGGTCCAGATCTTCTCGATATCATCCAGACAGATGAACTCGTGGCTATCTTTATTGCGGCATTTGAGTGCGGCGTCTAGTTCATAGCGTATGGCTTTGGCCAAGTCTTCCCTTCTAGTCGCATTGTTCCAATGAAAAGCTCGCATATCGATTTGTCTTTCTAGGCTGGCCTCGAGTCTCTCTTTCGATGACCAGCAGGGTCTGGATGATCGATGGCTGAATATCGGTGGTACCCAAAGAAGTTTTCGTCTCTCGCAGAGGTTTCTATTGCTCGGTATAGTCGCTATGCATGCCTAGGTAGGATCTGAATGCCACTGGCGGTCGCAGTGACAAGGTCGTGTGTAGTAATGAATGCCCCTCCTCACCGTCTCAGCCTTACACACCTGTGTTCTGGAAGTGCTCAAAGACAATTAGCTTATGTTGCCAGCTGTAGTGAGACTTTGGCAGATGAGGATTCGAAAGCAATGGAGAGTTGCCGGTGCTACCGGTCGTGCTTGTCGGATTTTGTTTCGTTGAGGGTGTGTGGAAAGGCTGAGAGCTCCAACAGGACTCCTCTGCCGCCACGGCTTCTGCCGCCCTGCTGCATCGTCGCTGAATGGCTGCTTGGTCGGTCGTTCGTCCAAATGTCTTGAGAAGAGTCACAAGTCAAAAGCTGACCGACCAAACGAATTCATCTCGGTGAAAGAAGTGTATTTTGATGCAAAACGCGATGGACAGAGCTACAGAGCTCCCTAGAGCTTTGCCCCACTATTCGGCATGAACAGCAAGTTCGTATAAATCCTTCCGGGGCGATGATCCTTATGCGCATTTATCATTCCCCCACAAAGCGTTCAATTCAGCCTCCGCTTTATCCTGCTTGTTGTCGTCACATTCCTAAGTCAAGAGCGTTTTCTTTTTTAATGTTTAAGTTATGTGCTTAGGTCAATATGTTCCCACCACGAAGTATCATGGCATGGATGTAAATGACGCCGGCAATCTTGTCAGACTCTTGTTTAGACGAGCTCAACAAGCTGGGACAGGTACCGAACCCGTGGGAGCACCTATTCTGGGTCGCGAATCAAGTGGGGGGAGGGCAGCACTTTCAGGCGTGTTGATCTCATTCTTTCAGCAACAGGAACAGAGCAAAGTAAAATCATAAGTGCAGCGTCTTTGCATTCTTTCGAATTGCCATGGTTTTGATGACTCCTGCATGTTGAATTAAATGATTCTATGTAATTACTTTCAGTATCAGTTTTGCTACCTTGTTGTAAGAATCTGCGCGGCCACATACTTGCGAGTTCCAATCTCATCAAACCCGCAAACAAGTTCAGCCCGCGACACGGTCATTATCATCGAGAACTGAGAGAATACTAGGCACGCCATTCGGGAGCATGCGATATATGTTATCGTCTTTTGGAAAACAACTTTCTCGACTATGTTGGGTATATATTTCTTTCGATGCTTGCGCCGAGGTAAAGTTCCCTTCTTATTGTTTTGAGAAAATCTTCTGTAGCATGGTGCTTATATTCTGTCACTATGTACCATGTGCATTCATGATTCAAACATAGCTGAGTGTTTGGGTCATTCACACTTTAGCTCGTTATATGAACTGCAAGCCTTCCAGGGGCATTGTGCAGCGCATATACCATGCCGGCCTGCTCCTAGCGCTGCGTTCTCTGTATCTTGAGTTTCGATCTTATCGACTGTAATATGAATTCCATTTCTGCAGAATCCAGGGCTGCCCCCTGGCTCTTCTCCGTTCGTTTCGCGATCGATACCCCAAGGCGGACACCCCACTTTTTGAATGTCGTTCAACCAGTCCCATATCATCACTTCCGTGTGTATAGACAAACTTCCAGTCAAGTCTCCACTTGAGACTTCCCGGCGAAAACCTGAACAATAATGTAGCTCGTCGTGGTTCTGAGACCATGTTGAACATCAGGCGTGTGAAGTCGTGGTAAATGGGAGTGGTTTTGGTCTCAATCTGGTACATATTTGCACTGACGAATGAAACTAGATTTCGGAGAACTTTCTCGGGTTTGCAAGTTATTCAAACAAGACTTGACTGGATCATCTACTGAAATTTCCTATCCGGGGTTCAAATTGCACGGTCTATTATTTATTCCTCAAAGTTGACATAACATTTGTGAATCAGCGCGGTGTATTGCGATGAATGTGTACAGAACACCCGGGTAGTAATAGAACTGTATAGTTTGAGATGCTGGCGGCGCGCGCAACAGGCGCATCACCTGAGCATTGTCTCCCTGATTCTATGTCTATATTCATCTGCTTGCCTTCGAATGCAATTTGATACAGATATTTTTTCCTTTTCTTGGGAGAATCAAGTTTTGTTTCGGGTTGTCGGACAACCAGCAAAAACTTCTGCTGTTTTGCCTGCGGTTCCTCTTGTTGATATTTCCGAGCTTGTTGTGTTGCCAACGAGCATCTAGAAAGTCGATGAGTCATCCTTGCCAACTTGATCTCAATTCCCTCTCGACGTTAGGCAAAATTACATAGCTTATCAAACAAAGACTTTCGAAGTGTCTGGGAGAGACTTGTCTCGCTCGACGATTCGGACATTTGGCAACCAATGTATCATCGTCGCCGAAATTCAATGAGATCAAAGAGCGTAGGTTCTTGCCGACTCTGGCTTTGATTTATAATACTCGTAGGACGCTTTTAAGCAGATAATGACGATTACCATTAAAATTACTTCCTCCAAACTTCATCTACCTCGAGGATTCTCAATTAATGAGTCAGCGAAAGAGCTCCTCGAAAAAAATTTTTCACTCTTCAAGTGGAAATTGCAGTGTTGGCTTGTTGACTTTCAGCTCAGCCTTATTTGATTCTTTTTGTCCATTTTGGGATGGCCGAAAGCGAGGGGCGCACCCAGCCGACGGCTAGTTGCTCCTCACAACCCCATGTTCCATGTCAGCACCACTCAAAGTCTCTCAATGTCAATCCCGTTTTTATCGATCAAGCCTTCGCTGAGACAATTTTGGAATCTAGACCTCATTTGAATGTAGAACCTTCGCCGAAGAAATGAAGCTCCCTTATTTCATTCCACAGTCTTTCCCTAATAATTCGCGCTTCCGGACTTTTGTGCGACCTTGACCGTCTTTCCTCCTCTTCAGAATGGCGACTCAGATTCTCAGAAGTGGAGTCCTGCTTGGACTGCTGTCCATGTCAATTGCTGTACCTTCCATCCTCGAGCGCGGATTCGCCTCTCAAGACATCATCACTCGCGATGTTGTTATCATTGGCGGAGGAGCGACAGGTACATACGCTGCGGTACGTCTGAGGGAGGACTTCAACAAAAGTGTCGTTGTTATAGAGAAGACTGGACGACTTGGAGGACATACCGAGACGTATTTTGACCCTGTCACGGGATACCCTGTGGACTATGGTGTACAAGCTTGGGTCGACGGCCCAATCGTGAGGAACTTCACTGGACGATTTAATATCAGTCTTGTTCCTGCCGTTTCACCACCTTTCGCCACAGACTATATTGACTTCAAGACCGGCAAGCATGTTATACCACCATTCACCAACGCGACAATCATAGGGCAGGCTCTTGGGACTTATTTCCAGCTGATCTTGCAATGGCCTTTTCTCGCCGAAGGATATAATCTCCCTAGTCCAATTCCAGCGGATCTTCTCCTCACATTTGGAGATTTCGTCAATAAATATGGAATTCAAGCTGCTGTTCCAACGATTTGGACCTTTTCACAGTCGGTAGGGGATATTCTGAATACCCCAACAATCTACATCGTCCAGACCTTCGGGATCTCTGAAGTCCAAGCAGTATTGGAGAATGGGTTTGTGGTTCCAGCAGACCATTTCAACAGCGAGCTTTACCTCAAAGCTTCAGCATTACTCGGCGCAGATGTCTTGTACGGCACCACCACCATCGATGTTGCTCGCCACGATGTTGGTCTTCAGCAAATTACCGTCCAGACACCTACTGGCCAGAAGCTCATCAAAGCCAAGAAGATTCTTGTGACGATTCCACCTACAGCCGACAACATGAAGCCGTTCACTCTCAACCACCACGAATCATCTCTCTTCAACCAATGGCAATATACCACGTACTATACAGGAATCATCCGCAACGGTGTTCCAGACGACGTCAACGTTATTAATACCCAAAGTGGCACGGAATTTGACCTCCCTACTTTGCCATTCGTCCAAGAATTCTCCTTCAGCGGCGTCCCTGGACTACATACATTCCATACAGTTAGCACGAAATCACAGACAGACGCGGATGTCGAAAGTCTGATCCTTTCTGACCTCACCGCAATGTCAAGCGCCGGAACCTTTCCCGCCAGTTCTCCTTCTATCGAAGTCCTTAGCAACCATACGCCACTCGGCCTTCGTGTGACCGCTGACTCGATTGCTGCTGGATTTTATGCCAACCTTTATGCGCTACAAGGGCTGAAAGGAACATTCTATACTGGACTGGCTTGGGCTGGCGATTATACAAGCGTGCTGTGGACGTTCACCGATGCGCTTCTCCCGGGCATCGCTGCTGCTGCTACTTGAAGAGATGAGCTTCTGTAGGCTTCGACTCTCCCTATCATACTTCTATCCATGTAATTAATGATAATAAGTCTTCCATACATCGACCATATCAGAACAGAGCAACGCTCTTGATTTCATCGCTCACTGGTCACGTGAATCACCCTCCTTTTCTCATGAAGCGAGCGAACTTTACTTCGGCAAGCTATCGACGGTCTTGGCGCCAGAGGCAACATCCCGCTTCTTGTGCTGGTGATACTCGGTGAGAGTGCATGATGACACTGTACGACAAAGTTTTATATTGGTACCGGCACGGTTTTCAAGTGGGCCGATTGAGTAACAATTACGTGACCTCGGGGACCATTCCTGAATATACCTTGGCTCGACCAATTAGCTCGCACAAAATCAATGTGCACCAGCAATTTTGGCATTGCATCTTTTGAACGATATATTCGCAATACTCAACTTTTTTTTTCTTGCACGACACGCCACTTGTATCGAGATTTTCATATATTAAGGATAGTTTCCGTGTAACCAGGATGGGGCTATTAACTTTACTTCATGTGATTTGAAAGGCGGCGCATTTGCTACTTCATTGTTATTGTGTCGATTATGCTTGGGCTTGATAGTATTTCAAACATGCCATCATTCTTCAACCACCTGCGAGGTGGTCGCGATGCACTCCTTCATGGACGCGCATCGGATGAATCCTCACCACCTGATTCGAAATCATCTGAGCAGGGCAAGATCATCGCTCAAGATCAAACAGTAGAGCCGGCTATTCTCGAAGGTAACTTATCCAAATCCTCCTGATCTTAAAAAGCCAAGACCTCACGAACTTCAGGAAATGTCGACAACTACACAACCAGCGAGTCGCGTCGACAGATTGGATGGATCTCAGCCGTATTCCTAATCTTCAACCGCATGGTCGGTACAGGTATCTTCGCAACACCAAGCGAGATCCTCAGTCTCTCTGGCTCCGTCGGATTGGCCCTTTTCATGTGGGTTGTTGGTATGCTCATCTGCTTCGCGGGAATGCTAGTCTACATGGAGTTTGGTACCGGTATCCCGAGAAACGGAGGCGAGAAGAATTATCTCGAGTATGTGTACAGGAAACCAAAGTTCTTAGTCACTGCCATGTATGCGGGTTATGTGGTCTTGCTTGGTTGGGCAGGGTCGAATTCCGTCATTTTTGGGGAGTATATCCTCAATGCAGCGCAGGTGGAGGTTAACAGATGGAATCAGAGAGGTATCGGACTTGCATGCATCACCACAGCGTTCTTGATCCACGGACTTGCTCTGAATTGGGGCCTGAGATTACAGAACTTCCTTGGGATTGTGAAGCTATTGATCCTTGCTTTGATCATCATTTCTGGATTCGTAAGCTTCTTCACTTACTTTTCGAACGCCATGGCTAATCGTTGTGTTAGGTTGCCTTGGGAGGACATCTTCAAATTGAAAAACCTGACAACTTCAGCAATGCATTTGCTGGAACCACTGGAAGCGCGTGAGTTCTTCTCCTTTCTCTGCATGCCAGTTTCCGTCGCTGATCAACACGTAGGTATGGTGTCGTGACTGCATTGTACAACGTAATCTGGAGTTACATCGGTTACAGCAACGCAAATTATGCTCTATCCGAAACCAAAGACGCCGTTCGTACACTCAAGAAAGCTGCTCCAGCTGCAATTATCCTTGTTTCAATACTTTACATGCTGGTCAACGTAAGTCAAACTGCTAGATACTCATAGAAACTAAAAGACTGACTCGATTTGCAGATCGCTTATTTTGCTGCTGTTCCAAAGGCCGACATTGTCAGCTCAGGCCGCATTTTGGCTGCATCATTCTTCCACAACATGTTCGGTCCACGTGCCGAGCGAGTCTTGTCGGTATTCGTTGCGCTGTCCGCCTTTGGAAATGTTCTGAGTGTGATTTTCTCTCAAGGTCGACGTAAGTCTTCTCTCCCTCCCTTCTTTACACATATCTGACTTAGAATAGTGGTGCAAGAAATCGGACGGGAGGGTATACTGCCGTTCTCCAAGCTCTGGGCAAGCAATAAACCAAGAAACGCTCCGTTCATGGGACTCTTCGAGCACTGGCTCGTTTCAGTCATCATTATGCTTGCTCCACCACCAGGAGATGCGTACAACTTCTTGCTCAAGTAAGTCTAATCATCCAGATATCGACACAGATCGTCACTAATATAACTTTCAAGTGTCATTTCATATCCTCTAGCCGTCGTCAACGTCTTCGTCGCTGGTGGTCTCATCCATCTCTACCTGCGTCCCTTCTCCATACATCGCAACCCGACAACATGGGCACCACCTTTCCGCGCCACTCTACCAATCGCCATTTTCTTCCTGTTGTCAAACATTTACCTCGTAGTCGCACCTTTCGTCCCACCTTCTGCGGGGCAAAATGTTTACGAACATCTACCCTACTATCTGCATTGCGTAGTCGGAATTGGGATTCTGCTCGCGGGAGCGGTGTACTGGTCGATCTGGGCCATTATATTGCCTAGAATTGGTGGGTATGACTTGATCAGGGAGAGTAAAGTGATGGATGATGGGTGGACGAGGAATGTGTTTGCGAGGAGACCAAAAACGCTATGAGTCTGCAAACTGAACAATGAGTATATTCTTCTTAAAGTTAGAACGCGAATCTAGAATTTTAATACGGATTTCTGTCTTGGGCAAGCTCGGCGTAGAAACTACCGAAAGGGGATAGCGGAGATCGCATGAGGGCTCGCCGCCGCACTCTCGCATCATAACCTAGGTAGACACTAAATGCTGACAGTAGCATCTGTTAGCTCAGAGATTGTCTTCCCTCGAAGTCGGTGCCAAGATCAGTCTCTTGAACGAAGAATCTAGGAGATACTTACAATAATTAGATTTTTTCTAGATCCGAACCTGTGTATATCTAATTGGCAGACCACGACTTTCTTTACATCCCATATTGTCGAGCCAAGAGCAGGCTCACAACAAGTATACAAGGAGCCCCAAAAGCAACCAAATAAACAATGGCAGAAGACCTCCACATCCTCATAATCGGCGCCGGAATAACCGGCCTCCTCATAGCCCAAGGTCTCAAACTCGTACATCCACCCCCCTCTCCTTCCCATCACCTCACTAAACACCCCCAGGCCGGCATCAAACACACCATCTTCGAATCCGAAATCACCCAAGGCATCCGAACCCGAGAATGGAACCTCGGAGTCCACAACGCAGACCAAGATCTCCGCTCTCTTCTCCCCTCCAATCTCTATTCCCGCCTCCGAGAAGCGTACTCGGATCCACATCACGTGGCAGGGACACAGGAGAAGACGCCGATGTATAATTCTGCCACGGGGGAGCTGTTGCATGCGATTCCGCGCCCGGATACGATCAATGTGTCGAGGAAGCGGTTGAGGAGGTTGTGTAGTGAGGGGATTGATGTGCAATATGGGAAGATGTTCACCGGTGCTAGTTTCGAGGAGGGTGGTGTGGTTGCGCATTTTATGGGAGGGGAAAGTGTGAAAGGTGATTTGTTGGTTGGGGCGGATGGGACGAGGAGTTTGGTTAGGGAGGTATTGTTGGGTGCTGAGAAGGCGACGAGGGTTTTGTGTGAGTTGGAGGTTATTACGGCGATTGCTAGGTATCGAGATCCGGAGGTGGCGAGGAGGGTGAGGAGTGGGCATCCTGAAGTGTGTTTTGGGTATCATCCTGAGGGAATGTTCAATATGATCGCAAGTAAGGTTCCTTCCTGTAATTCAGGGGATCGAAATTGACAAAGTATAGTCTCAAATGTTCCCAACCCCGAAGATCCTACGACCTGGGAATTCTACGTTGCAAACTCGGTGCTTGAAAAGTCTCCTGGAAATATAGGGAATGAAGAGATTATGGCGCAAGTCAAGAGCAAATGTCAGTACTTGGCAGAGCCTTTCAAGAGCTCGTTCATGGAGATCTCTGAGGATGCGAAGCTCTTCAATGACAAGTTGTATTATTGGGCACCACAACCTTGGGACAATCACGGTGGACGGATAACACTTGCTGGAGATTCTGCGCATCCTATGCCGCCCTGTGAGGTTCATTCCTTCACACCAGAAAATCCCGCTAACTACTCCCAGACCGTGGACAGGGATTGGCTCAAAGCATTCGTGATGTAGCAAATCTTGTGAAAGCCCTCAAGAGCCTGAAAGAGAGCAGGGCAAAAAGCGAGCTCCCTGGCCTCATCAAAGAGTATGAAGAAGAAATGATCAAACGTGGAGGAGCTGAAGTCGAAATGTCCATTCGAAGTATGAATATGGTCCACGATTGGGAAAAATTGATGCAATCACCACTCATGAAAATAGGAGGACAGAAGATATACGAGGCCCCAAAAACAGAATGAAAGAGAGAACTTGACATGAAAACATCCTTAGTCTATGGTATTGAAAGAAAGCGCCGAAAATGCAGAATACCCAACGAATCGTCTATGTTGAACTTCTCAACGTGTTCTCTAAGTTCCATATCCAATATGCCACCACGTAGTCTACCGCTCGAGTTTTGGCTTCATCCTCGCATCGTCGTATGGTTGCATGGTGCTATGCTTCATCCACTTCCTGACGCTGTCTCCCAAAGTGCTTCTCCCTTCCGAAATCTACCACTTTATCTCTCAAGCTTCGGCTTCGTATCCTTGTATATTTGCCTTACGGCATCACAGAACTTAACCAGGTCTGCTCTATGCCACGGCATAGCGTGGTGATAATCGATATCCATCGACTTAACCGAGTTTGGGTCATAGTACGTTTTCATCTGCTTCTTCCCATTCTCATACTGAGCATCTTTGGTACCATGAAGATGAAAAGTCGGAGTATTGATCACTCCATCATCCTCAGCCACTGTTCTCACAATTAGCCTCATCTCACCTCATCCCCAGCTACCACGTGACTAGTATGAAATATGTCCCGGAACTTACTGTACGAGATATCAGACACCATAGGAGGACCAGCACCCATACACAGAACCCCAAACTGGAAATCAATATCCCCCTCCGCCTTCGGCAACCCCAACTCCTTCCTCCTCTGCTGATCCAAAAGCAGTCCTCCCACAATCCTCGAACCCTGACTAAACCCCATACACCCAACCCAGTCGCCTCCCCACCCCTTATCGGCAATGAGTCTCAGAACCCTCTCAATACCGCCTTCTCCCTTCCCATCCACATCCCTCCCATCCCCATTCTCGGTCCCAAGCAAGATATTGCCCTTGAACCACGTCCGATAAGGACCCCACTTCTCCGGGACAAAGAAGGGGAGCACGCCCGGACCGGCATCTCGATAGAACGGCGCGTCGAAGAAAACGAGCTCGAACGTGGACGCGAATTGGTCACGGACTTGCTCGCATTGCATCTCGAAGATGGCGCCTGTGGATCCGCCGCCGTGGAAGCAGGCGATGCGGGGTAGAGCTTCCATTGGGAATGACATGTTGGTGGGAAAGAATGACTTTCTTTGGGAGAGCGGTCGGTAATTTTGAAGAAGAGTGTGAAAGGAGGCGCAAATAGATGTTGTCAGTAAGAAGGAAAAGAGGTGAGGCTGGAATTGACGTTGCAGTGGATTAATACCTAACACGTGAGTAGTGGGGCGGTCCTCGGAGACCGGACTTCACATCCAGGTGGGTAGGGCTTCCGTTTCAGCTTTGCGAGATCCTACTTTTGTTGCGAAGAACACAATTGTGGTTCTACGAGATTCTGATCTTGGAGGACTTATGCTTGCATCAAGGTTAGGCTCATTGTTAAGTCTGGTTTGTCCTTGCTTTGATTGTGGTACTCCGTCTTGCTCTTTCGGTTAAATCACCAAGTCAGCCTGGCAGCTATTCTTATATATTTCGGGATTCCGACATGGCTCTTGATACAGGATGCAACTTACGAGACCGGAAATCTGAGAGCTTGATGATTTTGCTCTCACTCATGATTCATTACGATAGATTTGTTCACCATAGCCCAACGGATAACAGAATGGGGAAGTCCGAATCGTTCTTGTACCTTGTCCTCATGTCCTAGACACCCTTCTTGGAAGATGGCAACCTTGAAATCTAAGTTTCTTCTTTACTCATGTCATTGCCGGACTCAGTTTTCCGGAAAAGGATCTTGTGGCGGACATTGTGGCATAAACATCACGTGAGATCTCGGTACTTTTATTTCTCTATCATGTCGTGCGAGGCGCTGAATGTAACGATGATCTCTAGATGAGCATAGCCAAATGAAATTTCGAGCCGAGTACGAGTTCTGACGGAGATAATTCAATGCAGTTAGGTATGAATTCACCGATCACGTGTCCAAAAAGGGGCAGGTGAGACACTCGCTTCACTCATCGATGCTGTCGATACTTGCAAGTTGTAATCTAATCATCGATGATCTGACCACCAAGCAACATAGAATCTGCAGAAATAGGGAGCAAATGCATTCGAAATTGCATTTTATTTCTCCTTAAAGTAAAAGAAATGAATTATAATAATGAAATCTCAATGTGAAAACATTATGAACAAAATCATAGCTTCTTGAGACTTATGATGGAAAGGAATTACTTCGCCAGGAATAGAGTGTAGTGCTTCGTTTCACAATGACCAAAGCGAGAGGAGCCAATGAAAACAACGCTTTTCATTTTGATGTAACGTTCGCTTCTCAACCCCGCATGTTCTACCACCATCTGCCAGTTTTGTTTCATGCCCGTACTCGTGATCGAAGAAATGTATTAGAGAGAAAGAAGTTGGTAGTAACGAATCTAAGGTGCTGAGGTGATGGTTCTGCTGTTGCGTCGAAAGAGCCGTTTCTAGATGGGGAGTCGTTTGAGAATGATCGTGGGCTAATAAATTATCTTCACCAAAGTCCATCTACAAGTCAAAATAACTAGTCTAGAGTATCATTGAAGTTGCGATGCATACAAAATTTGCGCGCTTTGTTTATGATCGGGTTGGGAGCGTCTCGGGCACGCAGAATTCTACCGCAGCTGCAGAACTGTACTAGATTGTTAGGAGTTCTATCGAAACTTGGTAGGAATTTCGAGGGTTCGTATTTCTGGGCGTATCCCTCGCTTTTGGACAAGGCGCAAAGGTCCGCCGCTAATTTCTTTCGTTGCATCATGCTTATTTGTCGCTGTAGTCTTGATCAAGATTTTGACTGCTGGCTTGGGATCATCATTCTCATTCGTAGTCTTCAATCGCTTCTTCGGCCTCTCCTCCTCCGTCTCTTTCTTACATGACAGGGCAGCGATACATGAAAGCTTCATGATGTCATCGTTGAGTGTCTTGAACATAGGGTAAGGACCCAGGTAGACGACTGAACTGGCAGCAACCTTTTGAATATCGGTGACCAACGATGGAATTCTACTCTTTTTGAGGAATTGATCGAGCTTGTGTCTGTGTTGTGCAAAGTCTTCGAATGCAGCTTTCAAAGAGTAGCGTAAGAAAGATTTGATGATCGGCTCAATGTCTGGCAGTTCGACCTTTCCGCGAGTCCAATCAACGGCTCGAAGAATATTCTCATAGGTGACTTGATCTCCCGTGCATGAGCTTGTCTCGGCTGACAAGAAATCAAATTCAAGTTGGGTCGATAGGAGTCCGGACGTGATGACCTTATGGAAATGGTGAAGGACGTAACGCTGTTCATGGCGACGGTTTGCTATATTCTCGCAGATAGATATCAGACCTTGTGAATTTGCGGACTCCAGCCCTTTTTCGATTTGATCCAAGTCCGACAGCTTCCATTGGCTGAGAACATGCTGAAGAGTCACCCTGAGTTCCGAGACCGCGCGAAGATCTTGCTGCATAATAGATACTACTTCAGATAGCATGACTCGCTTCATGAACTGAATATCACTCTCGAGCCGATCGGCTTTGTCTCCAGCCGCTTGGGCTTGAGCCCCGAAGATTTCAATGATTTCGCAGACAGTAGGTCTCGAATGATATGTGAAATTTTGGAAGTTCCTGGCATTTTCGTTGGAAAGGGTGGTCTTCAGGAAGAAAGCTTCAATGAAGGCGGCAAATGCGTTGAGTTGTTCCGATGCGACCTCAAGAAGCCTGAAATTCTCCCGGACTTGTGCCAACATTGTTCGTGTACCTTCTTTATCCTCCATTTTGAGAAGAGGTCGTCGTTGCTCGTTGGTGGGTCAAGCTCGAAAGAAAAATGAAAGATTTAAAGAATTTCGACGAAGGTTCTGCTGAGAACTTGAGCAAAAGTTAGCGAGTACAGCCTCACCTTCTCGAAGGAACTCACATTCAACCAGCTATTTTGTGTCTCAAGAAAGGTTCTCGACTTCAGTATCCAGCAGACTGCAAAAGTAAAAGAAGTCTTGTAGTCGAGAATCAAGTATCGAAGTCGCAGTAACTTGATCAAAGGTCTCAGGTGGAGGGTCTCTGATCTTAAACTTGAACCCCGTTGAACGTCTTTCACAAACTGAATTGGGAAGAGAGTAGTTGCGAAGCTCAGAATCGGAACTCGAAGAGTTAGCGCGGACTAGCGCTAGCCAACCTCAGTTGTCCGAGGCTGGGCAGCGGTGAAGTTTCAAAGATTGTGAAATTCAAAGCTCAGCGCCAGAAAGGCAGGAAAGAAGTTCAAGTTTGAAGTGATTTGGAAAAAGATGAAAGGAAATCATTTAAGGTCAACGCTTGGTCTCTCTTTCTTTGACTGTAAATATACTAGCATTCCTCCGCCTGTCTAATAAACTTCCCCCGCTCTCTTTCCAACATCTCCACAGGGTCTCCATCCAAGAACAGCCTCTACCAAGACGCATCATAAGTCGTATCAGTCTCCTGATAACTGGTATCCACCTCAGTAAACGAAGCAGAGTCGCTCTGTGCGTATGTATCGTCTTGAGTATATGTATCATCTTGCTGATAAGTATCAGTCTCCTGGAACGACGACGAATCGGTCTCCTGGAAGGTGTCGGTCGCTTGATAGGTGTCCGTTTCTTGGTAGGTGTCAGTTTGCTGATAGGAGTCGTCTACCTGGGTGTAGGAACTGTCTTGTTGGTATGTGTCAACCTGAGCATACGAATCTTGTTGGTATGAGGTATCAACGTAGTTGTCTTGCTGATAGGTGTCGACTTGAGTATAGTTCGTATCTACAACGGTATTGTCCACGTAGACATTGTTGTCAACGACGGTGTTGTCCACATAGGTGTTGTCTACATAGGTGCTGTCTACATAGGTGTTGTCCACATAGGTGTTGTTGTCGACCACGTAAGTATCGTTCTCGTAGTAAGTTGGCTCAACGACCTCCTTGGTTGGAGCACCACCACCACCTGGCATGAATTGCTCAAAGATAACGGGGGCAGCAACTCCGGCCGCACCACCACCCAAAAAGCTGCCGATACCTCCGTGCCCGCTAGATTGACTGGGCTGTTGCTCATAGCCACCGTACCCTGAGTAAGACCCTGAGCCTGAATGAGAATGTTGCGGTTGATGGTGCTGGTATTTTTCCTTCTCCTTCTCTTCGTGCTCGTCCCATTCATGCTTCAAGATACCACCAGCCAATAAACCTGCTCCCACACCCAGAATAGCTCCGCCTTTACCACCAACCTTGCTGGAGAGATTGCCCAAGAATCCCTTCTTGGCCTCCGGAGCTGGAGGAATCGCTGCACTGGGTGGTTGCCCATACGCTGGTTGAGCTGGATAAGGTGATTGTCCTGGGCGTGGCGGCTGTTGCTGGCCATACGGAGCTTGCGGGGGATACTTGCCAGGTTGTGGAGAACCATATGGAGGTTGTTTACCTGGCCTACCGCCTTGAGCAGGTGGTGATTGAGGCTGACCAGGATAGCCCCTAGCGCCTTGCTGACCGGGCTGCGCTCCTGGTGGGATTGGAGAGCCATAGGCAGGTTGGGATCCAGGTGTACCTTGTGGAGGACGATTCCCAGGTTGAGAGGCTTGATCGAAGTAGCCTCTAGCTGCGCCTTGACCTGCTGCACCTGGATTTGGGTTGGAATTTGGGTAACCTGCGGGAGATTGTTGAGGAGGACCACCAGACATTGGTCTTTGGTTATTGTAGCCAGCTGGTGGGGACTGGGGTTGGCTGTTGGGAGATTGAGCTGGGTTGTAGGGACTTTGTGGACCTGGGCCCCGAGTAGGAGGTTGCTGTCCCATCTGACGTTGCGCTGGGGGTGGTGATGTTGCACCGTAGGGCTGTTGAGGTTGTGAGCCTGGAGGTGCTCGACCCGCAACGTTTGGAGGCGGGGTAGACGTATAAGGAGCGGCAGGTGGAGCTCCGTATTGGGTCTGGCCCGAGGGTGCACGTTGATGGGCTTGGGCTGGAGCTGCACTTTGATACGCCGGCTGCCCATAGGGAGTTTGCTGTGGTGGTGGGCTCTGCTGATACTGGGATGGGGGAGGCGTTGAATTGTAAGGTTGATATGACCCAGAAGGCGGAGGTGCGGGGTTGTACATATTTTGTGAGGGCGACTGCGGAGTTGTCTGCCCATATGCCAATTGTTGAGCAGGCTGTTGGTACGAGTTCTGGTGCGAAATTGATACGGATGCCATCGAATTCGTCAAGGAGGCTGTGGGATCATTTTGAGGGGGAGGACTTGATGGAGGCCCTCGACCAGGGGGAAAAGCTGGTTCGGTGGGCTTCACCCCTAAATACCAGATTCGTGGTCAGTCAACGTGTTCTCCTGAATTGACAAGCTACGGCCTCCAAATAAATTTATTTAGAGGCCTAGTAACTCCACCCCTCAATGTGGAGAAGACAGGAGAGAAGAAATCATCAGTCTCCAAGATTTTGACTCACAGACAGAGGCATTGGTATAGTTGTTCTCGTAGAAGAATGTCTGATACTGAGGATCCCAATGAGCCGTCCAACCCTCAGGAACGTCTTGTTGATTCATCGGTGGAGGTGGACCTGATGGTGGAGGCATCGTGTCGATTTTGCGTGGTGAATAATTGTTAAGGTGAGAGTAATGGAAAGTCCACAAAATTCAAAACCGAGTGGAAATCGCAGTGCTATTGTACCGACGCCGACGTCGTACAGCAAGGCTGTGTTGGACTTCTTTCTCCCACTGCGAAACGAATACCCCCCTCCATAAGGCCCCAAAGTTAGAACAAAAAGAACTAAACGAGAGAAACACAGCGAATCATAGCTGATGCATCTAGGGTTCAAGTCAGCCTCGGGCTGTGGCGCCGTATCGCTGCATAATCATAAAGCCACCTGCAAGCCATAAATTGACCTGACACAAAATTTGTCCTCAGCTGTACAATCAAGCTTTGAGGGCCATTCATGTCTTGGCACAGTCCGAAGAGTTGCATGCAGCATCAGCAATGAATGTACAGCAAACGTCAAGACTCAACCGTCTGACAGCTATGGTTGTTTGATTGAGCTGACATGACCTACAATGACGGGACTACATGTGAACTACACAACCCGAAACTCCGGCTTCGAAATGTGGGTTGTTGCTCTTGCACGTAGTTCAATGCGACCCAGGAGAATTTCAACAACCCCTTTTCGAGATATTGCTTTTCTCCCGCGCGCATCCCAACGGGGGAAAGTGTGTTCAGCTTTGCGCTACACACATCGAAGCCCGATCAATGCATCAGAATCGTCTCGTCTGGCCAAAGAGAAATGCTTGGCTGAGGTTGAAATAAGACAAGTCGGGGAGATCAGAGTGAAGGATGAGAAGCTTGTTTTAGGTAGATTCCCTGTCAATCTCCCGCTCGAAGCTTTTTTGGTAGCCTAGCATCTGTGTTTGCATTGCACCTGCATGTCGCTTTTGTTGCTAATTCCGTGACGTGTCACAAGGCAGACCGCGGACCATAGTTTTGCATGGTATCTCGGTGTCGAGTTCATCGGTATTCCTAATCGACTCACAGGTTCAGCCTCAGGTTGTTGATCGCGAGATATCGGTCACTGGTATTCGGAGCTGATTGTACTTCTATTCATAAAGAGACACCGAACGAGGTACGTGGAGAAAAGAGATGGAGCTCAAGATAAGTCTGGAACCATTAAGGTTTACTTTGAGCTAATCCAAGCCAATCGGGATTGTCATCATGTGATCCGACTAACCTCTCTTCCTTCCAAAGTCTCCAAGGAAGAAGTCTCTTGTCAGTTATGCGAAGTCATATTGAACACTGGTCAGCTATAAAATGGCTTTTTTTTGAAGTGCATTGTTGTTGCAAGCAAAACAAAAGCACGTGACTTCTCCATTTCCAGACGACGGGAGAACCAAATCCCAGACATCTCTCAAGAATGTACATCTATGATCTTCATATCCATACTCATTACATGAACAGCCCTCGAAGTGATTGCTTAACCTGTTAGTTCTAGCAACAGTTCAAACAGTTTATATCAGATGATGTAGAAATCCCCGGCCAGACAGAGTCCTTCTCTTCGATTCAACCATCTCCATTTCTGTCTTCATCCCCTTCTGTATTTCAGATGGATCAAGTCCCACATTATAGCCAATGTGGGAGAAATAGCGGTATTAAGACCTTTTAAACAAGAATTACTATTAACGAGGCCTGATCTATAACATTGAAAGATGTTTCAAGATGCTGCGTTCGCAGCAAAAGCTGTGAACCTGTCTGTACGCTATATTACACAAGTGAGAGTTGTCAATGAAGGACGACCAACGATGATTCCGATACTGTACATGTCAACGATCACGCAAAACAGCCATGCGTGCCCAACATCGTATCCGCATAAGAATCCGAGGATCGACATCCTTTTAGGATAAATGAAAGCGATGAAAAGTGGAAAGGGTTGGGATTTCCAGGCCGCTGGACTGGGTAAAAATTCGCGAGCCCCTCATCTCGAGAACTGGTTCTAGACCTCCATTGGTTTGCTTGTGAAGCTCGTGATTGTTATGCTGCGCATAATTTGCATGGATGCTGCATAACCTGCACAAAGATAGCAGATTTCACTGGAGGTATAATTCCGATCCCGAAGCCGACCCAGCTTTCAATTTTTGAGTAGACGGGAAGGAAAATGAATCAACAAAATAACAGCAGATTGTATTTTTCTTGTGGGAGCAAAAGATTCTCGTCTTGAAGATGCGCAACAATTGTTTTTGATTGCGTAACCTCGGGAATCGAAAAGGATCTCACAGTCTTTGATACTGCATCTTGACTAAGCACTCCACATTTTCCCCAGGCTTCCCACGGAAAGAGCCGCTGTCCAAAGTAAGCTTATATCATTTCCAACAACATCCCTTGCACTCTTCAAATATTTAATCGCTGGTCTTACTTTCTCTCAAACTGCCGTTGGCGAAAAGGATGAGAACCATGACGAATAACACAATGGCAGATTCAGGCTATTGCAATGGCAGCCCCAGACGACCCAACGACGACGATAGTGGATGAAGACACCAAAGGAGGCCACCACAATCGAAGATCATCGCATTCCGAGCATGAGGTCACAGACCACGAGAAAGTGCTCTTAGCAGCCTACGAAGGTCATGACGCAGACATTCCATCGAACGAAGGCTACATCCTCGACGAACAAGGGGAATTCAAACGCAAACAATCGATCGCAGCTTCACACCGTCGAGCCTCCCTAGGCCATAATAAGAGGGACGTCGAGAAGACGAAAGCACAGGTCTCCGCCGAGGACTCAGACGAAGCGAATATTGTCTGGTGGGATGGAGACGACGATCCTCAAAATCCTCTAAACTTCAGCAAATGGCTGAAAGTCCTGAACATCACAATCGTATCTGCAATATGCTTCGTCACTCCTCTCGGCTCTTCGATGTTCGCACCAGGTGTCCCACAATTGATGACCGAATTCAGGAGCGATAATATCGAGCTGGCTAGTTTCGTAGTGTCCGTATACGTTCTGGGATTTGCGGTGGGGCCACTGTTCTTTGCGCCTTTGAGCGAGTTATATGGGAGAATGCCAGTATATCACTTGTGTAATTTGGGCTTCTTGTCTTTCACGATTGCATGTGCCCTGGCTACGAATCTGAATATGCTCATTGGGTTTAGATTCCTAGCGGGAGTGTTTGGTAGTGCTCCTTTGACTAATGGTATGCCTTCGTCCCACACTTTCAAAGCTCTTGCTAATTCTAAATGCTAGGTGGTGGAACTATTGCAGATCTTGTCACTCAAGAAAAAAGAGGTAAAGCAATGTCGGGTTTTGTCATGGGTCCAATTGTGAGTTTCTGATCTTTAGCATCCCTTGAGGTTCATATGCCACTGTTGAAGCTCAAACCAATGACGAGGTGCTAATTGTGCATCTTTAGATTGGTCCAATCATTGGTCCGGTTGCGGGTGGCTACCTTAGTCAAGCTAAGGGATGGCGATGGACATTCTGGGTGTTGGCAATGCTCTCAGGGACTTTTGGACTTCTTGGGCTAGCCTTCATGCGAGAAACATATGCTTATGCGATCCTGGATAGAAAGACTAAACGCCTTCGAAAAGAAACTGGTAACATGGAACTACGCTCAAAACTCGATTCAGGTCTTTCTGCCAAAGACTACTTCCTACACTCCATTGTTCGACCGACCAAGATGCTCTTTTACTCGCCTATTGTTCTTGGTACTGCTGTTTTTGTCGGGGTGGTTTACGGCTATCTTTATCTTTTATTCACTACTTTCACTCCGGTATTCGAGGAAACCTATCACTTTTCGTCTGGTACAGTTGGTCTGACGTTCCTGGGTCTGGGAATAGGATCTCTAGCGGGCGTTGGATTCTTCGCCTGGGCTACTGACCACGTCTTAAAAATGAGAAGAGCTGCAGAGGAGGCGACAGCTTCTGGTGAGGCTTCTGAAGGTCATGCTGGTGCGCTTCTACCAGAATTTCGATTAAAATTGCTCTTGCCAGCTTATTGTTTGATTCCCTGTGGGCTTTTCATCTACGGCGTGAGTATCCCGTCTCCTTATAATATCATCTTGCTAACAGATATAGTGGACTGCGAAGTATCACGTACACTGGATCGTCCCCATTCTTGCAACTGTCCTCATCGGCATTGGAAACATGGCTGTCTTTATGTGCATCTCGCTTTACCTCATTGACGCCTTCTCGATATATGCAGCAAGCGCTCTAGCAGCGAATACGGTCATCAGAAGTATCATGGGCGCGGTACTTCCCCTCGCCGGCCAGCAAATGTATAAAACTCTGGGTCTCGGCTGGGGAAATAGCCTGCTAGCCTTTGTTGCTCTGGGTATCCTCCCGGTTCCGTGGGCGTTCTTGCGGTGGGGCGAGAGGTTGAGAACGAGGTTTGAGATTAAGAATTTGTGAGTTTGGCATCAATGGTGGATTTATGTTGGCAAGGGCGTGTATATATTCTTCTTCGTGTATGCATTGGAGTAGGTATGTACATAACTCTAATTATTGAAGTACTAGGTTTGGATAACCAGTCATTCTTCATGTACAGAACATCATATTATGAATCCACCAAGATTCCCAAACTGTGCAGCGAATGCAACGTACAAGAAAGATGCTTTTATTGATTGCAATATTCCTCTTGCCTGTATGCTCGAAAGTCTGCGGCTTGCGGTAGGATGCGCTTCGAAATATGGACAAGTCACGTGCCTTGACCTACGCCCCTATTTTGGTCGTTCTTGGAGCTCTAGCGAGCTATCTGCATCTGCATCTGATGTGAGTGCAAGGTGCTTGTGTATGTACAATTCGTTCGCGATACTGCCTCTTCTCAGATGAAGACTTGAAACATATTTCTTCCACTTGCTTTCTGAACTGGACTCCACTTTTCATGTTGAATCCAGTCATTTCCCCAATCAAGGACCTCAGTCCAGATGAGAATACGATCATACTCCTGAGTGCTTAGGTGCTCTTCTATGACAGCAGACATGGACACCATCAGTTGCTGGCTTGTCTGTTTTTGTGATGGATTGGTTAGAATTGGAATGGTGGTTTTAATTTCGACTGCGCTGGTTTCCAGCTAGGAAGCACAAATTAAATATATAAATCTCTCTCTCGCTCACTTCTTGTTTTGTTTCCTCATGCACTGAGTACAAGTAAAAAGCATAAGATAATTCGACGCGAAAGTACGCATACTTGGAATATCACTCAACTGCACCAAGACTTAGCAACCGACCTCATACCAACCCAGACACACGGCAGATAATCAACATGGCAGCTATATCAAGCTCTACCAGCGGTCCGAGTACTACCCAGACCAATCCTCTCCCTCTGACGTTCGACCAAATAAGAAGAATAAGGTACTACAGGCTGCATGGTCAAACCCTGGACAGCGAAGACAACATCTTCGTGCCCTGCTTCAACGACAAGTACGAAGGCCGCCACGTCGGCAACGACCACCGCTTCGCCGGCGAGATGCTCAACTCCATCGTCCGCACCCAGAGAGACGAGTGGTTGTTCATCCCCTGCTCTGACCCCAACGCCCGGAACGGCGTCTTCAAGATCTTGGTTTGCGATTTGATCCGTAAGTCCTCCCCTCCCCCTTTTCACGGGACAAGGCATTGACGTTCCGACCTAGGACAACTGTATAACCCAGCCCGTAACTACAACGAAGCGCTCAAACGGGGCGCTGTGTTCGGAGCGGACAACCACCAGCGCGTTGAAGATCTTGTGTTTGGAGAAGAGAGTGCGGATGTAGCGGTCGGCGAGCCGGCCATGCCGCCGATTGTCAGGACGGAGAGTACGAGTAGGGTGGCGTTCAAGGTCACGCCCGCGGTGTGGCATTGGATTCTGCAGAATGTGGGGGATGAGTGGCAGCCGGCTTTTCAGAAGGTGTGGGAGATGAGTATGCCGAAGTTTTTGGATGAGCGTTGGACCATTTGTGAGGCGTGTAATCCGAAGGAGAGTAAGAGTGGTGAGAGGTGGACGGTGTTGCCGGAGTTGAAGCGGAGTGATCTTCTTAAGGATGATACTTGGGAGAAGTTTTATAAGGAGCATCCTGAGTTGCGTTTTTAGAGTTGGTGTATGTTCTTGTTGTTTCTTGGTTTGTGGCTTTTGAGTCTTTGATTTTTGGATGGAAATATTGTCTTTTGTAATTTGAGACATTCCGGCTTGAGTAAAGTGGGAATTTAGCAACTCGACTTCGGCCAGTTCAGGGGCTTTGTATTGTAGTATATTGACAGTATAGTATTTTTTTTACTATAGAGCCAATACCCTAATACTCGATATCTGCCGGAGAACAGCTTTGTGTGCCAAAGATGGAATGTAGATTTGGAAGATTTACACCAAGAGGAAGAGGAGCAGGAAGAGGAGCAGGAAGAGAAGGATAAGAAAAATTGCGACATGCAACAAAAAATCTCCGCGAGGCTTCACAAGGCTCCGCAAGGCTCTGGAAAGTTTTGTTGCATGTCGCAATCTGGCATGCTGCTGCTCTTCCTCTTGGTCCTCCACCACCTCCTCCTCCACCATAGCATCTCGAAAACATAAGCAAACCAAATCCTGCAATAAGATTGCTCCAAGTCCTTTTAGCTCATAATTATTATAATTATCTTAAACATGTAACTTTTTAATGTGCACCAAAGCTTTTTGTTCGGTTTAGAAATACCCTACAAATTTTTGCAATGTGTGGGAAAGGTTCCAATTGTCCCGAAAGTGTTGGCACAATGGGATAGCCAAAAGAACTGAGACTTCTTGGGACATTCGCGAAAATGAGATTGTCTGAGTTGTCCTAATGAAGAGCATACAGAGGTGTTGTAAGGTGAATGGGAGGTGCAAATGGGAATTGTAGAAACAAATGAGCTTTTCTTGGGTAAATAGGGAACTTTGCCATAACATGAGGCAAAACTAGCAATGCAAAGTATCAACCGCTTCGACCAGAGAATGCAGACTGGAAGACTTCCAGCCCACGACAGGCACAAATGAATAAACATCAAGGGCCACGCAACATAACCTATGGCACCGCTGCAGGTAGCAGGGAATGCTGAGTAGCACTTAAGCAATGGGGCAGGCAATATTACTAACTCCACCACAAATGTTCGTACATTAGTGTACCATAACACTGTTGTCTACATGATATACACTCATCTTTGCCATATACACCATCTAATCCATCTTGCCTCCCGTCAACTCTTCCGCAATCTTCTTCATACGCTTGCCCGTAATTTGTGACGGGCCAGAGTGATACTGCACGGCGGACTTCTCTGTCTTGTTGATCTCGCTCAACATATCCTGAACAGTATGTGGCGCGCCAGCCACTTCCCAAATATTGTCATTCCGGTTGTTGTGTTCAAATGGCGTATCGGTGAAGATAGCCTCAATCCTTTGGTCCAGCTGCTCCTCGGTGGTAATGAAACTCCTCGCATGCATGTAGAGAGTATGCAAAGCATCCCGTCTTGCTTCCTCTTTTTCTGTCGCTATAGCTTCTACACGTGCAGCCTTCTCAGCAATTCGTGCAGCACGATCGGGATCTGGAAGGTGTCCAGTCTGCAGTGTCGAGTTCGCAGCGGTGATGGTGGGATTGGTGAGACGGTCGTCTTCTCGTTGTGGAGCATATAGTCGGGCTTCTCTGGCTTCACTTCTTGCTCGACTTCGCCCCGCAATTATTGCATCTTCTTTCCTTTTCCGTTTGTGGAGCTCTACTAGGCCTTCACGTAGATTCGTTCGTCGTGTAGCAGCCATGCGACGCTTCCATGCTTCCAGCTCGGTCTTGGGCTCGGATTCGTGCTTTGGCTCGGGGGTAACTGCAGCAAGATACTCGCGAGAGGTTTTGTTGCCAGCTCGTCTAGGAAATAAGTTTCGGGGAGGAGGTAGAGTTCCCTTAATGTCGATTTTGGGATGTGCTTGAGGTTGAGGAGCGATTGGCACTTCGATGAACTTGGGATTCTCGGGGCCAATCGCAGTGAGAGATGGTGTGGTGGTGAAAGATCGGATAGCGATTGAGGAGTTTGGACATCGGCATCGTGATAAACAGCTCATTGAGCTGCGAGATAATGAAGGAGGCATTGCGGATGAGGCCTGATGCAAGCTGTCTCGAGGAGCAGTAGAGCTGTCGATTCTGGAGAAAATATTTAGCGCGTATTTTAGCGCTGTCAAGCCACAACCACCAGCCACATCGAACTTTTCTTCGATGTTCAAAATTATTTCGCCCGCTCGACTTTCCTGCAGCAAATTCTCGAATTTGTAACTGCGCAATCCTGCGCGACCACAACAGCTATGGGTACCGGTAAGAAGGAAGCCAATCGCAAGATTAAGCAGGGGAAGGTTGGCGATGGCATGGCCAATGTCAAAACGAAGGGTGAAAATTTCTACAGGTATTTCCGTCCACCGCTGCGAAGCTTATTGCGACAAAAGCTGACAATTCTGTTCCGCAGAGATGCAAAGAAAGTCAAGTCCTTGAAACGATTGACAGAAGGCAAAGCTAGACACAATGCTGCTGGTGATATCGTACAAGCTGCGAAGTTCCAAAGCAAGACCCTTCCCTCCGCTAGAGTCGAGCCAAACAGAAAATGGTTCACGAACTCGAGAGTTATATCACAAGATGCCCTCGCCTCCTTTCGAGAAGCTATGGCTGAACGAGCATCCGATCCATACAGCGTCTTGTTGAAGACAAATAAGCTACCAATGAGTTTGATCCGAGACGGGCAAGGAAAGAATGGACTCAAAGAGCACCAAGCAAAAATGGCTGTGGAAGCATCGCCTTTTGGGGAAGTCTTTGGACCCAAAGCTCAGCGAAAGAGAGTCAAGATTGGAGCCAGTTCCTTGGAAGATCTTGCGGAGCACAGTGTGAAGAGTCATGATACTTACCTGGATCGTCTCGAACAGGCAAAACTGCTCAGCGGCAACTCTATCGAGACGGAAGCGGTCGGAGAGGCTGCTGAGATAGACGACGGCCAAATTACCAGCGCCAGAGAAGCTATTTTCAGCAAAGGCCAAAGCAAGCGGATATGGAATGAGCTGTACAAAGTCATCGACTCGTCCGACGTTGTCATACATGTTCTGGATGCAAGAGATCCCCTGGGCACTAGATGTCGGAGTGTTGAGAAGTACATTAGGGAAGAGGCACCACATAAACACCTGATCTTTGTTCTAAACAAGTGCGATTTGGTGCCTACTGGCGTTGCTGTAAGTTTTCTTCCCTCCATAATCATTCCCCCCCGGTTCCATCGTTAAGTCAAGGCTCCTTCTGCATTACTTGTGCTCTTCGCTATGGAAGGCCGTCTGTTACAACTTTGGTAGATTGAATCCGTTCTCGCCGCCCTTGGTTCTCGGACCTCGGGCAGACAACTCACCGTCTTGGGGAGTCTGTCGTACAGAGTTTGGGCTTGTTTCGTTTGAGTTGAAGACCATTTCCGCTTTCCAGTGGCTTATGGTGGTTTTCTTAGTAATGATTCATACATCTCAAAATGTGAAATACTGCAATATTGATTTCAGCATATCTTTGAGGATTATTGCTAACAATTCAATGATAGGCTTCTTGGGTTAGATTTCTCTCGAAAGATTATCCTACACTCGCATTCCATGCATCCATTACCAATTCCTTTGGCAAAGGTTCCCTCATTCAACTTCTCCGCCAATTCTCTTCCCTCCATTCTGATCGTAAACAAATTTCAGTTGGATTCATCGGATATCCAAACACTGGAAAATCATCAATCATCAACACACTCCGAAAGAAAAAAGTCTGCACGGTCGCCCCTATACCTGGCGAGACCAAAGTATGGCAGTACATCACTCTAATGAAGAGAATCTACCTCATTGACTGTCCCGGTGTTGTACCTCCAAGTAGTACAGACACGCCGCAAGATATCTTGTTACGGGGTGTAGTCAGAGTAGAAAACGTGGAGAATCCAGAGCAGTATATTCCTGCAGTTCTCGCAAAGACCAAACCACAACACATGGAGCGAACGTACCAGATTAAGGCCTATACTACACATATCGAGTTCCTTGAGTTGTTGGCTCGGAAAGGTGGAAGGCTACTACACGGTGGTGAGCCAGATGTCGATGGTGTGGCCAAGATGGTATTGAATGACTTCTTGCGTGGTAAGATTCCTTGGTTCACAGCACCACCTATCGTTGAAGGCGCGGAAGAAAAGGGTGTTGAGGGCCGTCAAGGAAGACTTGGGGAAATGGGCAGAAAACGAAAGCGAGACGATGAATCCGTCGCGGACACCTCGATTGCAGATGTTTCGACACTTGGTGGAGATGACGCACAGGATGCTGAATTTGAAGGCTTCAGTGATGATGGTGGTGCGGAGCTTGACGATGTTGTGGGTGATGTTGACGAGGCATTCGGACTCGATTCAGAAGACGAGGAGAGCGATGTTGAATTAGATGGCGAGGAAGACAGTGAGTCAGATGGCGATGGCGGGCCCTCGGAGCAATTGCAAGAAGAGCTACATGATCGTATCGACGACTCGAAACAAGACTCGAGGAAACCTTCAAAGAAGAAACGTCAAAAGACTTGAAGAATAGAATAACAATCAAACTTTGATCGCCAATAATTTTTAAAAAGAGCAATGAATGTGCATATTCCGATTTTGTCCAGGGCCTTATCTAGCTTGTCCCTAGCTCCGAGTTTCCATATACATATATACTTTCCGTTCAGCCTCATGGACTCCATCCTTCCCAGCACAGTGATTTGCCACCCCGCAATGGAGATTTCTGCACTATTTTAGCTCCAAGTGGGGCAATTTCATCCCAACCTCAGCTAAACATCAACATCCTTCACCACAACCCTACCGATTGAGCGCTTGACATACTTCCAATGGATCACAATGGCGTCAACGACATATGCGGCTACGAAAAGGACATCGAAAATCAAGCAAGCTTGTGACGCTTGCCATCTACGAAAAGTGCGATGCGATGGTGACAAGCCTTGCGCGAACTGTCTCGGGACGGACCTGCAATGTACCTATCTAGCTGTACCGAAAAAGAAGGGGCCGAAAGGCAAGAGGACAGCTAAGAATCCTGGACCGAAGCCAACGAATTTACCTTACCTCTTGAACCAGATCCCTCGCCCTGTGCCTCCACCACGTGATCAGTCTTTTGGGGTGAAAGAGACTTTGGGATTCAATGCTGGAAGTTTACCACGCCAGCCAGAACCAGTGCCAGCCCAGACCATACATCTGCAACCGCCTGTACACCTGGGAGTGGTCGAAGATGCGAGAGCGCAAGAGAAATCCGCGTTCCGACCTTCTTCCATAGTGACAAAAGACCTTCTCAAGACCTGCCTAGATGCATTCTTCACTCACAAATATCCGATCATGCCAATCCTGGATCAAGAAGCGGTATACCTCACACTTTCTGTCATTGGAGACAATCCAGAGCAGTATGCTTTGATGACAGCTCTCTGCTCTGTAATTGTCTTGCAACCAGAGATTCTGAAATCGGCAACCGGTGAAGGACAGCCAGATCAAATGAGAGCAATATCGTGGCCATCATCCGAGTTCTTGATGAAAGAGACTTTACGAGCAAGGCAGTTCTGCGACCACTTTGAAAGTCCCACGCTAGCAGCTGTTCAGACTCCTTCTTCCTCTTCGCAGCCCTCTTCTGTCTTGGCAAAGACAATTCCGCTTGGTTCTACATTAGAGAATCTATGACTATGCTACAAATTCTACGATTACACGAGGAAAACGCCTATTCGAATTGCTCAGGTATCCAGTATGCTACATACTGTCGGAGGACTTTCTGGCTTTTGTTCATCACGGAGCGAGCATATGCCTTACAAAGACACCGACCTCTCACTCTGCAACGGACTATCAACCTTCCGACCGTCGATCCTGGGCCGGAAGCTACCATACTATCAGGGTTTCTTGACCTCGTCTCACTGTTCCAGAACTTTGACGACACCTTCCTGTCATTGTGGAATCTTTCGGAAACAGATTCCCCGGCGCCCACACAATCTCTTGTGCAACTTCAAGATATCTTGAAATTTGCAATCCCTAATGTATCAGAGAGGACAGAGATACAGCAAGCAGATCTTCTTGTCAGCAGACAATGGTTGAAGACCATGGTTTGGCAGCTCTGTGTGCGCAAAGGACTGCTATCAAGTGCTTCAACAAACGAAAGCATGTCATTTCACTATCCTGTGACGATTGCACGCGACGTGGTTCTCGTGTCCAGGTTACTACCACCCAAGGCATTTGAGGCGAATGGAGTGGGGATACTTGAGAAAGTGTTCGATATTGGATGTAGCTTGGCTGATGTCCTCTCCCTCCATCCCAACTTTGCCAACATTTCTGCCTTAGAAGTCGGACCTAGAGATTATTTGATGGAGTTGGTGAGAATACTTGGAACAGCTCCAGGAGGAAACAAGTATCTGAGACTGCTTGCATCTAAGGCTGATGAGTGTCTCGGCGTTCGCATCCGAGGCAGTCTTTCGGACAGTGAAGGTTCTGATCGAATGATAGTGGAGGTCGAAGAGGAGGATTTCGACGATATCCTTGACGATGAACCAAGCGGGAATATGCATACCGAAGGACCGGAGATACCTGATATACCACCTATCACGCCGACACTCTCCCAATCAGCTGATGACGTTGAGTACATGGGCAGCAGTACATTCTCCTCTGCGCCTAGTATGTCGATGCCAGACGTCAGAGCAAAGCTCTTCCCTCATCCAATAGTATTTGCCGCGCTCAATAGACGAGATGCAGAGCCGAATTTATTCACAGATTCTTGGCAACAGTGGGACTCTCATCCTGGAATTGATGTCCCGAGACAGGATGGAGATGCAGGCTGAACTAGGAGTCGGAGCCGGACTTGCCAAAGCCTTTCAAACAAGACAGGAGAAATTGGTCTTCCATACTCAGTTCCGTTCAGTCAAGTCAGCGGACTGAGGTATTTCGATTTCAGCTATTCTCCATCCGACATCCTGGCGACTTCTGGTTTCCAAGGAAACGAGGAGGAACCGAACACGTTCCTTTGAGCGAGACAGGTATCTTGCATAGGTTGATGGAAGTTTATCTGACTCCCCACTACGCAACTCGCTGCATTTCTTCTTGAGGATTCAAGAATCAATTCCACCTACAATGAAGCACATGAACATGACTGCCGGGCGAGAGGACTTCTGAGCATGGAAGAGCTGTGTGAAATATTGAGCGTGCTTTTCGCACCAGGATAATAGGTATCCAAAGGAAAGATCGCAATCTCCAAACCTAACACGGATTCGTCTACGGAAGTGATGATCAAAGACCGGAATATTTGTTGTTCAGATTTGGTTTGAAGTATGATCGCCAATTATAATATATATCAACTCCTCATAGCGCGTCAAACTCAACCCTTCCTGAGAGATCTCCATGCATTCGTTTTCTCCAATCAATCCACTCAAATCTTTTAGAAGCTCTAATTTAAAGAATGATCTGGACATCTCAGCTGCATAGTGGGCCTTTAGCTCTAGCTCTACCCTCATCTCATGCTGGCACACTCTGTGGAGTGTGGGGTTTAGACAGCTTGGCTTGTCCATAGTGTTGAATGGTTAGCCGTCAATCGCCGGATGTGGCTTAATTTTAGCTTTGAAAGAGTGGTAGCAACCAATAGGGTGTTTTTGAGAAGAAATCTTAGCGGGTTTCCGTTTCCATTGCCTGGTAGGTCAATTATAGTGCCCGCGAGCGAACTTGCCACTGAAGCTCCACTCAGGGGAAATTCTCGCTTGAATTAACCCCACTAGACCTCTCAACTCATCATGACCCCACACTTCTCCATATCTGCATATTTATCTGCCTTCACCAGGGACGATGCACTCCGAAGCTCGAGTCAGATGGTACGAGAGTACATGCGAGATCTTTAGAGGCTCTATATGGGCGATTTCTGATTGGTGGCTAAATGCATTCAGCCGAAAGATAATATCTTCTTATGAAAACGTCGTGGAGTCTTGTTCTATGCATATTCCATTATTTTAATTCACATCGATACACTGTCGGTCTTGTCATATGAATCTTTGTATTTGATTCCAGGTGATACTGTGTCTCTTTGGAAGTGAATCATCATTTACTCATCACTCTATAGACTTCGCACCTTTTCCTAGAATATCTTTACTTCGTCTTCAAACATTTTCGGCAACTCTGTACGATCATAGATAGAGGTGCATTCTAGTCCGAAACGATTTAAAATGGAGTTCAGTCGCTTTCGACCAACACCACACTTCATCGCACCCCATTCTTGGATGAACGACCCATGCGGCGCAGTCTACATACCAGAAACCCGAGAATATATCCTATGCTACCAATGGAACCCCGGAACTGCCGAAGGAGGGAACTGTGCTTGGGGTATGGCAAAAAGCAAAGACCTCGTCACTTGGGAGGATTGCTCTCCAGCACTCAGAAATGGACCAACTTACGACCGCTTAGGAGTCTTTTCAGGATCCATCGTTTCGAGGGTGATTGATGGACAGCGAGTACTTTTCTTGTTCTACACTAGTGTCTCAGCTGTCCCGATACATTGGTCGAAAGACTATATCGAAGATTGCGAATCACAGTCCGTGGCATTTTCGAAAGACTTTGGAGTGTCGTGGCATCGATATGAACATAATCCCTTGATGAGAAATCCTCCCAGAGAATCGAGGACAACAGGATGGAGAGATCCTTTTGTATCACCATGGAAAGGTCTCTCGGAACTGCTTGGAGTGGATCCAAAAACAGACTACATGATGATTGCGTCCGGAGTGAAAGGTCACGGGTCAGAGTTGCATCTGTACCAATCAAATAATCTGCTTGACTGGAAGCCAGTGTCGACAATTCTCAGTGTCAAAGCGGGGTCTAGAGTATCATCAAAGAGCAATCTGAGATTCGGCATGAATTTTGAATGTGCGAGCTTCTTCAGTATTGGGCAAAGACACTACATCATTGTTGGCGTTGAGGAGGATGAAGGTAGCAAGTATCACAATGGGCATTACTTGATGTGGCTTTCTGGTCAGCTGATACTGGAGGATGGTTTACCCAAATTCGAGATCACGAGTCATGGCCTGCTGGATCATGGTATCTCATACGCTGCTCACATATTCCGAGACTCGGAAGGACGACTTATCCAACTTGGCTGGGCAGATGAAACCACGAAGCAAAATATCAGAAATAAGCAAGGATGGGCAGGTTGCTTAGCTCACCCGCGGGAACTGTTCGAGATATCGAGGCCAATTACGGAAGATGGCAAAGATCTTGATATTTGGGACGTCGATGAAGAGAAAGGTACAATGACCACGCTCGGAGTCAGACCTGCGCCTCAACTTACAAACCTTCAACAAAACACCAAACCGACATCATCACTTGAGTCGATATCGACGATTCGGTCCAAAAACTACCGGGTCGAGGCGACTTTCAAAGGGCTTTCCGGTCATGAAAGATTCATTTTCAGAGTTCGAGTGTCTATTTCTGAAGTTACCAAGATTATCGTTGACCTAAAGGCGGGCCAAATCATTGTTGATAGGAGCCAATCCTCCTTCGAAAAACTCGGGACTGACTCTCCAGACTCGGGGTTTTTCACTCTTCTTGCCAGAGAAGATCTACGAATTAATATTTTCGTAGACAATTCTATCATTGAAGTCTATGCGAATGACCGATTTGCTTTGACGTCAAGAATTTATCCTTGTCTCGAGACTTCGATTGGTGCGTCGTACGATTTTGGAGGGTTTGATGAGAGAAATATTGAGCTTCTGTGCTGGGAGAAATTGAAGAGCGTCTGGCCTTTGCGGAATGATGGTGAGGGGTCACTGGACATGAAGTGTACGGAAAAAAAAACAGTAGATGAGACTTTGAAGGCGAAGCCGATTGTGATGGAAGCGGCCATCTTTGCCTGAGGGCATGTAGATTAGAAGTCCATTACATAGATACATGAGTTTCCTTTGCATAATCAACCTGCTCTATAGCCACCTTGTCGTGGGTTGTATTGCCAACCCCAAATTAATGTTTCATCTGAGTACTCCAGAAACTGTCTCTCCTCGTGCTCGCCAAACCCCTCGAGTAATGGCTTCACGAACTCATTGTCCTCCGGGTCCTGCACGAATGTCCCGCCACATAATTCAATTGCCTTGCATCTCTCCTCCATATTCAAAGCATTGAAAATCGGCCCAAGAACCCAATTTACCTGATACCAACTCTCAAGTCGTAAGATCCATACGCCACCATCCGCTGGCCAGCCCAAGAAGAGAACTTCGATTTCATCTGGGTACACAGGCCTTAATCCTGAGTCTATTGCATCATCGCGATCTTGAATACTGTGCCACCATTTGCCGCCAATCTTGCGCAACTTCATACAGAACTCATCTTCTTCCGTTGTGTTGTATGATCGATAAGTAGTATAGAAGTGGTCGACTCCAATGTAGTCGAGTTCTACGGAGTGTGCATGTTTCGTCATGATAATGCCACCTACGCTCGGGTAACAGGTTACTGTATGGGTGTAGAGACCGCGGGTAGGACTGCATCTAGTAGTGTAATCGTAGATGTCGTAATCGGAAACGAACTCGAAGTCGAAAATACGGAGACCTTCATTGGCGCGCTCGTCAACCTCAACACCTGCCTGCTCTCTATAGCGCTTGGCTTCATCTCTTGCTTTGTTGCGTTGACAATTAGAGTCGAATCTCTCGCATTCCCATTCATCTTGGTCGGCAACATGATTGTTTGATATTGCTAAGCGAAAGAAGAGGGAGAAGGCAATTAGAAGCCGCATACTGAACATAAGCTTCTTCATACTGTACGAATAGGCGGACGTGATGTGGTAGTTGAAGTGTGGACTGTTGTTGAGGTAGAAGTGTTGCTAGCAACGTTGATTTCTGATCGTCAAATATTGTGCAAGTAGCGCCAGGCTCTTAGAATTCACGGAGCGGAATTATCTTTGAAGTTCAGTCACATAACAAATCGCCATCCGAGAGTGTATAGTTCGTAGACCTTGAGTTCCATTCAATAATCACTGTACTGCTGGGTGATGTCACAATAATACTATTATCAAAGCTGGTAGGTCCATATTCAATGTTTCGTTGACTGTTCAAGTACGGCTGACCGTTAATTAGAACGCTCAGAAACTGTGATTTGTCTGAAAATTGGTGAAAAGAAGGATTTGTTTAGTAAAAAGTTTAAAAACTATAATTTATCAAGTAGTTATAATTAATTTACCTTACCTAGTTATTTATTGCGGCCCATTTATAGTTAGCCACTTGACTATTGCTTTTACTACTATCTACTTTATTGCTTACTTTATTGCTTATTTTACTATTATTTACCTTATTATTGTTTACCTTGTTATTATTTATTTTATTTTTATTTTTTGTAATATTAAAAGGAGTGAAATGAACGAGAGAGTTAAGATGAGAAGAGAGGAGAGGAGAGGAAAGGAGGGGAAAGGAAACGAAAAAAAAAGAGAGAAAGGAGGGGGCGTTTTAACCTTATTTTAAAATTTTAGTGTTAATAAAATTTTTGTTTACTCTCCCTTATTTTTTTTATTTTTACATCTTTCCTACTCATCTATTTTTTTGGGTAGTATTAAAAACAAAGAGTATCTTACTAGTAGTGAGGTGAGCAATAGTAAGGTGAGTAGTGGTGAAGTAAATAATAGTGAAGTAAGCGTTAAGCAATAGTGAAGTCTTCAAATATAGATAGGTAATGTAAATTAATTTAGATGAATGTGTCTTTTTATTTTACTTTATTTTTAAAAAAATTTATTTGATAAATCCTTTTTTTTTTATAAATTACTAGATAAATTATAGTTTTTATAAAATGTTAGACAAATCCTTGTCTCTAAGCATTCTGATTAGCGGTCAGCCGTACAAGTATGAAAAATAAGAATCTAACAATAGATACTCTGTCATTCAAGAACCAGCATCTAATTAGCGAAGCGCAAGATCTTCATATCCATTTTGGATTACTACCTGGATTTTAAACAATATTGATTAATCCCGCTATGTCTCTCCTCCACCGCATCGTCTTTTTGTTCTCGTTTTTCTGTCTCATCACCGTAACCTTTTCCGATGTGGTCGTGCAATCAGAAGCACTTCAGAGGTTCGCAAACTGCTCCGATCCGCAGAAGATTCAGATTAGAACTGCCTGGAATGAAGCTGTCCAAATAGCTACTTGGGTCAACGCGCGCATGGACTTTCCAAGTCCTCATGCAGAGCTTGCTTCTTCGGGAAACAGAAATACAATCAAAATCAACAAGATGATATTAGGGGTAAATAAATACTTCAGAGTGGGAGTCTTCGCTAACTTACTAGCTCTTATTACGCAAGCTAGCATTTATGGGCTGGCATGGGGCTGGAATCCCTCTCACTGGAGCGTTAATATAAGCTGTGTCGATTGGAAGGGTCGATGTGCACCACCAGGAAAGAAAGGTGCAGTAGCCTACACAACAAATCCTGAGACCAGAGATGGCAAAGAAGGGATATGGATGGACACAATGACATTTTGTGCCGAATTCTTCGACGAGAAAACGCAATACATGGGGTCTTGCGATGCACTCTTAGTCGAGGTTCAGAATATATACAACCGGTATGAGACTTTTGGGAACTTGGATCTCTACCGATGCTGGGGTGAGCTTTCGATAACATTATTGGGTAATATTGTTAACGTTGTAGGGTACGTGGTGTTACACGAGCTATTTCATTTAAATTCTCTCTCCCGAGTCGCAGACACGGGTCATGTTTGGGATCGCAAGGTCTGGTATTACGCACCTGGCGCAGATATCCCGGAAAGAAAAGTCGTCTATGGTGTTATCTTGTCGAAAGTTTTGGCACTTTTGCAAGATAGGAGAACTGGCATGTATGTGGCAACTAATGATAAGTGGAAAGCGCTACATTCGAGGCATTTCTGCGACTGACGTGAGGCCTTTCAAAATAGCCGATAACTTAGCTTGGTACGCCCTTTCCAAATGGGTTCAACTAAAAGGGAAACAAAGATTGTATGCCCCTTTCCAGCGCAGCGATGATCTCCAAAGTATTATGCTGATATTGATTCTAGATATCCCGGCCTGCCGCTAGCTGAAGGAGACATCTCTAGTGGCGTATTTCGCCTCTATGCCTCGCAGGATGCTAAAGGGAACTTGATTCTCAACACTACTGCTATAGATTTGGCATCGGCTGTCTGACCAATCGACTACGCATCTAGCCAAGAGACTTGTGATGACAACCCAGAGTTCTGCTCAAAGCCTATCAACTTCCTCGGAAGTGAACCTTTTGACGTTTCGCCTGCGAACTGGACTTTGCCGTTACCTGATCCTGTGGTGACCGTGTCAAGTGCAGGCCCATTTACAATGCCCCTCGATCCTAATCTTCTCTGTTATGAAGGGCTTTACATGGATGCGTCCATTCAACCGTCTGTCAGCGTAACGTTCGCAGTATTGTCGATGGAAACATTTTGCCAAGATATCGACACCGTCATATTGGATCCAAACGTCACGACAGATGTTCCGGTGCCCTATGACCCTGGCTATGACGACGATACATTACTGTGGATTCGAGCAGGCTACCAGGTTGGAGACCCCACATGTACTGGAGAGGTTTCACTGCTCTCCGATGAATGCAACCTTCAGCTGTCTACCGTTCTCACCGAATGCGGCAGCTCTGGACTATCGCCGCAGAGCTATGGCGGAAGTCGTGTGTGGGGTTGCATAAATTGGCACTTACGATTATTGCTACCATCCCTGACCAAGGCCCATACAGCTGTGTGCTTGAGTAAGTTTTTCTTTCTTTTTCCTTACCTTGAACATAAGATAATTTAATTCGTACAGTGACGATTTGCTTCCAAGCACCTGCATTTGTGGATACACAGCTGCGACAGGATCTCCAGAAGTATATCCGCTAGATCCAGCAGGTGGCTGCAGCCTGTACCTCTGAAACGCATTGCTGAGCCCTCTGCGCGCTCTCATTTTGACTTCTGTCTGAACGCTTCCCAAGCAGGGAAGTAATGGCAGTCTCCAAGTCACCAGCTAAGCTTCTTTGCTTTCACTTTCCATATCTCATGACGATACGCAAAGCACAGTACTTTTCGATCATCTTTTCTCTTCGATTTATTACTTTTTACTATCCAAGGCAGGTCTTCTAGGCCCATGTTGGCGTAAGCTGAGAGTAAGTCTAGGATTCATGGTCTGTGACTTCTTTATTTGGTTCCGAAATCAGAAATATTGGTCCAATTTTGGTCACTCAGCCATAGCATTCCTTGAATAGCAGGGAATATTTGGAATTTGCCTGAACATTAACTTATTACTCAATAAAATCGTTCATTTCAGACCTTGTGCCATAGTATCGTATTTGCGTTGAAAATCAAGAGTAATAACCCACCGCTACTTGCGAGCTATAAATGTGCACTACACCTTCAATTCCCCCTTGCCACAGATTTACTAACTAGAGGGGATTGCAAAAGGGACTTCCAGTCATGAACCATCTTCGTGTTCAACAAAGCTGCCTCCATCTCGTCCCCTCCTCTCTTTATCATCTCGGTATCATACTCGGTAACAGCCTCTTTCAAATTCATCTCTCCCTTTTGCACCTTGCTTAATGCTGAAACCAGATTTACCGCATCACAAACTGCATGATTCAAACCTTGACCTCTCTGTGGTGTCATCGGATGTGCAGCATCACCCGCCAGCGTCTCCCTTCCTCCTCTATTGTCGAAGTCAACCGTCTTCCAGTACACCAAATTATTGAACTCAACCGGAGTACCCTCTGGAGTCCACTCAATAGCATTCTTCCATGCACCCACGTACTCCGCTGCTTTCATTTTGAACAAGCGCAATCTTTCTGCTTCACCTCCGCTGAAATCTTGAGGCATAGAAGAATATACAGTTCGAAACTCCCAGTCTTGTGGGTCTGATGATCTGAGATCGTGCGCAAAGACAGCTAGGTAGGATCCATTGGGATGGAAAGCGACAGTGGTAAGGGCGGCATGTTGACGAAGTTCCAATGCTTGCGCAGCCGTGTACTTGGATCTGACATCTGCCATTATTACACCAGATGAACTTGCATCCGAACCTTCTCTAACGATCAAATCTCGGACTTTTGATCTTGGTCTATCGGTCCCTATTAACACATCTCCACTGGTACTGGTCCCATCTGAGAAATGAGCAAATACCCCATTACCATTCTCATTAAATGAGATGGAACTTAGAGTCTTCCCATAGTTCACTTCAATACCCTCACTAAACAATGCTCTCATTCTACTCCGAGAAACTCTTCTCATCCCTCCTGTGGGTAAAGTCTTCAGCAATTCTCCAGTTGCGCCGTTGTAGAGACTAAACGTATCCGTGGGTTTAGGAGTATAGTCTGGATCCGGTTGCGTAGTATTCAGTCGTTGCCAAATATTATCAGGCAACAGCGGTTGGAGCAATGGCACAGCCCAATGAATTCCCATTGTCCATTCGCGGGAACGGTATGAAGCGCTACTTTCGGTTTCAAAGATACTGCACTTAATGCCATTCTAATTCGATCTCAGTCACATGTACATATCAAGCGCTAAGGGTCGTAATCAATGATAATCAAACCTTTTTGAGACCTTGCGCAATTAGCAAGCCAGTGATTCCTGCTCCAATAACAAGGACGTGGGGGTCTTTCCCAACTTTGATATTCATATTGATCAGGGACAATTGATTTAAGAAAAACGATGTTTGGAGATTGCTTGCCTGAATGTTGCGACATTAGTGGGATGATGGGCCGATTCAAGGATATATTTAGAGAATTCCACGTGATTCAAAGTTCCCAAAAGCGTAAGAAGTCCGAGAAAGCGTCGAGGGAGGTATGGAATGAATCACTTGACAGAAACACAATGTAATAATGAGCTTTGAAAAAGCGGTTGTTGAGATTGTTACATAACCCTAGAACTCATATTCTAGATTTCGCCAACCAATGTCCTCTTGCTCTAGGTGTTGTCTTTTCGAGTGATTGCCAAAGCCTGCCAATAATGGACTTACGTGACCACTCTCCCACGGGTCATGGAAGAACGTACCACCGCTTTCCTTGATTGCCATACATCGGTCCTCCACTGAGAGTGCATTGTTGATCCTTGCCACTGCACCACCTATCATCTGAACCTCTCTCTAGCTTTGGAATCTTAGTACCCAGACCCCTCCCTCTTGTGGCCACCCCAAGTAAAGAACCTCTCTCTCATCGGGATACATCTTGCGCATCTTGAACTCCACGGCTTTTTCGAAATCATAAGGACTCTCCCACCATTTCCCTCCTACTTTGCGTAGCTTCATACAGAATTCGTCTTCCTCCGAGGAGTTTTGCGATGGCTCAGTAATATTGATGCGATCGACGTTAATATACAAGAACTCGATGGGATGAGCCCGCTGTGCAACAATCACGCCACCAATACTCGGAAAGCAACACACTTCATTGAAGTACATAGCAGCGGATGGATCAAGTCGGACATTTAGCTCATTCGGACTGCTGGGAGAGCACGAGCTATCCATCCAGTATCCTTGCGCCGCTATTACCGAATTGTATTGATCTCGTTCTTCTTGCATTTGCATTTGGTGGCAGATCAGATCGCAGTACCGAACGTCATATCTTGGGGGGTCGTGAGGATGAATATTGTAGACCGCTAAAGCCGTGGACGAGAGAAGGGGTAAGACAAAGTGCCATGCAAATATCATTGTTGTTGAGGCTCTCATGTTTGGTGTTGGAGTTGTGTTCAATGTAGTCGTGGAGAGGATGTGATCGAAGTTGACTTTGAAATGTTGTGTAACTTAAGAAGGATTCACCGTCTCAAAATAACGATGTCGAGAGTGTTTGTGAGCTGATTGGTACAAATAATGAACTTCAAATACCAAACGAAACCGAAAACGCGATCTCGAGCAGCTGAGATGACTTTCGAATAACTCAAGTACGGATTCGTAGTTCTAGCGAATCAGAAACGGAAAGGGGGTTGTTGTAGTTAAAGCTCATATGATGGGTTCAAGTTTGGATCGAGAACTGGTACATCTAAATATCGATCTGGTTCCCACGAAAACGGTTGACGAAGACATTATCTTATGGAAAGAAAGAAATCTGCATGCTCTTACAAGACGAATTCTCTTCCCGGGTTTCTATTTCAGCTCTCCTATGCTCTTCTGTGTTCTTCTCTTTACCTCCAGAAATGCTCAAAACACAACGCACATAATTTCGGTGACAGCAAGCAATACCTCTTAATCTTCGAGACATGTAACAAATGCTCATGTAGGGTCCGCAACCCTCGCCCGTAAACTGCGCAGGAAGCGCAGGCAGCGCAAAACGCGCACATAACGCGCACAGCGCTCATCGCGAGTAAAGCGCAGATTTCTGATTTCTCAAACACTAATGAAGAAAGATATCATTTTAAACAACATTTGGTAAAGGACGTTAACAAAGAGCTACGATAGCTAACTATCACAATTACCAAGTGCCACAATCAGTAATCAGCGTTGCTATAAGCGGTGCCGAACCTAATCAGGTAGCACCCGGACACCGTCATGGCCAAAATGGACACTAGCGCTTCGACCTAGTCTCAACATATAATAGCCGGATAGCCTGCCAATCGACATATCCCTAAACAGCATGCTATACAGGTACCATTTCTTATGACAAATGGGAAAGGGCTATCGTAAAATCCAAGTGCATACATACGTAGGCCATCATTACCATCAGCAGCCACCACACTGATAAAATTAGGGTCTTTTGCCTGTTCTGTCCAACCCAATGGTTCCGATGGTTCGGTGTATTGACACCATTTATCAGGAGTCTTTAGTGGCTCGTCGGCTGAATGCGGGCAAGAGATAGTTACGAGAGCATACGAAAGATTTATGAGCATTGTCAAAGGAGAATAGATCATCGATATCCATGTGCCATCCACTTCGATTCCGACGTTAATTCTGAGAAAGCCGTCATCTCGAACTATACGCCACACTAAACGCTGGTCTGGGACTAGATATATTGGTAGATTGACAGCCTTGGTGGCCATATCGTTCGGTCTGAGACGTTCGAGGGTCTGGCCAGCACCTCGATCTCCAATAACTTTCGAGTAGACTTCTCCGTCGTAACGCAGGAGGCCAGGGGCCCAACAAATAGTCAGATATCCAGAATCCTGGAGGCAACGTGTTTCGAAGAGCTTTGGGTACGTCGCTTGACCCTTATAACATGATAGAACCCACACGTCGCGATTCAGGTCGTCAGTAACCTCATGCCCAACCAAAGACAGAGCTGCCCGGAGAACTTCTGTCAGCGGTACAGTATTTGGTTTTCCGGTGGTGAGTATTAGACGGATAGCATGAATAAAATCCGATCTGCGGTGGCTGCCGTTATAAACAAGGAGTGCCTCCGGGGACTCAAAAAGAGATAAGAGCAGAACATCTGCTGCGAACTCCGAGAGTTGACCCATGAAAAGCGCGGTTTTGCATGCTTCAAACATTAGGCCTGTAGAGGAACATGTTCTGCATCGGCAGGTCCGTCTGAGACTTTCTACATGAAAGTTGACAAGTGGCAGATCAGTGACCATCAATCCTTCTTCCAGAGGAGGCAGCTTATTCGATACGTGAGAGTCAGACAAGCCGAGCATGCGGCACAGAATGTTAGAAATCGTAACGTCCTTTGGAAACGGATAAGCTGCGAACCTAGTGGCTTCTTCAGACACCTCGTCATAAATAGCGCGTTTTTGTTTATGCTGCCAATCACGAAGCTCTACAGCACGATCAAAACTTTTGAGAACCGATAGTCGAAGCATCGATACGATTTGTTTCATCGCATATGGAAGCGAATGGGTGATAGCTCTGTGTGCACTCCCGAAATCCAAGTCGCATTGGCAAAGAAGTAATTGGCCATAGGCCTCAATACTAAGCATTCTAAACTAAGCTTTTCCTGAGAGATTAGTAGTGATGAGATCGGATAGGTTTCCCATGCCCCGATGAACATTAATCTCGAGGTCTGGACAACTTTTGGTGTCCTTGATCGCAATAATAGTGACATTGCTCTTTGGCTGCACAAAGATAGCTCTTCCATTGTCAAGATATATGGACGGTGCAACGCCCAGGCACCACTGGGTAAAGGCTGCGACCCAAGCTGTACAACCAGCTATCTTCAGCGTGATTGACGCAGCATTTCCCACTCTGCTCAATTGACGGAAAGCATCAACTAGTCCTCCTATGCCTTCAGCATTTGGTACAAAATGGTTGGTTTTCCAGAATGTTCGATCTTCAGGAGTTGTTGTAGCAAAATCCAAAAGAATCTTGGACCACCCGGAGACCATGTCGGGAAACTTCAGCGGAACACATTTATGCTCAATGCTTGCTAAAAGATCTTTCAATTGACGGGCGGGCGGCAATAATGTCTTATCTGCCGCAGATGTTCGTAGCATGTGTGCTAATGCTTCACCACCATGGTATGAGCTTCCAATCGTGAGCAGGACCGTTGCTAGGGCTATAAATTGGACACCCGCCAGGCTACGTGCCAGTTGCGAAGCACAGTCATCCTTGGAGTATCCGATCACGGCACTGAGGAAACTGACTACTGCAGAAGTTGGCGTTTGGAGGAGAATTATTTGGGCTTCAACTTTCCGACAGGTCTCGGGACATATTGCCAGCGTTGCTCCGAATCGTTCACATGCTAATAAAGCAAGAGTCTGAACGTTGTCGCTTGTTGAGGCTTGTATCACACCTCGAGCGACAGATAAGCTGGAGTCCAGGGACCGATTTAGTTCCCATTGCAATTGAGGACTCGTCATCGTTTTGCTGAGGCCGCAAAAGCTTAAAATAATTGATGTATCGGGAACGAGGCGGAATGCTCCAGAGCAGCCAGGATGAAGATACTCGGTTGGTGGCCGTTGGGTGGCAGTGGTTTCAGAGTCGAGGTTTTCAGCACGCCAGATTCTTGTGAAAGTTGGAGTTGCCTGGAGAGCGGCGAGCGAATATAAGCGTGGCATTATGGCTGGGCGTACGAGCCAAAGGCTGAGCGTTCAGCTGTTGCTGTTTAATAAGCTGGCGCATGCACGTATACAGCGATATCCTTACTACGAACCGGGCCCAAAGGCCCGTGCACACAAGGCATTTTCATCAGAATTACATTTTTCACTATTGTGGCTATTATAGCCTTTCCTTCTTTTTCTTCTTTTTCTATTTTTTAAAGAAAATCGCAAATGTAATTTGCTTAGAAAGATCCATAATCATCGCTATCGTTGAGTTGAAATATTATACTAGTTTAAAAAAAAAGGAAAACGAAATATGCAAAGAGAATTACTTGTCAAAATGCCAAGAAAGATGCATACAGAAGGTAAATATCTAGGTGCGCGGATTTGAAGTAGGCAGCAGGTCGTGGAATCAGCCCAACACAATTTCGTTAAATTGTGCTTTTTTGTTGGTCGTGATTGGAAACTTGATGCATTTAAATATAATAAGAAAAGATCACAGCCCCGAATAACTCGCCAACTACATAGCCTCGATCAGATCGGGCGAGCCGCAAGCCAAATCCGGAACGGTCTATAGCAAGGTTACACGGACAGCCACCAAAACCGACCACGCATTTCAGTCGACTTGTAAAATCGGGTAAGGCTTTCCCCCTTTCCCCCGCCGCCTCCCCCATCCCCCCAGTTGTACAAGTTAATTCAAATTCGGAAGGATCCTCATAGTTCTTTATAGAACAAGAAACCATTTATCATGTGAATAGTCAAAATTAATGTTAATATGTATTTCAAAACGCTGACAGTATCTATGCGCCGCTTTCCGCTGATTTCAGCCGCGGTTTATTTAAACATAGTATAGAGAGGTTTTGTGAAGTTTGCCGTAATTGAAGCGCAGCTTTTTGAAGTAATAGTAGATATACGCCGCTAGGAACCACGGTTCAGTACCTATTTCTGCACCATACTTTCATCCTCAAGCATATTGCGCAACAAATGCCTAGTCTTGAGATTTGATACCGCGGCTCTTGGAGGTTATGTAAAAGGAGGTGGGATGCCTGTTTGAGCTGCCTGAGAGCCGACTTGGTGTGCTGAATATAGCTAGGTAGAGTTGCCAGCTTTCGCACAACAGAACCGAATAGCATAGATCGTGGTTAATCTCTAGAAGAGGGAGCAGGAACTTGACTGAGCAACCTGAGCAGAGGGTGAGGCGAGAGTGGGTAGCGCCTGAGCAGAGCGGCGATACTCACTAACCGCGTTGGAAGCGGAGGTTGAGACTCGGCGCAGATTACCACAATAACCAAGTACCGGAATTACCAAATACCACAATCGCTAGTCACCACAATAACCAAGTATCTTATTCAGTGAGCTTCAAAATATCATTGTACAAGCAAATAGAAGGAAGGTGTCCGTTAGAAGATTATTTATTTCAAAATCAATGCACTAAACGTAGTTAAGCCGTTTGACTTTCACAATACTTGCATAATCGGGCATTACAACGAGAGAAAACTTTAGGGAAAGTACAAAGCAAAAGTTAGGTGGACCAAGACGCGGAGACAGAAAGAAAGCACTCGCCTCCATTCAACAACAACAAAGCACAAAAAATTCCAAAATAGGGTACTTTACTCCACGTACCTTATTTATTGTTTACCTTTAGTGAAGGGTTAGAGGACTACCTCTTAAATGGCCTACCTTATTTCAAATGATATCACAGACTCCAATTAACACGGTACAACAATCCGAGAGACATACTTTAACACTCAAGCTTCCCTTCAAAACTCGCTAAACTCGCCAATCCCCGCATCCGGCTAACCCCTGACTCCAGGGCCGTAGGGCCTATCTCGCCTATATAGTAAGGGGAGGCTCCCTGCAAGCACCGCCGTCCCCCGCTTCCCCTCAATCTGAAACTGCCGGTGACTCGGAACTAGCTTTCCGAGATTCTTATATGTTCACACATTCTCAAGCGACTAAATTTCTCAGATGACCTGGACATACAGTCGGGCCGGCGGGAGGCGGATAAATCCACCTGCTTAGCTTGGGATTGGGAGATCAACCCTAGAATGACGGCGTGGATTGGGGGAATAACCCTAGAATGAACTTCCCCGGAATCGAATCCCCACAATAGTCTCAAGTCTGGAATGAATGTTTGTTTTAGTCAAAGTTTGCTCGGAAGCTAGGCAGGGAGAGAGGGAGGGAGGCACAAAAGTATGCTCGAGTTTGATGGAACGAGTCTCGGAGCTTGCGAGTACGAGGTAGGACTTTTCATATAAGAATGTCGGATGGCTCTTGAGAGGGTGTTGCTCGTCCTGTTTGTTCTCGCTTAACTTTCATCCTGCTGTAGCGAAGAAATATTGAGACAGTCATGGCTCAAAAGCTTGCCTTCACAGCATTTGCTGCTCTGATTCCACTCATCACAGCCCAGCAGATCGGGACAGATACACCTGAAGTCAACCTCCCGTTACCGACCTGGAAGTGCACAACAAGCGGCGGTTGCGTGCAGCAAAATACCTCGATAGTCCTAGACTGGAACTTCCACTGGATCCACCAAGTCAACAGTTCCGCATCATGCGCGACCTCAACTGGTGCTATAAATTCCACCCTATGTCCCGACGAAGCAACATGTGCAAAGAACTGCGCCATCGAAGGCATCCCCAACTACGCCAGCAGCGGCGTAGCCACCTCAGGAGACGCCCTGACGCTGCATCAATACACCCAAAGCAACGGCGTAACCAGCAACGCATCCCCGCGCGTCTACCTCCTCGGCGCCGACGGCAACTACGAGATGCTGCAACTCCTCGGCCAAGAACTGCGTTTCGACGCCGACGTCTCGACTCTTGTCTGCGGCGAGAACGGCGCTCTGTATCTCTCAGAGATGGACGCCACAGGAGGCCGCAGCCAGTACAACCCCGGAGGCGCCTCCTACGGCTCGGGGTACTGTGATGCGCAATGTCCCGTCCAGACCTGGATCAATGGTACTTTGAACACTAACTCCCAGGGCGCATGCTGCAACGAAATGGACATCTGGGAAGCAAACGCCAACGCCACGGCCCTAACACCGCATCCCTGCGAAGGCGATACGTGCGACAAGTCAGGCTGTGGCTTCAATCCCTATGCGCAAGGCGTGCACAGCTACTACGGCAACGGCGGGACGGTCGATACCCTGAAGCCCGTCACCGTCATCACGCAATTCTACACCAGCGACAACACCACGACGGGCTCCCTGTCCGAGATCCGGCGTCTGTACATGCAAGACGGAAAGCTGATCCAGAACGCGGTCTCGACGTCCACAGCGGGCCTGGATTCCATCACCGCGTCCTGGTGTACTTCGTCCGACGCCTCGGCCGCGAGTCTGGGCGGGCTGACGACGATGGGGCAGGCGTTGGGACGGGGCATGGTGCTCATTTTCAGTATCTGGAATGATGGGGGTCAGTTTATGAATTGGCTTGATAGTGGGAGTAATGGGCCGTGTAGCAGTACGGCGGGGAATCCGGCGAGCATTGAGGCGCAGACGCCGGGGACTTATGCGACGTTTTCGAATATTAGGTGGGGGGATATTGGGTCGACGTTTGAGGAGAGTGGTGCGTCTAGTCCGAGTAGTACAGCAAGTGTGACGAGCAGTGTGCCGACGTCTACAGTGTCGACGTCGACGAGTACTACGACTGTGGCTAAGAGTCCAGCGCAGAGCCAGTATGGGCAGTGTGGTGGCAATGGGTGGGCGGGTCCTACAGCGTGTGCTGCTCCGCATACTTGCACACTTTTGAACCCGTATTATTCGCAATGTTTGTGAGGAGTTGAACCTCATAGGAGGGCTTCTTGAAATGGAGCTGTAAACGGAGGATAACAAAATGAATGGTAGTGATGAGGGGAAGGAGTAAGACACAAACCTGTATATATGTCAAACTATCTGTAAATAGCTTGGGAGAAAAAAGAAATCTATCCATCCGGACATGATTTGAGTGACGACAAGAAACATTTCATCCAGGGGTTGCTAATGCAGGCGAAAGTTTCCGAAACTAAAACATTAAGTTTCATTATAATAATAGCTATGAGTACTCAATCTTCAATACCCAACAATACTTTCCAGCAGCCACCAAAGCTGGCGGAACGGTGATCGTCAGACTTTCATCCGAAAACGTCCAATCCAACTTCGTGCCATTACCTGCTCCAATCATAGTGATACTGTCGCCGTCGACGATCGGCAGCTTCGCATCTACCACGAAAGTCTCGCTTGGTTCTGATAGCGAGAGGATGTAGAACGCATCTTTGGTCTGCGTGAAGCGGACATCATCTACTTCTGCTGCGATGAAGCTAGAGGACAATTAGCAAGGCAGGTATCGAGTGTGAAGAATTGGGGCTTACTAATAAGTAGTATTAAAGATCGCCTCAGCATTAGCCTTAATCCACAACCCAGCCTCAAGCAAATGCGCGACCTCAGTAGCATCAATGGTCCCATCAGCCATGGGACCAAAATCCAACAGCAGGTTGCCATTCTTGCTAACCATGTCGACGAGGTTATACACAAGCGTAGATGCGTTCATGTACAGTGACGATGGAGTGGCGCGGTTGTAGCCGTAGGAGTATGGATCGAGACCTTGGTTGCTTTCCCACTTTCGCTCCGAGACAGATGAGAAGGTGCTGTATTCGGGAGTATCGAAGTCTGCACCGGCTGCGATGCCGCACCGGTTGTTCATCGTTACTTGGCGGCCTTGTGATTCGGCTTGGTTGAACCAGGCGGCGGCGAATTCGGCCGTGCCGTTAGCAGCACCGCAGCTAGAATTTGTTAACATGGCGTTGTATTAGATGGGCTTGAGAGAACTTACTCGCACCACATCACGTCCGTTTCGTAGCCGTAGGCAAGGATCTCCATTTGAGGAACCATCAAGTCAGCGATGAAGTCATTTTGGGGAAGAGCTCCTGTATATGGTTCTTCGAGTCCAGTGTACGGATTTGTTGCGATGATGCCTGGCCATGAGGTGCTTGCTGGGTCACTTGTCTGAGAGAAGCCATAAGGACCAAATAGAGGATTGAACTATCATCATCAGCCAAGCTCGAACAAGACTCAGACCACGACTTACCCATTCAGGCAGACTGAAATACGTTCCTCGCTTAAGCTGAGGTTGGTATTCCTTCGCCGCAGCGAACAACTCCCCCAAAATATCTCTCTTGGGTCCGTAGTGCAGAGAGTTCCGATGCGTAGTCTCTTTCGTATCGAACATTGCAAATCCATCGTGATGCTTCGTAGTAAGAACGAAGTATTGAGCTCCAGCATCCGCGATCAAGTCAACCCATGATTTCGCATCCCAATTCTCAGCCGTGAAGTTGGAGAAGAAGTCATCGTAAACGACGTAGGGTCCGTATGTGTCCAGTTCATGATCGTAAACATCGGCTTTGTCGGCATTGCGGTGGTGTCCGTACCACCAGTACCATTCTGCATAGATTTCCCAGGGAGTCGAATTGCCCTGGAGTGTATTAGCATCCAATAAACAAAACACAATTCACCACCCAGACTCACCCAACCTGGAACACAGTAAGGGCCCCAATCTGTAACCACTGTTAGCGATTTCTTCTCAATGGATAGGAACTGAGGATGCTCACGAATAAAGATGCCATACTTGGCATCATTGAACCATTCCGGACTTTCATGATTTGACAAGCTGGATAATTCCGAAGTGTACTCCTCAAGGCCAAACTTGACGTTCTCGATAGTATAAGTCGCATTCATAGAACCGGTCAGATGTACCGTCGTAGTCACGTTTCCACAACCAATGACTCCGACATTAATCTTTTTCTGATCCCCAGGACGCATTCGCTTGATATATCCTGGGGTAATAGTTTCAATGCCTGGACCGGTGATCGAGACTTCAACACCAGCACCCGAAATCCAATCAGGACCCGCATTGTCGATGACGACTTCCACAGTCTGAACTCGCTCGATATCATGCTTCTGGGTAGGGCGAAGAAATTGGACTTGGACTCCGGTCTGCTTGTATAGCGATGCCGAGAACAAATGTATTCTAGCGGTATCATTTGATGTATCAGGCAACGTGATTGAAGATAGGGTTTTGCTGGGATCCACGGCTCCGATATACTCAAAGATGTGAGAAGTATTGAAGTTCGTGGTATTGATTGTAAAGTATGATGGCATCACAATCTCTCCTTTTAAAATTGACAGAAATGACGAGTAGGGATTCGTTCGTACTTCGGCAAGAGTCGTTGTTCCATCCGTGTACTCGAACGACATATTCCCAGATGTACCAGCAGACTCGGTCGAGATGAGCATCTGCAGACTGAAGTAGGATGCTGCAGGCACATCAATCTGCTGCCCTGACATGACCACATTGTCGCTTTTGTTGGCTTGGTATCCAGGAAACAGATATGTGATGTTTGTTTTGGTCGATGTGTAGGATCCACCGGTTGGCAGATTCGCTGCAGGGTAGGAATTGTTCAATTCATCGAAATTGGCTTCGCCAGGAACAAGACCGAATCCTTTATTGTTGAAGTAGGCATCGAGTGGGATTTGAACCATTTGCTTATTCTTGTCAACTTGGCTCCCATCAGATTGGAAGGGTGATTACCTTTGAAGGAGTTGTCGAATTGTCCCATCTCCGGCTAGGTGCAGCTATCACCACTGCAGCCAGTCCAAGCAGAGGAGAGAAGCGTACCATGATTGAGGCTCTCGGAGGCAGTTCTCGGAGCGAAAGGAAAAAGGAAGGACATGACCTTATGAAAAGCATCTACCCACCTGCAATTGATCATGGCAACTATCCATATCAGTTCATCCGAAGTCACCGCTTGGGCTATGGCAGAGATCAAGATTGACCGCGTCGCAAATCTTGGCTCCAGCCCCAGGAATTTGGTAACGTTCGATGCATGGTAGCATCAATGGTATCCGCATTGATATCCGAAAGCACGATATGATCCAGGTCGACTTGCATTGCCCTTGCAGTATAGCTCGGGTCTGATGTCCGTGGTGAGTTGTGCTTCACCGACATGAAGAGAGGAGAGGTTGGGTTGGCGTTGGTGATGTTTGTTGACTCGGGAATCTCTTGTTATCGGGCAAGTCTCCACTGCCGAAGCCACAATAGGGCAAGTCCGTCCACTTACCGCAAATATCCCTGCACTGTTTATTTAACCCCTCCGATATCTGCAGCTTGTGGTCATTGTTCCTGCATCATCCCACTATCGACACGCAATTCCTGCGTGAGAGGCATTCAAGTGATGAGGGAACCTCTCCAGGAGAATCCTTTGATTCTTGCATGCAGTGAAAACTATCTCATCTATGTCAGCAGTATATGATCCTGCCAATCAAGCTTTCAAATCCTCATACAATTAGCCTTCAGATCCGAAAGCGAGAAGCTCTCGGTATCTTAGTGCAGCTATACCGACCTTGATACGAGCCTCGCAGATCCATTTCGTTGCCTCCCCAATCTTTCCTAGTCCCGACGAGCTGTCAAGGACCCTTCTTGTTGATCTCCGCCTGTTTGCATTTAAACGCAGCTCAAGGATGCTACGTTACTGCAACCAAAAGGGCATTTCCCACATGAACTCCACCCTCCCCGAGAACAAGTCCTAGCACCTGATAAGCAATAGACTTTCTTGGTCGAGAGGGGTGATGACACGAAAATACACGTGATGCGAAGCTTATAGAGGCCTCACATCGTATATGAGGTGATTCGTGCCCTTGTTTTGTGAAGGTTCTTGTTCTGTTTCAGCTTTCTTTTAGCCAGGATGGTCGTAATGTTTAGTCTCTATGCAGTGTTCGCCTTGTTGGTCGGATTTGCTCTCGCCATTAGTGATGAACTGGCTGCAGAACTTGGTTACCCTGCTGGAGTGGATGTATGGTGAGTAGTACACAGATTCAAGGAGTGTGTCACTGACCAGAACCATAGGTGCGGAAAGGCGTACAGAGCAACGTGTGTGAATTCCCAGAGTATCACGTGACTGTTTGCTGATATTGAACAGCAACGCTTCTTTCGAGCCTGGAGGATGGCTGGAAGCACCGACACTTTCAAGTACACCTCTCATGGACCTTTCCATCCGCCCACGCACAAATTTGTATTTGGCCAGTGAGAAGTACGCATCCTTCCTAATAGATGCGCCAATTTCCTACATGCACGGATCAGCATACACAAATGCATCGTTCAACAAGGAGACAAACATCACGAGTGCCTTTACAGACCTGTTCATCGATATCTCAGTCGTAGAATCAGGACTCGACTTGATCTCAGGCTCGAATGTCACAGTCAACACCACCAACAACGAGCTAGGATTCTCCTTGTCCGGACTCACAGCTAGGTTCGAACCTTACGAGATTGTCATCACAGGAGCATCTGGGGATGGAGCTCAGTTCTATACTTCGACCACACAACTGTACTACATCCCAGAGCGAACAGATGGAGGAAGTGTCACGAAGGTTGATAACTTGTATGGTGGCTTGCTTGTCCAAGATTACCTCACGAATTCGACAGCCTGGACTCCTCTCTTTCCATATACATACTACACTTCTTGGGACGGATGGCTTGAGTTGAGCACAGACAGTGGGTCTGATCTGAATCATGGGCGCTAAATGCTGATGATGCCTAGATATCAAGATCTTTAAGGACTACGGTATGTGAACCATCCGTTCTACTTCGTACACAAAATTTGACTAGCTGAACAGGATACAATATCATTCATATTGTTCCAAATGAAGGCCTTGCCAATGAAGCATTCAACTTTACCGAGCTCGACACATTTCTGGATATCATGGACGAGTTAGAATTGTGGCTAATGTTTGACATGAGTAAGAAACCCTCAGACACGTGATTAGTTGTCTGCTAATATTCTCTAGGATGGACATACAAGGTTGGCCGAAAGCTCTTGTGATCAAATTAAAGTGTACTGACACGAACAGAATCTCACATCTGTAGAGATGCAAGTGAACAGATTAAAGGCCCGGAAAAGTATGCTACTTTACTACACAGGCGATGAGCCAGACGGACAAGTTGGTAAGACATCCTTCCCATATCCTTCTAGCGATCTATACTGACCCGCCACAGACGCACTGAACGCCACCAAAATAACCTACGACCTCATCAAATCTCTCGATCCCTGGCACCCCGTCTCCCTCTGCCTCAACTGCCACAACTATTACTTCGCAAATTATACCTCCGGAGCTGACATTATCATGACCGACCCATACCCCATCGCTGTCAACACTTCCTTCTCCGTACAATACGACACAGTCTGCAACACCACCTACGGTTGCTGTGGCTGTGACGACTGCTCAGGCGATTTCGAAGATGTATCCGAACGTCTCGATTTGATCAAACTGTATCAAGAATATCTCGGACTGCCACAGAAGCCACAATGGGGTGTTCCGCAAGCGTTTGGAAATGAAACTTTCTGGGCCCGATATCCGACTGAGCAAGAGGAGATTGTTATGAACATGTTATTCGTGAACCATGGTGCGAAAGGGATTGCGATGTGGGATTTTCCTACCGAGCCGGGAATCGCGAATATCACTGGTCAGCTATCGAAAGTTTTGACCTCAAGTGCGATCTCGAGTTTCTTGTTGGGCAGCTTTGAGCAAGCGATGGATGTTAGTGGGTTGCAGAGGGTGGATGCTGCGAGTTGGACGGTGGGGAACAATACGTTGGTGAGTGTTGTGAGTAAGAACTACGTGGGTACTGCGGCGAATATCAGTATCGCGCTGCCCACTCCAGCGAGCGGAGTGAGTCAGGTCCTTTGGGGCAGCGGATGGACCGTCAGTGGTAATACCTTGACGAAGGTTGGGATGGATGCTCTCGAGGTAGACATATTTGTTATATCTTGACCGTAGCACAAATCACAATTACTATCATCAGCAGCCAGATCTGACCACCTCCACATCATGCTCCAAACTCTCTCTCCAGCTCCCAATCACCATTCCACGGCCCCCAAATAACATCCAACGTCCAAGTTGACAAGGATATACAATACTAAGGCGAGGGAAGAACACCGACAAATCCGAATTGGGCTTTTCACTCATTGACCCTTCCAAAGCATTAAGTTCAAAACACGACCTTGGACTTGAAGATAGCAACACATCTGCTAAGTAAGTTACGCCTACTCAAACCGGCCTCTGCCCCCAAACACAATGCATCTCCGTATAAGCATGAATCGTCCTATCCTTCAAATCCCTCTTAACCTTCGCCAGCAGGACTTGCACCTCCTCATACGACCACCCCAAGACATTGATAAACAGTCGTAACGAAAACGCTTCAGCTCCTTGATTCAGCATCACGAAGTTATACGCTCCCAATAATTTGTGATGTTTATCGGAGGCCCATGGTCCGATGGGGATCTTGTATACCTTGTGCATGATGTCGGTGAAGCCTGCTTCACGCATCCAGGTTTCGAGATGGAGGCCTGGACAAGGTTCACGACCTAGGTGGAATTATTTGTTAGTAGGGAACTTGGTTAACATCACGTTAAAGGATGGTGTTGGTGATTTGTGGCAAGTGAAGGTTGCCACTCCCAGACACAACGCGGATCTCGGGGCTTACCTATCATACGCCCGGCCCGAGGCATGTCGTCACCCCATGCTTTGAGCGTGGTGCCATCAAGTGTGCCATCATCGCTCCGATACGTCAAATCGTAGTCTGTGAATTCAGCGATGCCGCCTGGGGCAGTATGGCTGTGGCCGGGATTAGAGCTATACAGAAGGCACGATTCAAGGGTTAGCAACGTACTTGTAAATTTGTTGAACAAGACGGGGCCAGTCTTTGATGGCATAAGCCATGTATCGGCAATGAATATAATCGAAAGGTTGAGGGTGGGCAAATTCTTCTTCTATGTCGTCGATCTCGAATTTTACGTTTGGAGGGACGAGATTTGGTTGGATTGGGGAGATGTCAACACCGAGTACTTCCGCTGACGGATATTCATCGGCTTTCAGTTATTAACAGCTGCTTCGAAAAGTTGCCTGGAAAGGGAAGCGCATACCGAAATCCATTGTCCATATTCCAGTGCCCTAGGAGAGTTTAGCACTACTTTACTTCGTGCAATGGTTTTTGGGCGTACGTACACACCCTACATCAAGAACTCTTTGAACGGTTTTTGGAACGGTAGCTTCAAACAGCTTTCCGCCTTTCATTACTTTGAAAATGTGATGCATCATGTCTAGTCGATCAACTTCAACCTTTTGCTGATTTCAGCAGAGGAACATGCGATTGGGAGCTTCCTAGGGAGATACCTCATCGTTTGGCCGAATATATTCTACGGATGTCAGTTGGTGAGTAAGCAGTTGAATGAAGTTCGCTCACCTGATGAGTCTTTGTAACTGGATCACATAAAGTTGGTTTTCAATTGTCTACGAACGAGGAAGACGCAGACTTACGCATGATACCTACATTCGGAGTAAGCAGCTATATTCAAAACCACAACCCATCGATCAGACGTACCTCCTTCCATACTCATAAGAGTGTTTCCAGACTTCGCTTGTTAGTGATGCGGAATAAGTCGAGCTGCGAATCGATCCAATCTCGTCAGTGTCTGCATATCTCAAAGAACAAGTACAGAGATTCAATTGCAAAATCTAAATGCGTACACATCATCTCCAAGAGCTGAGTCGGCATCGTCTACCCACTATATACTTAGATGTCAGCCATTGCTCTTCCCATTGGAGAAATTCCACTTGAGAGCAGGAAGCAGAACCTCTTGGTCGACACCTATGACATTCGGCTCTGGTACTTCCGCGCTAGAAGCCTCCTGGGGATTTGTAGTTGGGCTTTGTGGATGCGACTGAGACGGTGATGCTGGCGCACGTGGTGAACGAGGTGAACGAGGTGAAGTCGACGTCTGAGGTGCGGGGACCGCCTCGCTACTTGCTTCCTCCGTTATTCCCGAGACAGGCGCAGGTGTCTCGGACGTCGAAGCCATCCTTATTCGCTTTCTCGCTCCAACAGTCTCTCTTGTGTTGCAGTGCTTGAGGGCATTCAAGCTTCCGGGAGAATTGTAGTTGTGCTGGATTGAGATGCAGTCCAGAAGCTGCGACAACCTTCCCTTTCTTCAATAGCGATTTCCTTCGGACGCTACCCGAATCCGCCAGCCATTCGCTGCGGCGCAGAATCTGCACTATTGGTGCGATTACTTGGCCCGCTCTTAGCGATACTTGGCTTGGCAGTGAGTGTGGAGTTAATCTCATACCAAGCGAAGTTAGGCTTAGTATGGATTTATATGAAGCTTTTCCGTCTCCACTTTTTCTGACAATACCTGCAAGTCACGTTTCGTGACGTTATCCATCCTAAGCAGGTGGGGTCGATATCAGAAAGGTATTGAGTTTCTGCTCCTTTCAGTCTTCCTGGTTCCTGGTATCGGAATTTCAACAATTGCTCTACTACTGTCAACCATGCCAGATACATTCAATGATACCATGTCCCAGGATTTCCTGGTCCAGGACAAATTAGCTCTCAATGCCGCAGAAAACACCATCCCAGGCGCTGTTTGCTGGGCAATAGATTCGACAGGGAACCCCGTTCTACCTCCAGATACCTTAGGGCATCGCTCTATTCTTCCTGACGCTCAACCTATGTCTAAGGATACGGTATTCTTCTTAGCTTCCACAACAAAACTCGTGACTGCTGTCGCTGCGATGCAATGCGTCGAACGTGGGTTAATTAGCCTCGATGACCCCGTAGGCAAGCACTTACCAGAAATCGACAACGCAAAAGTCATTGAAGGATGGCGACAAGATGAAAATGGCAAAGAAGAGCCAATTTTAAGACAAGCAACGAGTCAGGTAACTCTTCGTCAACTTCTTTGCCATACCAGCGGCGTGAGCGCCAGTATCTTTGACCCGTAAGAGATATAGAATTCTGGACGAAACCTGGTTCAAGTCTTGGATGAGACTTATTGACCTTGGCATAGGGTCTATCGAAAATATAATGATTGGAAAGGGTGGCCGCAACGCAATCCCACGACTCCGGAATTGATGGCACATCCGTTGAGATTTGACCCTGGGACAAAATGGATATATGGTTTTGGGATAGACTGGGTATGTATCGAGATACGCACAACTTTCCATGCATGTCTGATGTTGTTTAGGCCGGAATTCTGGTAGGACGCTTGAACAATTGCACTTTGGGAGAGTATTTCCAGACAAATATCTTCGACCCGTTAAAGTTGACTTCCACAACATTACGACCAACAAAACATCCAAAAATCCAAGATCGACTGGCGTCAATTACCGTAAGAGATAAGTTAGGACAATTACAACCAGAGCCGTTCAACATCTGGTTGAAGGACTCAGAAGAAGTGGAGATGGATTCAGGTGGCTATGGGCTATTTTCCACCGCCGAAGATTATATTTCCTTTCTCCACACCTTCATCTTGGATGACAATCCTCTTCTGAGCAAGGAATCAATGGATGAGATGTTCAAGCCACAACTTCCGAGCTCTGAATGGCTGAAAGCAAATGCCGTGGATTCAAAGGGTATCGTCATATCTGGGAACATCATGTTCCCAGAGTCTCCTGTTAATCATGGGCTGGGATTTATTCTCGCTGAGGAAGACTTACCAACCGGTTGTACTGCCTGGGCTGCCGAAGGAGGAGGACTGACGAAGTGAGTTTGCCTTTTCCGCATTCTTCTTATGCGACCGTGAGAGTAACTGTTCCTGCAGCACATTTTGGTGGATTGATAGAAAGGCAGGAATTGCTGGTGTGGTGTTCCTCAATATGTTACCATATATGGATACAGAAGCGGTCCAGCTTTGGAAAAAGTTTCAAGCGAAGACTTATAGCAAGCTGAAAGAAAGGTGAACAGCCGGCCACTAGATAGCGAGCATTTTTAGAGTCTTTCAATGACAATGGGAAAGCGGTATTAGTTTGTGCGTAGCTGCCCATTTATCGTGGTGACAATTGTAATTGTTTATTAGACAGGACAGGTTCGCTTGTACTGTGCTTTTAACAGCTAATTTTCCTTTTCATAATCAGCGATCGACTTCGATTTCAGACATCGTTTCTTTTCTATGTTCTTAATACTTGGACTGCCATCAATATGTATAAACTTGAGGTTAATAGAAGAGCTTAACGCATACTTCGATATTTGTGTAAGACATTATGTAGGGTATCCGCGGATATACACAAACTCAATCCAAGAAAAGCCATTCAACCACGAAAGTCGTAAACACCCCCAACACAACACATTTAGACGACAGATTCACCACATAACCAGAACATCACAAACTTCCCCGCACGCTCGCACATAGAAGGGCACACTACCCCTCGTGACGAACGCGCGCAATTCCCGACGTATTCGCACCCTGATGATACGCAACACTTCGCTTATTCCTCCACCCCCACCAGCAACGCCAGAGCAGCAAAAGTATAATGATAAACGCGATACCCCCAATAACTCCTCCCGCTATCGCGCCAGCTTTGGCGCCCTTGCTGAGATGATGACTGTCGCTAGTACTTGTAGAGGTTGGCTTAGCTGTCGTTGACGTGCTCGAAAGATGGGTTGTCGAACTAGTTAGGGTGGATGATGTGTGTAGAGATACGGTGGAGGAGGAGGTTGAGCTCAATGTTGTGAGTGAGGAGCTGGAACTGCTTTCGAATTCAGAGGCGTTGACGCAGCCGGATTGGCAGCCGTTGCTGACGAGACAGCTGGGTGGAGATGAAATATTAGTGAGTACAATAAAATCGTAGGGTAGACAATTGGATGAGTGCTTGTTACTTACTATGTCTCGTTGGACCCGCAATACCTGTCCCACATAGGTTGTTTAGCTTCTTATCGTGCTAGTTTATATGTTGAGAGGCCAAAACTCACCCATTGATACTGCAACAAGCTCGTCCTGCTACAGGCAAACATGGCGCATTATTATGCTGAACACCGCATTCGCCGTCTGCACCAGGTAGTACGGTCGATGAAGCTGCCGCTGCCGAAGAAGTCATGGTCGCAATATTGTACGGAGTACTGGGATAAGCCTGCCGTAGCTCTCGTAGCGAGGTACCCCTAATGATCCTAACAGCGAGGCGAGCCGAAGGAGTGACCAAGCTAAATACTGGGTCGTAGGATCTTCGTGTGAAGGAATTCAGCAAAAGGGCAAGAACGCGACAAGGAAATATAATTAAAATGAGCAGAAGAGAGATTTTGTTCAACGAGGCTGCGGAATGCCTCGAATACTACCCAATTTCAGGGCGGCGGCTGAGCTTTGATGGACTATGCTGGATTTGGAGACCGAAAAGCCATCGTCCAGCCTCGTGCGGCTAGCGCGTACTTTTGCATTTGTGACAGCCTGTCTTCACTTGATCAGTCTGAATGACTGAGACAGAGATCTCCAGGAGTTTGTCGGAAGGCCCTTTTGAAGTGGGTCGGTATCTTACGCAGAAGATAATCGCATTACGTTGTTCTTGGTTGAGTATCTAGGTAGCGTACAGACCAGCAAGAAGTCGCTAGGCAATATTCTTGGTGACATGGCTTCTGCCCGAATCGCATGCGCCGCAATTTCGCTTGAAGGAATCCATGCTCCTCCGGGTGAATGGGATGCAACAGTAGAATACGAACAAGAGACACGTCTATCCCTGCAAATGCTTGGTAGGTTTCGAGGGAGTGTGTAAACAAGCGGTCTTCTTGTTCCAGCTCGTGGATTCGAGATATCAAAGGCCGATAGCATCTGAAAGTAGCAAGTCGTCGAAGCGCAATGAGCTTCATTATCAAAATCTGACCAAGCTCGTCTATGAGCAGGGCAAAGGCGTCTTCTTGAAGAAACTCTCAACTGATGTTATCAACAGTTGTGTATCTTAAGATTATTCAGTATAAATCTAGCTAGCTTGTTGATCAGATTGAAAAGAAATGGATATACGCGTATGCATTTGACAAAGCTCGAAATGAAATATCTGTCTTCTGTTATGATAGAAGATGCTGGATCGTAGAATATCAAAGTGAATCAATAGGAAGTCCGCCACCACCCAAGATCTTAGTACGAAGTTCAAGCTTCTGCTTGCGCATCCAGCATTACCCGCTTGCTATAAACACTTTTCTCGTTCATGTGCAGCTCCAAGTGGACCATTTGCGGCGTTAAAGTGATGGAAAGTTTCATTGGCGCAACGTAGAAAGTACGACTGAGAAGACCAGACTTAGAGGCTGTGAAGTCTTGCAAAGGAATGTCCTTGAGGTCGTAATCGATGGTGTGGAATACGCTGAGTTCTATGTTGCGTTAGTTACACATGGAACTAGCAGTTTTGGAGAAGGAATACGAACCATTTTCCGCATTGCTCAATCGATCAGGGAGGTGATCTCTAGGTCCACCATATGTGTATATGGGAAGGCTACGTGCCCGAGAGCCAACCTTTGGGAAGTTCACCTCGAATGAGAAACTGTCCTTCTTGGGTTTGTCGGACAAAATAAGATCGTCTTTCTTGATCAGCCAAACAAGCTGGTCTCTGGCCATCACAGCACCAGTTAATGGGTCCTTGTAATGATCATCGGTATCATGCGAAATCTCGGAAAAAGATGCATTGTGACTAATTCCGTAGCTTCGACCGCAGGCACTCATTTTTGTGAGAGTTTTGTTCGTTGATTTTTCGATTCCGAAGATGGCAGCACCACGAACAACAGCCGTCCATCTGCATAATTAGTGATACAATCGTCTCAGAAGGTCAAGTATGGATATCACTTACGAAGTTTCAGGGATACATAAGTCAAGCCGCCTCATATCGAGAGACCGTCTGATGGTCTCCTGCAAATAGACGGACTCCGCAAAACCACCCACGAGGAACACATGCTGTTCAAGGTTAGATATCGTAGCATAGCTTACGTACAGAAGAACAATCATACCCTAAGACGAGTTCTGCGCTTCTCAATTTGTTCTCGTTGACCGTCAATCAATTGGACAATATCATTCGCGGAAGGCTCGAAGAAAGACTTCATGACTTTACTACATGATATTAGCAAACATATCGTACCACAGAAATACCACGACTGACTATGGAATCGTCACTTGACCTCCCCAGACTCTGTCGTCAAGATTCAGATCTTCGAATGGTTCCGGTAAGTTGATCAGAATGGGTTCTTTGTCAGGGTCGTTCCTGAACCTCCTCTTCTGGATATCAAACCTTTTCATCAGCTCACGCATTCGCATTCCTTCTGAATCGTGAGAGCTGATCTTTGTCGTTCGTTGTCCTTGCTCTTGTTCGGACTCTTCTGCTTGGTCAAGTTCTTGGTATAACTCTTCTCCCAGGTGCCATTTGAGCCACTCTTTGAATTTCAAGTTGATGAAGATTGATCCACATTTCTTCCCTGGTCGAATCTTAGCACGCAGCGCAACGACAGAATACGAAGGGTACAAACCTGTTGGAAGAGTGACTGGTTCGATCTCAAATGTTGGTTGCAGCTGCTTCACTTGATACGATACCACGTCCTGAACAATACTGTGTTAGACTAAGGCATTATGGCAGATGGGCAATGATGCTTACAACTGTACCACCACCTGCGTCGCAGAGGACGAAACTTTCGTCTTTCTATGTACTTATCAGCATCTCCTGCTTGCACCGCCAAACTACAAGGACTTACGCCAAGAAACTCTATACCTTTCTTCTCTTTTTCATACCTTGCAGTGTATATAGCAGCGGCCTCAGGTTCGGAGATCAAAAGCATCTCACTGAGACGTGGGAAAGTATCGCTATTGAATCCAGCTCTTTGAAGAGCTCTGAAGGTAGAGTCTTTGGCTCTATATCCCCATTTCTGTTCGGACGAGTCAGCATCTGATGTCTTCTACCTTCATGTAAGGACGTACAGCAGGAACAGTGGCAATAATATCAACAGGCATCGTTCTTCTCAGAGAATCCGTGATTGTGAATGGTTCTTTCTTCAAAGCCTGCAGCAAGTTTTCAAACACTCTCGTCAGGTAGTCTGTCACAATATCCTCAGGTCCTTTGCAGGGATATTTTGGTGCCCCGCTAGCTTCCATGATGTATTTGAAATCCAGCTTGTGCATCCCTTTCAATGCTTGTAGTATCAACTCCAACTCTTCGGATGGGCCAGCAACGTCTAGCTGGAGCTTTGTGTGAACCCTTCTTGAATCAGCATACTTCCTTGAAACAACAAGCGAGAATATCGAGAGCTTTTAAGTCGCACTAGAGTCCTGCAGCGAGCAGAACCCACGAGACAACCTGCCACGAGACAACCTGAAAAGACGAACTCGGCTGTGAAAAAATCACTCACATCGCAATCGCTTCTGGACTGAGATTTGTTCCCCATTGTTGTTCTCCTCCAGGCGCAAGCGAATATGATATAACGCTAGGTATTTTCTCGTGGTTGTCCATGCCATGACCCCAATCCTGTATGATATCCACTTCCTCCAAAGAAGCTCGGTGTCTCGCCGGCGTAGCGATCGCGACCCCTGTTTGAGATAGTGTTAGCATGTAGTCTTAAATTAAGCTTATTCCCAACCTTATTCTCACGTACCTGTATATGTCGTGCCATAGTCGATTGCGATTACCAGACGCCGTTCCTCCACGTCACCACGAACCGGCGTCCCTCTTTCAGAGCCTCGTGGAGTATTCGAGCGCGGTTGATCTGGTGGAGGTACTGGCGGGGTAAACGTTCGAGAGGCCTGGCGGCGTCGTTGAGCTTCGGATAGAGCATCCATTATTGCAGAGAGCGTTCACAAACTTCCTTCGACAATTGAAAAAGTCTTCAGAAAATCACTCTGGAGTCGAAATGAGGCTTTGGAAGATGTGGTCGAGTGAGGCTGCGGGCCTACGGCCTGGGAGCTGAATGCCCTGCTGCATAACTTCGGGTCCGTGCGGACAGCTCAGCGTCAACCCGAGCTGGCAAGGCTCTGAATCTACAAGTGTTCAATTCTACTGCACAGTCCTCATATTGCATATAGAAATCTAAATCGTTCCTAGCTACCTAGGCCAAGGATTGGAATCGTGGTGATAATGGGGAAGTGAGTCTCAGTAGCTCTTTTCAAACGTCCTGAACGCTCACGCTAGGAAGGCTACAGAAGGGTCTTGAATGGATTGCAGCCCCATTAACCCAGAAAAAGGCAGACCCACGACAATTCGGTAGCCTAGAGGCCCAATTCGACGGGAACAACTTTGCGAAAAGTGGTGCGCAAGCAGCTTTTGGTACTGGCAAATATGGCAATAAAGAACAGGATTCTCGCGCAGATTCTGGCACGCAGAATGCACCCACGAAATACGGGCCGTACTTCAGAGAAGAAGAGGGCCCGACTCCAATGTCTGAGATACACCGCGATCTCCTGCACGTACAGAAGAATCTGCCAATTATACGCCTCAGGAGAGAAATTGGCGATCGATGTAGTTTGGAAGATGCAGCAGACGGGCTATACACCATGATAAAAGCATTCAGAGCTATGTCCCAGGACATGAAAGATCTAAAGATAGATCTGGGACGTGCCGAGGAGTTTTCCAAGTTCCTTCAAGCGGATTTCGAGGGAAAGAAGAAGAGTTACGAAGAAGACATTTCTACAATAAGGAAAGAGAGTGAGAAAAAGATCAATTTTCTTGAGGGTAAAATCTCGAAACTCAACGAACGAGCACAGAGGCACGAGGACAAACTGGAGGGTCTCAGGAACGAGAACCAGAACAAGCTCAACTTACTAAGCGCTCAACACAGAACGGCATTGAACGAACACCAAGACAAGATCGACTTGATGAACGCTCAACATAGGAGTGCGTTGGACGAGAAGAACAGGTCGATCGAGGCGCTCAAGATAGATCACTCTCGAATGACGGCTGGAATGGTGCAAAGTTACACAGACAAGGAGAACAAACTATTGAGAGCCCACGAACGCGAGAAGAAGTCGATGAGAGATGAGATGCACGCAAGACAAACGCAACACAAGCAAGAGTTAGCCGAAAAGGATATGGAGCTTCAGTCTTCCAATCTCAAGCATGAGGAGGAAAAGGATAGAATGACTCAAGATTTCCAACGAGAATTGTCCGATCGTGTCAACGAGTTGATGCATGTCATAGAAGATCTCAAAGGAGACATGGTGAAGAGAGATCACTTCAAAGGCATGAGTGATAAGATTCTAGCGGACAAATTTCAGAACATCAAGAGCGAAGTCGAACAGTTTGCCTGTATTGGATGGGACGAGGGAATGGACACAAGGTGGCCAGTTTCGCGGATCACGCTCAGGAATTCCGCCAACGAACGACGGACGAAACAATACATCCTGCAAAACGCTCTCTGGATCACTCTCTACCAAAGAATCTTTCGTACTCCATTCCGTGTCTTTGGTCCTGAAGGTAAATCCATGGAAGTTACATGGGTCGGAGTGTTTGGCAAAGGTAGGTTCTATTCCATGAGTTCGTTCAATTGCTCATTTACTGTAGATCGAACGGCGGACGCGGGATCTGGAATGGCACTTTGTCCGCCATTAACGAAAGACTCTGAGAAATGGAGATACGAAAACATGAAGGTATGTGCTGATGCAACTAAAAGACCTGAGGTGGACTGGGATTTCAACCTGAAACGAGACTACGAGACATATCTAGAGGAGACCTCACGAGAGCTCTGCCAGGAGCTAGAAAAAGTTGCCATGATCAGTAACAGCCAACGTGGGAAGGTCACCAGACTTGTCAACGAAGCAGCAAAGCTATGGGTTGAAGTGGGACTACAACGATGTCGAATATTTCTCCTCATGTCAAATCGTAACGTCGAGCCGGAAAAAGTCAGTCGTACGTCTTTCGATGATCATACAGGTCTAGTCGTGCAGCCAGAGCTTCACCGGAGAGGAAATGTACAGGGCGAAAGATTGGAGACTGATGAGGTGGTAATGGATTGCAAGGGAGATTTCATCATAGTTAATCTTTCGTAGCTACTTGCCCGAGAAGGCAGAGATTTTTCTTTTCGAACCACTTAGGATCGATCATGACCTCACAATAATCATTCCACTTGTGCCCAGAATTTTTTCGAGTAATTATGGATACGTGTAGAGCTGGGTTCCAAAGTGATAATACTGAACGCCGCGGGCGCAAGTGAAGGTGTCAACGAATGCATTTCAGTGCAGTAATGCGAAAATTAAAACCTTTCGGCATGCCAATCTCTGTCAGAGAAAGCCTTGACAGGACTCAATTCAAAATGCCCTTTAGTCCTGATGGTTGTCGAAAGACAGACGAGGCTCCCCAACCGCCGAAAAGAGGGCGTCCATGCATGCCATGGGCTCAGGCAAATTGGCGCAAGCTGGGCGTCGCAATAAATAGCTCACAGCCTCCACACATCACTTCGTTGCGACCTCACGATCATTCCTGCGCTCTGTTCTCCATGGGCCGTGAATGCTACCTAGACTCTCACCGCCGCGGATATATACAACAGCTTTTTTTTTTCATGCGCTGTTGCCGCAGCCTGCCCATTTGGAACGATACACGACCCTAAGCCTCGAAAGCCCGAAATCTACGACGACAACATAGATTATTCTGACAACAAAATCGACTCTATCCTGTGGAAATGAAAATGGGTTGGACCGATAAGCTATCTATTCGCAATCCCCTTCATCGGCGCTCAGAGTCCCAGAGCACATTCTCCTCCAGCTCTACATCCGTCAACTTCACCGCGTCGAACGGAAAGCCCCTACCAAAACCGAAACCCTCAGTGCTTTCGCCGGGCGACAAACCGCCTCCTATCTCCCGAAATTACGACCAAGAAGAGCTTGCGTTGCAAATTCGTGATCTCAACGAATTGATTTTGAAGCGCTATGCACTGGATATCGAGATCTACAGTTTGAGAGACTGTTCTTCACGGGATAGAAAGATCGTGGAGGACAAGATGCGGCGCTCGGACGCAGCCCTTCAGAAGATCATGATCACCGTCCAGTCATGGGACAACCGAAAGAAATGGAAGTCCCCCGCGGATTATGACAAGATACGAGTCATCAGAGATATGTTAGATGAGGGCGGCAAGCGGGTCTGGGCAGGGAATCCACCTTGGGAGGAGTAAACTAATTTATTGACGTGGATGTGTTGTATTTGGTGGTCAGCAATATACATCTTGGCTTTCGTGATGGTGTGGTGAGGCTGTGGGAATGAGAGCACAACTGTCAAATATTGAACTTCCAGGTGCTTTATCGTGAGAAACTTATCGATCCAATAATAAATGCTTGCAGATATACAACTGAGACAACAACTGTCATTGGGTGGGTCAGGTCGCTTAGGCCAAGCCCCTTTTTGGAGCCGAGCCAATCACAGCTTCGACGTATTGAGAGGGAGAGTACGCTCGAAGAATCACTTGATAGGGCCATGTCATATTTCACTTTGCATGTCTTTTGCATGTCTAAAACAATGAGGTTAGCTTAGGCTTCGGATGAACGTGATTCGCATTGGTAAGTGAAGATCGAGTTCAGAGGGGTTTTTATTTTTCCTTTTCTTGGTTATGGAGGCGCAACACGAAAGTCAATGCTTCGCCACGCAGGCATCAAGGAGGCACCTAATGTGAAGTCCTCAAATAACCCCTTCTGTCTTTCAAGTCCTGGTAGAGTATCATCGCCAGCCACCGAACAGAATCTCCCTAGCCCCCAATCAAATTAACGCCACAAAACCTCCATACCAGATCGGCTGCCAAGTCAAAAATGAGAAAACGACCGCCCATCATTGCTGCCAAAACTTCCCATAGAGGTATTCGCTGTCCCACTTATTCATGACGAATACCTTCTTGTTCTTCGGAGTCTTGATCTTGGGGATCCAATTTCCTTGATTGACTCGCAGTTGACAGAAGGGAAAGTAGTAGGGCTCGAGGGCACTGAGATAGCCGCCCCACAACTCTCGAGGACACGTGAATAAGACGCAAACGTAGGTAAGAGACTCGAACTTGTTTATTTCAGTGACGATTTGGCAGAGGAAAGCGTTGTAGTTGAAGGTAACGCTGCTAAAAGATTAGTATACATTCGAAAATGGGGCAGCTTCTTAATTTTAGCGGTGTGGACAACTTACTAGGAATCTTGATGTCAATAACCAACTTCTGCATCTCTTTGAGGAAGGGAGCAACAAGTGCAAGCTGTTGAAGAACGGAAGCTTCTTGATCGGTGGACTTCAGGCTCTTCTTATTGAGCTCGATGCAGATGTACTTGTTCTTGAGGAAACCTGCCTTGACAGCAGTCGACATCTTCCCAAAGTAGTCGCACGGCACAGAGTATGCTGCTGCATTGAACTGCTCGACGTGGGAAGTGTATGCGCCGTTGCGACCATACTTCGTGACCCTACGCCACTCGTTTCTGGTGATCGTGCTGCGTGCAATTGTGATATCGGAATGGGCACCTGGCTTGCGATCGATGAGCTGTTCGTGGATCGAAGCATTGTTGCCTTGAGTAGAAGAGGTCGAGTTGGAGAGGTCAAGAGCATTAACCTTCTCGACGATGGACTTTCCGGCCATTGTGATCTGTGTAGAGTTTTATGTAGGTATGAGGGTGCTTCTGGGAGGTCTTGCTTGAATGATAGGCAAACTAAGGCTTTGCGAGCGCAACAAAATTGGCACGGATGCGAAGTGGTTCGTAGCTGAAGATGGCTTCGTATTGTAGGGCGCGCGATGAACAGATATGCAGGATAGGGTGGGTGGAAGAGGTCGGTTCCGTATTGTGTACTGGAAAGGTGCAGTTGTCTTTCTTGGATTGAAGGAAGTGGTTATATATATATAGCGTGAAAGCACGCGAGTCTTTACCACTACAAAAAGACTAGCCTTCTTCACCACAGTTTATCAACAGTTCGCGTACACTATCCGCCCAATGGCGTTGTGAGTACAGCTAGTCGTGTACTTTCAAACAGCTTACTTTGACCTTAAAACCTCCTGATTAACACAAGTGCTCTACCGCTGCTATACAGCACCTGGTACGTGTTCAACAGGCGCAGCTGAATGTGAACTACTATCAATGTTCAATGTTATCTCCTGGCTGTCAATTTGGAACGATAGGACCTCGCTCTCCATTAGCTTGTATTAAGATGCGGCACCGTGTCTAGACATCATGATTCATGGATTACCAAACACATGAGGATATATTTGAGATCGACAAAGCTTGCACGTCGGTGGTTTTTGAAGTGAGGTGGCTCGGTGTCGAGACCTTACACACCTACCATCACAGCACATCTTTGAAGGTATGCTCTTCTGTGAAAACTAGCAAGTTCAATTTTCCCTTTACGACTGTTGCTCCTGTTCAGGTGTTCCATTGCGACGTCTGAAGCTGTTCACCAATATATCTGCATGATTATTCAGGGATAGCGTACAACCTGGCACTTCTAGATATTGAATGAGGGGTCGCAAGTCGAGAATAAGCTCAACCTCCCTCCTGGCGACACCAGCCTCAAAAGACAGTGAGCTCGAAAATGAAAATGCAGGCACATACCATAGTAGATAATAGATAACTCAAGCCAAATTTCAATGTTCTAATCTCGCAGTCTCGTTTACGAGAAAAGGTCTGACCATCTCGCTTCAGAACCCTTAAATTCTCACTAATCCCACAATATCCTTGCCTTCAGCCCACATTCAAAAATTTCAACAAATCAAAAACATACAACAGCGGGTATTCGCTGATGGTCACCCACTCAACTACTAATCCGCCGATCTGAGACTTATGTATGGCAGAGCGGACGGGATGCCCAGGTTTCCTCAGTCTATGGTCGTATGTGACAGCAAATTCTTTATCAAACACTATATCACAGCTTCAGAGAAATTTGTCTCGACCACGGATTTGGAATTGGTTGAGAAAACCGAGATGCGTCCGTTACGAGTTAGCTGAATGTGGGGTCAGACAGGGATGAAGATAGGTCAGTTCGTTGACCCCGGGCCTATTTCTCACGTCAGCGATGCATACCAACCTTAAATCTGTCGAACATGTCCATAACCTTCATCAACTTGTATAATCTCAGTTTGTGATCTCTCGACATATCTAGTGATCCATTTGCCTGTCACTCACCACATCATGGCAGCGCCGCCTAGCAGAATGGAGGTCCTCAAAGGCTCCTTTGAGACTCCACAAGCTCTATCACGACCGATCATCACTTACGTGAACGGCGACGTTTCGTGGCTAGTCTCCTTTCCTCGTCCTGCATCTGCGAAAAGCACGAATGGTAAAATCTATTACCATGTAGTTGTAGACCCGTGGTTCGGCCTGCCCTCGGTGTTCATGAACCCGCTTGTGCTCGAGATGAGACTGGGTCGAGATCCAGCGCTCTCAAGTCGCGCAGAACTTGATGCTGCTATTGTGGAAATTGAGCTTGCAGCGGGAAACTCTTTGGTTCCAACAGACTCTGATCCCGCAGTCGATGCGATTTTCATCATGGGCTTAGCAGAGCATTGCCATAAAGAGAGCTTACTCCAGTTCTCTATCTCCACGCCCGTTTTTGCAGTACCTGGATCGGCTAGCAACATCACTTCGTGGAGCCATTTCGACACCGTGGTGACGCTTGCCCCCTGTGATCCCAGCAAAACGCCATGGGAAGAAGGACATCCTGGCTCACCATTGCCGGCATGGCTGACCATTTTCTCACCGGCAGTGAAGAACTTTAATAACTTTGGCCTGGTACTCATCACCTCTGCCAATGCTCTCGAAACCGAAATGATCCTGATGGCACCACACGGCATTTCCAGTGATGAGCCTTTTATCAAGGGGCTACTCGCAACGACAGTGAAGATGCTGGCATTGGTAGCGCCCCTCAAAAACAGCTACTCGTTCGGGATCAAGACGGTGTTGGGTGTCGATGAGGCGCTCATCCTTACACAAGCCGCGGGAACACGCTACTATGTGCGCAACGGTGATTTTGTGAGCTTGAAGTACAAAGGAATCATTGGCTGGTCGGTGCGCGATGAACCTCATGATCTACAGTGGGGTATTGACCAAGTCGGAAAGAAGCCTGGGGCTGAGAAGATAATCGAGCCGCCTATCATGGTTGAAGTTAGTAACGGAGGGAGTTACGTGCTTATGTAAATATATAGGTCTTGAAGTGTTGTTCCTTGTTTGTCAAGACAGTTTTCCTAGAACAAATTAGTGCTGACAAAATCATGAGGAGAAGGTCACTGCTGATTGTCCAACTGTTGCGGTAACGTTTGCCAATGCAAGCAACTGATGAGGAACTTCTAATTGAATGACTTAACTGTTCGGGATTGAGGAGTACGACCTCGATCCAAACAAGAAGGGCGTCAAAATCGACATCCCCACTGTCCAGAGCCTCGATAATACGACGACGAAAAACGCAGGAACCAGCCATCTGGGCGTCTGCTCTTCATGCAAGGCTACCCGTCCCCTGAATCACATCGGCTCAAAATTCAACATCGATCCGGAGTTCTTTTGCCGCCATCTGGAATTCGAACAGTTGCAAAGAGCCCCCACACACTTCTTCATGCCCTCGTTGCCATCGGCACGGGAGATCATACGCATCCGCATAACCTCTATCCTCTCCCGCGACGATTTCCACTTCCAGCCTGCGCACACGATTGCAGATCTGCGGAATTTGTGTAAGGTGCATATGGCAAAGTACTTGAACAACCTCGTGAAGAGTCTCAATGTATCCGTATCTGAGTCGATTGTGCGACGCTTCTCAGTATATGATAAGCAGCATTTCTCAATCGAACAAATGGTTACAATTTGCGTCACCCATAACACACAGGATTGGATGGGTACGCAACCTTCTGTTCTCTCTAGAACTTTAAGAACGTTCTTTCTGACTCCCAAAATTTCTAGCACTCATCTGGCTCAACCACGGGAAAGATCTCGGCCATTCTTCAACCGGACCCTGGAAAGTATTGCAGTGGAGTAGCAGAACCCCAAAGAACCTTGCTGTCCTCCCAACTATCCAGTACCGTAGTCGCATAGCTCTCAAGCGCGAGCCCAACCATGCAAGCCCTGATCATCCTGCAGCGGAACAAAACCCTTTAAGTCTGCCACATAACGCTGCTTGTCTCGCCTCTGATTATGGACGGTCTCTACGACCTGAAATCATGGAATGTGATGCATTCTACGCCCTCGACGAGCTGTTCCGCTTCGCGATTGCCTCTGATAGCCAATTCCTGGAGATGATGAAGCATAAGATCAAAGCTCCCACGATCACGGGAGGCGGTGGTCGCATCGAGGACCTGGATGCAGCGCTGGACTTAATAGAAGATCATCACCAATACATCAGCGAGAACCTGGAAACGGTGCGTGCGGGTGGTCATCCGAACTGGCCTAAGGCGCCCGAGAAGCTGCGGAAGAGGGCGAGCGCTGCGAGGGAACGGTTGGAGGGCGATTATAAGTATCTATTAAATGATGCAGAGCGATTAGCGCAAAAGTGCATGGAAGGCATCACGATTATGATGAACGACGCAATGCTGCGTTAGTCGCAAAGAGCGACTGAGCAGATGGACGCTACAATGAAGCTCACGCTCTTGGCGTTCATTTTTGCGCCGCTGTCGTTCATGATATCATTCTTTGGGATGCAGGTTAGAGAGATCGAGAATAAGGGGATCAGCTTGTGGGTTTGGTTTTTGTTTACTTTCATGCTTCTTGTTATGTCGTTTTGTTTTTGGAAATGGCGAGTTCTAGCTCTACTGAGGCAGTTTTGCACGGCTCTTGGCGCCTATCTTTTTCGTTCTGTGTAAGAAATTCTAAGCGTTTTGGGCACCGCGACTGGTGGTATTATTGCAATTATATTTGGGAGCTACAGTTGTTCTTTTTCAATTTTGGAGACTTAAATGCTTCGAAAACGCATTTTGCTTTGCCCATCCCGCACTTTGTTCCTTTTCGCCAATCTGTGTTCTTGTTAGAACTAGCAAATTCTTCTCCTTCCTCATGATCATCTTGAATAATACCAAACCAGTTCGTCAAAATCTTGGTCTGTGAGTTGGTCCACAGTCCGATTGTCAGCTGGCACGATTTCTCGTCGGAGCTCCATTGCACTTCTCAACTGCGCGTCTCCTTCCACAATGTTCCCAATGGCTTTGAGCAATCTTCCCTTCATGAAAGAAGAGCGTGCCGCTTGAGGCTTATACCACCTGATATCGCGATAGACCTTGATACTTTGCTCCAGCAATTGACTTTGGTGGTCAGCCCACATAACACAGAACGGCCTCTGCTGTCTTGGAAAATCAACTCACTTTGCTTCTTGACTTTGCCCTGTCCTGATGAACTGTTCTGCTAGACGGTAGCAAGTATCTGCGGTGATGAAATGGTTGTCCCCGATCGTGGCTCTGAAAATCACCAAAGCTCGTTGGAAGAGGTCGACGGCATCGTCCAACGATCCTTGGGCACGTCGAGCATCCCCCAGTGCATGAAGAGCTTTTCCGGTTCTAAATATTATCAGAGAGAGCACAGTATTTGAGCTGGATCACCTACACCATGGAGGTCTTATCATCCTTCCCAAACCCCTCCTCGCGTGCCTTCAAAACTGGCAACAAGATGTCCTCGCCTTTCTTCCCTTCGTTGCGCAGAGAATACATGATCGCCAAATGGATTGCCGGCCATTCTTGTCGTAGCAATTTGTTATCGCTGGTGATATTGCCAAAGGCGTCATAAGATTCCCACCAGGATTGGATTGCTCTATCGTATTCCTTACTGCGTCCAAGAGCCATGCCACATACATTGTACGATTCCGCCAGCTGGATCGCATCCTCTTCCCGATTCCATTTTTTGATGCGGTCTATCACCAAGTCTATTACCGCTTGGATTTCGTCAAGGCTTCCGGAGGTATCGGTAAAAATGTAAGAGACTGCGAAATACTGGTGGCTCTCTGAGAGCATTTTGTTCAGCTCTTCGCTTTTCTCAATGTCTTCTTTCGGAATTTGGTTGAGAATTTCAAGGGCTAGGGATGCGTAGATGCCAGCCTCGTCGTCATACGCTCTTTCAAGTCGATACCTAAGAGAGCCGGTTAGAGTGGAGGCATTCCGAGTGCTATTTTGCTCATCAACCTACCACGCGACTTCATTAAACAGAGCTGCACACCTATTGCTAGGTTTAAATTTCTTTGATTTGATAGCGTCCTCGAACAGTACTCGGATCCGTTCAACATGTGGAAAGAGAGACTCGCATTTGATGAGACGATCGACCATGTTCCGCTGATCAAAGTTGATGGAAGGCCAGCAATTGGACAGCAATGCAATAACGCTTCCAAATACGACATACCATTTCTCATCCGTGAGCTTCTTCCTAACCACTTCTTGGACTAGTCGATGGATAGAAAGCTCATTATTCTTGATGTCTCGAAGAATCAGAGAACTTTGAATGAGTTCGATGCGAGCGTCGAAATAAACAATTCTTGTTTTTGGGCAATGTGGAACATCGACATGTTTGGTGTTGCCCAATAGGATTTCTTCAGAAATGCGGTCCGGATCGAAAAACGACAATACCTGCAATAACGAGGTAGCTTCTTTGGACAGTGCATCCAGCATCCAAACAGACGAGACCGTCTGATTATACGTTGGATTTTGGCCTGGAACCTGCATCTCATGGAGCCGTTTTGCATCCTTTTCATAGTAAATCAGGAAATCCTCGAGTGAAAGATGCCGACGACGAATGATGCCGCCCATCTGCGTAATTGCCAACGGTAGTCCTCCGAGGAGCTCCACAATCTTTCTGCAAGATTCCAAGCTATTTACTTGAAATTCTCGCTAAGATAAAGTTTGAAGAAAGGGGGCGGCTTCGGCAAGGTCAAACGCCGCAAGGTTGATGCCAACATTTGGTGTATAGATGCTATCCATCGCCAGTGGGTTTCTGCTGGTGATTATGATACTTCCAACGCTTGTCAAAGGCCAGAAGCGTACATGATATCCCGGTCTTCCACATTGTCGAAAATAATCAACCAAGAAGCTTCCTCGTCTGCCCTGGGAGTTCCTTGATTAGCAGCAATGATAGGTTTCATCAACCATCCTTTCACAATTTCACGGCTAGCGATCTCATCACCCTTGACATTCAAGCCGTTCTCCAGACCCAGGGCCCGAGATATTTGGGCGAATCCAAGGTTGAGCTTTTGTGGAGTGTCAGCGTTTAGCCAGAAGATGGCATCAAACCTGTCCTTCCTGGAAAACATATATTCTTTCGCGATCTCGGTTTTTCCAAGACCGCCCATCCCGCAAACAACGAAGCTTCGCAGGCCATCTTTGCTCGGTAGCCCCGTCGTTGGGTCCAAGAATATTTCATCCATTTGTGCTAGGATATCCTTTCGTCCATAGAAGTCACTGTTCTGAGCGTGTCCATTCGTCAGATATGCAGGCACTCGGACCCCCCTCATTGGCAAACAAAAATCGGTTATGGCAACTTCGGTTATCGAGGTTGGCGATTTAACACCACTGGCCATGTTCGTGCCTTTAGAATCGCTTGCTGGTGCTAAACAAAGTTCGGTACATTAACGAGTAACCTGCAGCAAAAAGGACGTACTGTCTATGTCATCAGAGGAGTAAATGCTAGCCGCCGTGCGTAGAGTCGAATTATCATTGAATTGAAGCTTGCCAAAGAGCAAAGCTACGTTCCCGGGGGCCTCCTCGGCAACTGACTTGAAGAATTTGACGAGTCGCTTGTAGAATGGACTGTCAACCTCCACCAGGCCTAGTTGACTGTGATCTGAATCTGCTAAGAAGATCTGTTCGTATTTCAGACCAGTGCGACACAAATCTTCGTCTACCAGCTAGATAGCGGATGGAATGTTAGTGGAAGTTAAGAGAGCCGCATTGTAAAGGTTAACTTACAATCTGATTTTTATTAGCGTTCCGAATTGATTGAAGAAGGCCATCTCGGACCCTTGTCTGCTTTGCTTCAAAGACAGACAAGACAGGGATCTGAAGGTTCATCCTCTCGAAATTTTGGCAAACTTCCACAAGCATGTTGATGTCGGCATCGGTTTGAGACTGCTTCGATATGTCTTTGCGAGTCATTTTCAGGATCCATTTTGTCACAGAGTAGATCACATGATTCTGGCTGGTTCGGCTATTGTCAGCTCACCTGACTTAGTGCGAGCTTGGAGTATATAAGTTTGCTGCTCTTCTCTTATTCTTAGATCTTCAGACAGATTCTACTACGATCTATTATACCCATATTATCGTTCACCCTATATGAAGTGCTTGTCGACTACTGCGTGATACATTTCCAATTCTCCCATTTTTTGTCGTCTTTTGACGTTGTGTGAGGTGTCCCTAGAAAGATCATTCCGGACGTGACATCTTCTAACAAAACATCACGATTGGCCTGCTGATGGGAAATACTGAGAGCCTATGTACCATGTGAGCGAAATGTTCTTGTCATTTCTTCGTGATTTCGAGAATCATACATGTTTCAAGATGATCCCTCCCAGGCTGTGACAAATGAACATGAGAGGGCGTTGCTGAGTCTGTGAAAATAAGTCAATTTATTGCTCAATGTAGTGCTCGATGCTTCCGGAGTATCCCTGGGCATCTCTTCGAAGATCATGTAAAACTTCCAAGAGCGATGAGCTCTGATCGAGCAGTTGATTCCAGAGAGAGGTGCCATTGACATCGAGCTCATAACTGAAAAACAATACACGGGTATCATTCTGGGTTGCAGCAACAAGGGGCTTCAGCCATGAGCATGACTGTTTCTGTTGTTCAATGGTCAAGAGCGTCCACGCAGCGGGGATGATCACAATACTGTAGAAGCATGGTCAGATCAACACATCATGGCTCGCTCCCAATATGCAGAGGCCAGACTCACTCTATTCCCTCATCAGATACAACATGTTCCTTCAAATGGAATACTAGCTTCAGCTTTCCGCTATTGCGGACCTTCGTGACCATCTTGGCGTGAGAATAGCCTCTGAATGAGGTTGTGGGGGTGGGGGTTGAGAGATGCAAATACGGCCTGGTTGGTGGGGATTAACTTCATAAGATTCCGCAAAGCAATCGTACCGAGGAGGAAGTTAATTAAGGTGAACGTGAGCGCCTGCGTACGATGATGCTTGTGACACCTGGTGGGAGGCTCATTGAGTGGCCTGCTCCCAAAGTGAGGCGAACGGCAGCTTGGCTAAGCCACCAATACCCGAGCCAGATATCACAGGCTATTCACCGAGTAGAATGCCTGGAAGTTGTTGATTAGCTAGGCCGACGCGGCTGATTGAACTTAGCGATCTCATGTATTTGCCACAGCATTTCTCTGTGTGGTTGGTTCAGGTTCTCATTGTTGCCCTTCGGTTTGCAACTGCTCTACAATCAACATTAAATCTCACCTCAATGCGCCTGGATGGAAAATTGAACAGCACTCGACTCGCAAGATGGACATCCTCAATCCTGCTGAGTTTCCCCTTGCAAAACCCGCATCTCGCAACAGCCGCGCCTGGTTCCTAGACGAACTCGACATATATCAAACCGAGAAGCCTTACCGGCTTCGCTTCGAGTCTCCAGATCCTTCTATAGCACGCACAAACGTTAAGAACAAAGAAGCCTCGATCTCGATCCACGATCTGCGAAGCTACACTGAGCCCCTGGATTACGACCGCAACGGATTTACAACGATGTAGACGCAGAGCACGTTGACGACTGAAGATGCTGCCGATGAGCAGAAGGTAAAGCAGATTTATCTACAAAGCCTCAAACCAGTGCTCCGTGACTTTTTCCGGACGCCGAATGTGGTGATTTTGGAATACGTTGTACGTTCATTCAGCTTAAGAGTCGATTTGCGATATGTGACAGGTCTGAATCTTGGAACAGATTCGGAAACGAGAGGAGTCCTTTCCCATTTCCCATGGCGGAGATCATGAGACTAATCAACCGGTTCTGGTAGCTCATGTAGGTATGTGCTCCTGCTACCTACAAATACATGAGCATAATAATGACACTTATTACAGATTGGACTCCTCGGCATGTTGAATCAAGAGTCCGGAGGTTCATGGGCGCTGCCAAGGCAGAGAAGATCTTAAGTGGTCGTTACCAATACGTGGAGTGCGTACCTTCCCCCAACAATACACAAGCATTCCATTAATATCTGGCCCAAAAGCGTGTGGAAACCACTAAAAGGCCTAGTCCGAGACTGGCCGCTGGCACTACGCGACCTCTCATCCATCGACCCAGACAAGGATCTGGAGATGGCAGACACAGTGTTCGATATTGGAGAATACGAAGTGCAACAAAATTACCAGATGAACCACCGCCCGCAGCATCGATGGTTCTATCTTAGCGAGCAGAAGACAGATGAGATCACTATCTTCCGGCAGTATGATTCGGAGATCGGGCATGGTTCTGGTATGTATATGGCACGATAGATAAGCCGAACGGAACACTGACTGTGAGAAGGGGTGCCTCACGTAGCGCTCCCGGATCCGAGTGTAGACAGTAGCGCAGAGCTGCGAGGGAGTATTGAAGTGCAATGTCTAGTGTATTGGGATAGTGTATAGCGATGCAAACAAACATATGATATGTGTATATTGCTGCTGCATTTCTGATTGCACATTTTACTAGACTCTAGTCCAGCAAGATTTGGAGGGTCTACCCCGTGTCCTATGAGAAACACCTCTCCCGGCGCAAAACCATGCTCGTCCTTTGAGACGGCAGGCTGTCCTTGTCCTGCTTCTCGTCCGGCGACAGGTTTACTCTCTACAAGTTTCACCCAAAGTTGTATCTTCGCAGATCGTTCCTGACAAGGACTTTGCGATGTTGCTGAGGCTTGGTCGCCGAGAGAAGTAGCTTGTGTTAGACATGTAGGTGCCACAGTAGTAATCGGTCTAGCTTGAGTGGCGCCAGCTAGACAAGCTATCAATATTGGTGTTACTAAGTGAGAGCTAAAGAAGGAGCTGGCTGTTACAAACCGAAGAATAATGCTTTTAGATGGCTTAAACGTTTCTCAGAAGCTTCCTTGTAGCGTATGTGAGATCCGAAGAGGGCTCAGAATGCTTCTAGTTGGTGCGATTGCCTGATCCGGCTCTAGTGCCCGGAAGGACTAACTCGGGTACACACATAGAAGAGAACGGACTAATGACGAGTTTTGATTAATGCTTTCATGTCAGGTGGCAGCTTTAGAGGAAGGAGTGAGGCTCTTTCAGGCGGTCGAGAATTTCTCGTGTTTTGAACGGGCCACACTACTGATGTTTATTGACTTCGACTTCTATCCAAAGCTAGAATGGTCATTAATATATGTTGAATTTCAAGGACTGTGTTGTGTCGTAACTTTGTGTGCCTAGCAGAACGCTCTTCCGCCACCGAAAATACCCACACTCATTATCAGAAGCCATCATAAATGAGGTACACACATGACGCTAAGAAGCAGGTTGACGATGTTCATCACCCCAACCCCCAAAATAAGCCCGCTCGCTGATTGGGAGCTCCTCCATGCGCGAGTGACGTCTGCACAACCAGGCGACCAGACCATCCACTACCCCGAGGAAGCGTATAAGCGGGCAGAATATAGAGTCCTAGAGTTTCTGATCAGTTTCAATCTGCAGGGTCCAGTGTAAAATTGCATACCGATTCCAAGAGCAATGCCACTTGGTATTTGGTCTCTCCAGCGCTAACTATCAAGCGCGATTCTGCTAGTGGCACTCAAGACTGACAGTGCAAACGCAACAACAACAAATGGCAACACTCCTTCCGGAAGACCTTGGCCGTAGATTAGATTCGCAGTTGCGAGCCATAATTGTGCTTGTGGCACGCGAAACTGTTCGTTTGGTATCGTGTAGACTAAAGTGTACAATCTATAGCCGCAAGTGGCCTGTACAGCTCCAGCGGATGATCCGATGACCTGGCCGTAAAAGAGATCTTTTGGAGATGCTCCAACTAGGTGCCCGGTCTTGAAGTGTTGCATTACATCACTTGACTGGTAGATTTCCCCTTCAGCGATGCTACCAACAAGCAAGCTAATGATTGATGGCGTTGGGATTCGATCTTGGAATAACGAGCGTAAACAAAAACTGGGACACTTTGCCTATGAACAGTTTAGTGGTTTTGACCATATGTGAGTGTCCCATTCGAGCACAGACCTAAACTTGAAGCTAGTGAATTGTCTGTCTCGCCCGTAGATCGTATACTTGCCATACCCAACGGGGGTATTACTATAATGGCAAGAACAATTTGCAAGACGGACAGCAAATGTTCGAAGAGGTACCATGCGATGAGTAAAGAGAACAGAGAAACGCCAGCTAACCAAAGCATAGAAGCGATATTTGACAAACGATCTGTTGGTGGAGCATCATCCAATGGTTGTAAGATGGCATCGGAGGTCGCATAAGATTCGTTTTGAGGCGCTACACCTAACAGCGGTGTGCGTTCTTGTGCCTCCTGAAACCGGGATTCTAAGACATCTCGACTCCTTGGGGATTGGCTTGTCGAAAGGTAAGCTGAAATATGTTTGTTGTACTTAGAACTGAGTCTTCTAACGAAGTTGTCTCCCTCAGCGGGCTTTCTTAGAAGTGGCCGAAGAAGCGTCCAGCCAATTCCCACAATCGAATCGCCAAGGAGTACTCCTAAGGCGTCCATATGATCCACCCTTGGCTCCCATCTTGCAATTGATCAACTGGGCCTGGCGCCCATCCCTTCTTTTTGGCAATAGGCGATAGAATTCCCCATCCTATGACTGTGCCAAGGAGCATATGAGCCGACACCATTGGACGTATGATCATGCCATGTCCAACCCAGGCGAGAGATGGATTGAAGGCCCACGCCCAGTCACGCGCTGCTGGAATGCCAAATATGGGAACCTTTGCAATGCTCGGCATAAAATAGAAAACCAAAGCCTATAAGAAATGTCAGTCAATTATGGAATTTTTATCGGAGAAGCTGGACTTGCGACTTACAGAAAGGCCTGACAACCCGAATGACACCATCAATTTTAGTCGATGTGTGAGAGACACTTGATAGCTTTCTTCTGGACCATGTCCTCGCCAATAGAGTTGTGACCTTCGTTGTCGATCTGAATGAGCTGATCATCACCCGAAGGCAGTTCTCTTTGCCCTCCTATCCCTGATGGTGGTTCTCTAGACTTCACAACATGAATTTTCTTTTCTTGAAATTGATCTCGCCTGATTCTTTCAGTAATATCTGGCCTTTTATAAAGCAAGCCTATCATCGCCGCCATTGCTGTCCCCGCGGGAAACCGCAGTGGATCACGAATAACGAAGAAAATATCTCAATGGCGCAGCAAACACAGTGCCAAATAAACAAACACCCGACCAGAGAATCGAATGTCATAGAGAAAATTTCATCGGACCCTTGTCCCTTGGTGTGATCAGATATTCAAGAGCTGGAATTATACCATCGAGGCCTGCTGTAACAGGCATCGCTCCCATTGAAGCCGCAATTGTCATCACAAGTACATTTTCCATAGGCGAGTACGGTGTACGTAAATATTTTGAGATGGGTTGGAAAACAATGTATCCCAGTAATGCTGAAGGCAAAGGCATCGAGTTGTTCAACCCAACTTGAAGCCGAAAGTAGAGATTAGCGAAACATATCATGGCCCCGATCAAAAGTCCCGCAATCACAGCCCGTAAAGTAATGGTGCATTCTTCGACGATTTTTGCATGCGTTAGGAGAGAGGGTGAGGTGGACCTCGCGGGAGGAGTTGCACGCGTGTGCTCCGCGGAAGTTTCGTCGACGTTGCCATCATTGCCGTTCAAATTGATTTTTGACGACATATTGTGTCTGACGGAAGTGTCCTGCACTGAGTCACTGAATCGACTTATTCCACTCGCGTACTTGATCTATCGAAGGAATACGGGGATCGAAACTTGAGAGTACATATATGCATTACCTCAATGTGTCCCTGGGTGACATTTACCCACTATCCGTCAGGTGAAGCAACTACGTCTTGGAAAGCTCTTGCCTCTCCAGATGGGGAAGCAGAAATGTACAGAGATCCCAGATTCCAACCAGATATGTAATGAAATATCGTGGCTCATGTGCAAGATCGTTTCGGAAGTTGGGTAAGTTAAGCGGAAGGAGGAAGGCTGCAGAAGGCGAAGTGATCGGAGGAGATATCTGATCACCAATAGTTAGCTTGCCTCATATCAAACATATTCAATAATATCGCTCACAGACGTTGCTACTGCACCTTTCCTTCTTCTTTGGCAGAATGTAACAATGCCAGGCTTTCAGGTCCTCTGTAGAAGATATATGGACTGCACTGTTGCACTCGATAGCCGGAATTGCACAATGCAGTTGTGATCGCCCACCCGCACCAGAACCGGTTCAACGATGTGGGAGCGATGACATTCGATTCAGGACTGGGATATTCGGTTTGGAGGTGCTTTCTAAGAAAGTATAATAATATAGATTTATATTGTTGACCAGAAATCCTGCGCTGATGTAGGTTTCGAGTATTTCGGGATGGACACCGCAACGAAGCTTGAACAAGATGAATGCGGCAGCTTCTGCTCAGCAGCAGCGAATTTTCAAGATATGAATTGGATCTCCTTGCATGACACTGCGAGTCTTGAAGATAAGTCTCGTTACATCACAATTAGCTCTGAATTCTGGCGGAATGGTGTGAGATAATCTGAACTTACGCAAGAAAGAAGAGACTTGCTGTGTCATGGTTGTCGACATTGTGAGTTGGCCTGTCATTGCGCTCGACGTATTCTTGTTGATATGACAAGTAGATGGAGTTGCGAGATAACTGTTATTGATTAGGAAATCGCAGGAATTGCTAAAGCGCAAGATGCAAGAGAGCGCAAGTAACTCCTAGTGAACTTCTAGCAACCTGGGAGTATTTAGTATTTGCAACCTCTAGATTTGTTAGAAATGTACAGCTTGTGTATTATTGCCACTAGTGGGTTGGCAAATGCTGGTTTGGAAGGCGTGGGACATATAAGTCGGATAATTTAGCCGGCCTGCCTTTGCCTCGACTATTCATAAATGGCAATTTTGGCATCATTTTCCGCGATCGGAATCTCCTTGGTACTTTTAAACGTCCACGGAATAGTGCTACTCTGGGGGTGACTATGGTTGACACGACCTGCAGAGGAAAAGCGAGCCTTCTTCAGTCTACCGAAACATTGGCCAGTCATATTTCTAAGAGTGCAATTTCCGCCTTCAGTACCTATCTATACCGTGTAATTCTGTGCATATGTCCCCACTGTGGTTGTTCCTAATATGGTTAGGTCTTTCTGAGCAGCCTTGAAAAATGAATCCGAGTGATACAGACATACCAACATCGTCACAGAAAGGTTACTACAAAAACGTGCGGATGGCTTGATCGAAATCATTGCACGTTGTTAGCTCTGCGCAACAATTGAGATCTGATGTTTGCGTTCACTGATATTTGGGAAAGTTGTCTCACAAGTCAAGAGGGGCCACAACAAATCTATGTACTGTATGTATATTTGCTGCGATGCGTATGTACAGGTTCTATGTTCTGGATGGCCTGAGGCGATCAGTTTCTAATGAGTGTGGTAAAAAGAGCGTAAAGAGCGTCGGACGTCCGAAGAGCGTCAAAAATTGCCAAAAAAAAAAAGCAAAGCGTAAAACACAAAAGAAAAGCAGCCATGATCGTTGACTGCAGACACCTCTCCTCATCCGTCTTCATCCTATGACGTTGCCATGTCTGGATCAAGAAATATGATCTCTTCCCACAAGGCAGAGAAGATTCACTACCAATTCAAAGATCCGTAAGATCCCAATCAATAACGATCAGCTTGCGAGGTTGGACGTGCACAACTTCAGCTTCTCGCTGTCTTCTCTCCAACTCCTGTTGCCACTTTCTCTCCAACTCCTGTCGTCTCTTGCTTGCCAAAACCTCCATGTCTTCTACGAACAATCTCCTCTCAACCTTCTTTGGCTCGGCTAGATTGACAGAAGAAGAGCTCTGCAGCGTACACTTCTTAACAGCGAGATCGGTCATCAAGTCGAGCATTGGCTCACTCTGGTTCTTGGACATACGCGATGGTGACTGGCCTCGAACTCTCGACATGACTTGGATGTTGATCTGTCGTCGTCTGGAGTAAGACAGGTTGCCGGATCGGATGCCGAAATGACCTTGATCTTGGGAGGTAAATTGGCCAGCAAGTTGGTCATATTTAGGACAATTCGTGATAGGCAAAGTCTCTTCCTTGTTTTTACTCCACATGCTCGGAGAGAAGGGTCGGAGTTCAGCTGAGGTATTTGCGGCGGAAGATGGAGACCAAAACGGATCTGATTCATCATCACAGCTAGCTTGAACGTTGGGAGGCGTAGAGGACATGGTGTCGATTGAGCTCTTTTCGCTCGAGTCGTATGCGCTCATGCTATCTTCGCTGTATGGTTCGGAAGGAGGAGTCTCCAAGCTTGCAGCCGTATGGGTATCAATAACCGGGGTGAGTGGGATCTTGGAGAGTTTCAACTGCTCATATTCAAGTCCTGTGAAATGTTAGCAAATACTTTGAAAGTGAGTCAGGCGTAACCTACCCTCCACGTACTCGCGAAGACCTTCCTGTTCCTTCTGCACCATGAAGGCGAGAGTCTGAACGCACCAACCATCCAACTCCGGTGCTTCATCTAGGAAGAAATGTTAGTGCATAGCTCCTTCATCAGGATGGACCTACTTACAGAGTATCTGATGAACATAAGGGTCCAGGACGTCGACACTGAATTGGTTTACATCTTCGAAGCGACCGGCCATATCAATCAAGAACGCAACTCTTTGTCTCGTCGCAGAGCGCGTAAAGGTGTTGGAGAAGAACGCGTAAACGCCATTCTCGGGCAACTTCGCAAGCTTTCCCTTTTGATGCAAAGTCGACAGCATGCGCATGACTGACTGTAGGAAGAGCACATCGTATGCACCCAAGTCTGTGAATGTAAGGGCAGAGCTGACAATGATTCCCACACGAGCTGGATGGACGCCTTCGCGAAGCTTCTGGTTCAAGAAGACCGTGGCCTCGGCCCAGTAATGTCGCGGATTCAGCTTCAGCGGGATGAGAGTCATGACACTTCGCTCTTGCAGCATCAAAGAAGCTACCACACGATCAGTTTGGTATCAATGGTGAAGGAGCAGATGGTACTGACGAAAGAATCCATCGGGTATAGCCGTAATAGGCTCGATAGAGGATGCCATGTTGGACGAGTTGGGATGAGGTGGAGCTGGTTGAAGGTGAGAAGCCTTGCGCTTCATTATCGCGAGTAGGAATCGGATTTTTTGGCGTCGCGAAGTACGTAGGCAACGAAGAGACAATTATAAAGGCACAGAAGGGTGGTGACAAGTGCACCTCGATGGTTTCCGCGGTTCTTGGAAACTTTTTCGAGATGGGGTAAGGGAGGAGAATTTGGGAGACGTTGGAAGGGGAGACGATTGATGATGTAGACAAGAAGGCTCGCCAAACGCGCTAGTGGATCCGGCTGCGCATCTGAATTGAAGGTGAATTATTTTGGTTTATGATCAACTTCAAAAATACACATTGTTCTAATAGTATGAAAGTCTGGTTTTCTTGAATGGGCCTCAAATCAATTGCTTATCAGCTGCGCTCGTGATGTTATGCTGTGCTTGCCAAGCGATGTTGAGGCGACGGAAAAGGGGGGTGGATCACGTGAATACTTCGTCCTTCATTCTTTCCTACCTAAGTTCGGAGGGAGCTTTGACCAACAAGTTGAGAAGAGCACAGTAGAAACTACGGAGTTGTGGGAAGATTTGAGAAGTGTACAGACCCTTTGCTTATCGTTCGATTGCCAAGTGATACTTGATAACCAGGAACCTAGGCGTAAACCTCTCTCATGATCCCAGATTATGTTCCCCAAATATGATAAGCAATCCACCTGGTGTGCAGTGCTTCCGTGTCTGATGTTGAATATTCATTTTCTTTGGAACTGGTTTGTGATGTAATCTTGCAATGAGTCAGTTTGAGCACTGTTATTGGTGTGAGCCAGGTAGGAGGACAGGTTGATCAACAGCATCTGCTGTCGCAAAATTATGAGTGTAAGACAATTAAGATGGTATTATAATACGATGTCATCCTATGTCATACCACCCTTCGACTATGGCAAATAGACTCAGTTTCTACAAGCTTGAATATTATATTCTACTAGGAACATTGGTAAGTCAGGGTCTGTACAAGGCTGGAGTGGCCAATCGAAAGCAAGTCGTAAGTCTGTTGTCAGTTGTCAGTCTAAAAATGGAAGTTCTGTATGATGTATACCCCATCAGATTCAAGTTGAGAGCACAGCGCCAAATCACAAGCGCCATAGATTTCATGATCATGTGGCCAGTCACACTGGATGGACATCAGGTCTTCCATTTATGTTTATTTGAGTCAGTAGACCGTATTCTATGCCTCAAAGCCAGACATACGTATGGTCCGTTGACGCCTTGTCTTCTGACCCAGCGCGTTGGAAGATGATAATCGCAAGGAAAGAAAGCAGTCTTCAGATGCCTGAGATTTGTGCTCCTCAGGAAAAGCAATCTAGAGCACTAGAGCCAAAATATAAGGGCGGCCTCCTCCACTCCTCAAAAGAGGGTCTGTGTAAGATTGCAGGAAAAATGACATGAGAATCAAGCTGCTCAAGTTTCATATCCTCGCTCTGCTCCAATTCACCCCTGTTCCCTTTTTGATCCTTGGTATCCTTCGTGTCCACCACATCCGACCAGCCTCGAACGCCATTTGGAGCCCCAATCGCAGCTTTCAAACCCTTATCTTCTCATAGGTGATATTAAATATACTGCTTGTATTTATTAGTATCCTTAATGATGTGATATCTCCCATTCAAGTACCACTTGGTCGGAGGAATGGGCTCCTCAGCTGGCTTTTGTCCCGAGTATTTGAGCTCCCTACGCGCGTCGGAGGTGTCGAAACTATTGTATTTGTGAGAAGCGCGGCTGCTGCTCTTGGAACTCGTGACTCTCATCCTGTGACGATGGATATACAGCCGCAGACGGACATTATGAATATCCTAAGTCATAGTTGGAGTGGGACGGAGGTGCGGACTGGTACTCGTGTTGTGTTGCGCTCTGCGATCATGAAATTACACAGCACCGACTGCTTCAGAGCTTCCAGATCCTATATATGAATATCCATTCCAACTCTGCTTCTCTCTGTAAGAATCGCCATCGGGGTGGATACAGCTTTAATCCCATAGTCAAGCAGCCAAGTCCTGTCAACATAATGATACAACCCACCTTTTCATCCGACCTTCCATCCAAGTCACTTTTTCCATCTGATCTTTGACTTTAATTCACCTGCTAGAGTGGACTTCGCTTGGCCTAGTGGCCCCCAGAGGCCATGTATACCAGTCCTCGATGCGCCTTCGACTCGATTTTCTTCTTCCAAATACATCCACCTCCACTTTGCGCATCCACATTCAAGACTTCGTACACGTCTACACGATACAGTAATAACTTGCGCAGCAGTACCGATCAGCTATTCCAATTCAACTACGAAAAGCGCATTCCCAATCACTCAATCAGAAAGTCTCAAGAACACTCCTTCAACATAATCCAAGATGTCTTACTACGGCAACGAGTATGATTACGAGTATGCCCGCCAATCTGAGCTGGAGCGCGAGTACGAGTACGAGCGTGCTCTTCGAGCCGACCGCAAGTACTACGAGCAAGGTAACTCCTCTGCAAGATCCTCTTGTGTTTGCGCTTACTAACTATAATTCCATAGTCCATCGGAACGAGGTCGATAACCATCGCGCTGATATGCGCCGTCGTGAGGAGTATGCGCACAAGTACACCAAGGCTGCTTGGATGGAGGAGCAAAGAGACAGAGTCGCAAAGAGTAAGTAACTTCTATTCTACTCAAATGTAACCGACAGATATACTAACTAAAACTTCAGTCAACCCCGACTGCTTCTACCGAGGCGGTGATCGATTTCATAATCATCTGAACGATGAACTCGAAGACGCTTATCGGCTGGGTATGGCTTACAACCCAGAGCCAAGTCGTCGACCACGCAGTTCTAGTCCACGTCGTGCTGCGCCTGCTCGCCGCAATGCATCTGCCACTCGTAGCGGGTATCCTCCATTCAACAAGACTGCCTCTCGCTATGATCCTGCTTCTCGTGATGAGTCCGGCGCACGTGGTAGATATCCTCCACTCTACAAGCCTGCCAGTCGCCATGATCCAGCTTCTGTCCACGACACTGCTCTGCCTATCGCCTACTACGAGTCTTCCTCGGAGTCGGACTCATCTTCCAGCAGTGAGGAGGATCTCACCAAATATAACGATGACTACTCCAAGGGCTGCAAGGGCACATGCTACATGCCTCTAAATGGTGCTTCCAAGCCACCAGAGAAGCCTTTCATTGAGGCTCGGAATCACTTCAAGGGTCGTTGTACCATGAAGAAGAATTTCACCGACGAGAAGCAATATACTGATTACAATCAGTACTGGGAGGATGAAGCCATGGCTATCGCCACTGACCCAAAGAACCTCAACTGGGGTGATGCTCTGGGCGATTGGAAAAACGAGTATACCGAGTACGGCGAGGATTGGGAGAAGGAGGCTACGGAGAAGGCTATGAAGAGTAAGGGCGATGAGGACTGGGACAAGGGGACGGATGTTTGGGATGGAGAGGAGGAAAATTAGGGAGGGATTTGAGGAGGATTTGTTGAGGGTGTAATTTCGGGAGCCGTGCATACATTAGGTCGCAGTCATCAGAACATGGAGGAAATGCAATTTTTGGATTTTTGCTTGGTGTGGACGATGTCTACCAGCCCACAATCACGGTAGCTTCTTCTGCTTCCAGAAATGAATACATATGAGACTTAACTCTCTGTAATGGTCTTAGAAACATTATCTTGATTCCATTATCTGTCCTACTGAAAGTCTACCTTGCCTGTGCTTCCAAACTTTCACTTCTCTCCTTAGTAAGTGGCCACAGATAGCGCCTTGAATCTATGGCAATGATGAAACATTTAAGCAGGAGCTTTGAGGGAAGTATATTGACACATACCGTAAAGAACTGGTGCACCAAAACGATCTACCTACCTCTATGGCTCAAATATTCTCCGTAATCCTTCCAGAACTCCATTCCATGAGCGTTAACTAAAGATTTATATTCCAAAACTCTCTTCTAAAGTCTGTCTTAGAGGTAGGACAATCAAAGGCTAGTTCAGACTATGTTCAAACTTGAAACAAAATCGGTTCGCTTGTAAATTCCAACTTGCGCCGACTACTTTGGGACTAGCGTAAACTTTCACAGCATATACATTCGAGCTCTTGACTTGAACTTCATCCTCTTCATCTGACATCTGCGCGCGTCTTCACGAACCCATTCGAGGAAGCTTTGAACCTTCAACGACAATCTTCCTAGCTATTGCAACCACTCTTTTCTACACCATCGCAACTTCTACGCAACTCGACCACACCTTCATATCTCTCCGACTCTGCAACTTCATTTCACACATCAAGATGTCAGACTACACAGCCATGACGGGTTATACCCAGCGCGCGAAGTGGTACCAGGAGAGATTGGAGTATTACCGCGAGGCGTATCCAAGATGCTCCACCGAGGCACTTCACGAGAAAGTGCGCATGCTTGAATTCACAACTCCAGACCCAAGTGTTCAAGGTAGTCAAGGTATGCTTTCGTGTATGCTCAGCTTGGGAGGCTAATGCTCATACGTTGATACAGACAACGCCAGCGAAGCCGACCGCCGTGCGACTCGCGCCGAAGAATTCCGCCGCCGCCGAGTTGTCCACGAGGAGCAAGAAGAGATGCGCCAAATGCGACTTAGTAAGTTTGATTCAAGCCTGCTAAAGTGTCTTCAACTAATTGAATTTAGACAGAGAGCATGAACAGCGCACATTGGCCCGGCTTCGCTATGAGGTGCGTGAAGCGATCAGACGTTATGAGATCTACGATAGAAGACTTGGTAAATCTCCTTACCCAGGATGAAGAATCTATACTAATCTTATGGTCTTCCACAGAGCGCAAAGAGACTGACTACATTGCCGCTGAGGAGCGCTACTATCGCCGTCGTGGCTATGGAAGCGAGTCTCCTCAATCTGTACCATCTCACATGCGATCTGATTATACCGACCGCCTCCACCCCGAAGACATACTCACAGGACGATCTCGTTACGATAGAAACACTGGTCATAATCTTGCTCGAAACGAAGACGTACCGCGATCTCTTTATCCTGAATACCGATCCCGAGGCCGTGATGCTCGCGAGCTGTCTCCTCGACGATACAGAGATCGAGAGTATCGATCGCGAGATTATGAACCTCGATACCAATCTCCACCACGAAGATCTCGTTATTCCGAGTCTCGTACTCGCTACTGAGCACGGAGGGTCTACGGACTGGTTCAGCGGAGATGTAAAGACAGATCGAGATGGACATGGACATGGAACCACAGAGAGGGACTGATGGTAGATCTGAAGGCGTATACATAGGAATCGGATCCGTCCATTCGACGACCTGCTGAGGCGGCTTGGAGGGTAGATCTTTTGACACTTGGCGCCTGTGCATTGTGGCAGCTTTCTTTCCGCTGTTGGGGGGCTATTCTTGGCAGAGATTTCTATAAGATAGCAGCAGGATGACTTCTCGGTTACTCCTGGGAATTGCGATTATTGAGCGTGTGTGCCATAAAACAGAATGAAACAGTCATGAAATCTCTGCTTGCTTTGTCAGAAACCTGATTTTATTGCTATCTACGCCATACACAAATCTTATCATCAAGGGGTTTCGTCCCCTCGATATTTACTGATGCCAATAATTGAGAAAATGAGACGCTAATACTCCAAATGCTTTCCCGTGTTTTTCGAGTAGAAAAAAGGTACACGCAAATAAGGACATAGCTGTCCCAGATTCTCCGTCAAAACGCCATGAAATCAAATCCGCTAAATCTTACAAGAACAAAAACGCCGTCAATCATACCATAAGTTACCATCACTTCCCAGACTTTCTACCAGCAAACGCAAAACCGCCAAAGTTTGGAAGAAGAAAGGTCTTCCGACCGGTACTTGAACTTGAAGAGCCCCCATCTGTCATGGTGGTGGAGCCCTTCGAGTGGCTTTCTTCATTGGGAGAACCTGCTGCGGGATCGGAGCGACGCTTCAATCCTTCAATTGCCAGCTGGTATGCAGCGTTTTGCTCATTGGCCTCATTCATCATTGCAATGTTCTTTTGATGAAGAGCTAAATCGAACACAGGCTCTGTGATGGCTTCCTCGGCAGCTGCTGGCTTCGGCTCGTTGATCGCGGTCTTGGCTTCGTCCTCCTTGGTTACCTCATCAATCTTGAGAGAAGCAAAATCGGGGAAACGCTCTGGAAGATCACTACTTTCATCAACCGATGTATTGTCCTTCTTCATGGATCGGGGAATCGAAATATCCGGAGACTTGGTTTTGCTTGGTCCGCCTTCCTTCGCGTTGCCAACCGTAGCAAGGGATGTGGTGTAATGTTCGCTGGATCCGATAACCAAATCGTCTGTGTGTTTTAAGAGTGGGCGAACATCTCCAATGATTTCCGACACCATTCTCACTCTAGATGCCTTTGCATTCTTCTCGGACTCAGTAGCATTCATGACTTGTGTCGGTCGTGCAGAGTGAGTGCCAGTGCTTGGTAGGACATGCTTCGTACCGAAAATCTTGTGAGGCTCAGAGGGAGGGCTTCGGATCGTGGGGTTAGGCATACTAATTGCCGCACCTGGATCATGGGCTACAGTGGGACTGCGACCATTCTTTGTGATAGAGTTTTGTGGAAGGACCTCGATATGTGCAAAAGTCGAACCCAATTGAGGAATAGAAGTTGGTGCAGGTGGCGTAAATAGACGAGTTTCTGCATTCTTGTCACTTCCCTTTGCCCCGTTCTTCTCGGCCTTCGAAGATTTCTTGATGAACTTCTTCTTCAATATTTCCTTCGTCTTGATTGACCATTTGACTCCTTGCTCAAGCTCTGATGTGGACATAATGGAAGGAGTGTAAAGACCCTCCAAAGTACAAGCCATAAGAGAAGGCCACGCATTGTCGAATGGGACACTGGGGACAACTCTTCCGATTCGGTCTTCAAATAGACTTTGTAGCACGGAGTTCGAGAAAGTGCGTGAAAAGCCCGACATTCGGCAGCGCTTCAAGATTTTGGAGAGTTCCAAGATAGGGGCAACATTATCTTCGATTGCCTCAGGGACATATCGGGCTGTACAATTAGCCTGGCTTCGAATCAATTGATTCTGGGATTACTCACATTCTGTTCCAGGTCGACAGCCAACATAACCTCTTGCCATAACATGCAGTTCAGCCATGTGCATTCCATCTGCACGCTTCAACAACTCCTTCACATACGTCTGAACCGTTGCTCGGACCTTTGCAGCGACTTTGAAACTGAGTTGATCTGCATTCTTCTTAGCGCTGCCTGCCAAACGTGTGTAGTCTCTCTCAATAGTCAGTCTCTGAACCATCGAAAGGTTTTCAACGAGCCAGACATGAGACAATTGACAGGTAAGTGGTCCGGTGAACTCGTTCAAAGTAACGTGGAAGTGGAACTGGGACCAGAAATATGCCAGGACCTCAGTACGCCAGGCGTAACAACACTCAAGGAGGCCCCAGACAGGGTCCAGAACATCCCATGGCGATGCAAAGTAGTCGGCCGGAAACGCTGCCTCGGTCAGGCTTGGTCTCATAAGTGAAATCCTTCGGTCCTCGTGCGGAAAGCAGAGTTCGTAGATTCTTTGCTTGATCTTGAGTGGCAACTTAAACCAAGGAAACATAGGGCTGCTCAGATCGATCTTTTGCGTGGGATAAGGCTCGCACGGGCAATACCCATATGGACAATCCCTATCCTTAGAAGGACAAGCCTTGCCTGGATCCTTATACTCAAGACTTGGGATCAATCTCTCGAGTGCTAGGTCAAGATCGGCTTGTAAGGGAAGGTCATCGACGATCACCTTCAGATCGGTTTCTTGATCGAACTCTGGGATCGTGTATTCTTCTTCAATGGGCCTCAAGGCGCGTACCGGAAGGGTGGTCGAACGGCTACTGAAGCTGAATGACGAGGAGCGCGCGCCGGGAAGGCGGCCAAGGAGGGTTTGGGAGGAGTTTCTGGTCGACTCGAGGGACCTCAATGAGGCGCGGCTTGAACGACGGAGAGGCACTGGAAGAGTTAGCAGGGGATTCATATACTTGTCGACAAACTTACTCTTGAGGCGATTGCTGTCACTTCTGTCCAATTTGTGTTTCCATCTAGTCAGGACTCCTCTCATCTTTCCCAGTCTGGCTTTGGGAGATCGCGCCTTGTCCGAAGCGAGGAGCGATCCCGCTTTGGGCTTAGCCGCTGATGACTTCAATCCCATGATGGCAATGGCAAAGGCAACCTTGGAAAGCAAATGATTGCGAATTGTTGTTGTCGGAAGTCGTATGTAGGAGGAGAAAGCAAAGGGAAAAAATTTGGAGATCTACCTAGGTAAGGTCTCCGCTAGTCTGCAACGACTTATAGCGGAGCGGGGGTCACATGACCAAGTGCAAGCAAAACAGCACTCAGGTAGTGCAGCTGTGTTGGGGATTGCATGACTGGAATGTGGTAAACTAATTTCAGCAGATCATACATCGGACAGACTGGGCACTCCGATAGATAGACACTTAATACAGTCAAGAAAGGTGTATAAAAGTCGACGAGACAGCAGAAGAATTCGACTAACATAAACGGTGCTACCAATGTCCATTACAAGTAAAAAGGTCGTTATACACTTGCAATCCTGCATTATGCTTAGGGTTCCAAATGCCACTTTAGTGAAATGTGAACATGGTCCACGTTTCGAACTCCCAATGTAAAAGCACTTTTGACTAATGGAAGCGCAGTTTCAGATGCTTTACGTAGACAACAGCATCTTCTAACAGGAATGTCCGTTTGTAAGCATAGATTATGAGCTACTAAAGACTATGATATGCAAAAGCTAAGGGGGCATTGACATACTATGCCATCCATTGCTGATAGACAAAGCCAAGTCGGCATGTGTCTTTCAGCGTTAATGAGTGCAAGACTTTGCGCATGATCATACCTTTCAAAGCCTCTCGGCAATGCCAAATCTACATATTCACATAGTAGTGTACCATAGAGTGGTTGTAGATATGTCTAAGTCGTTACATGTCGATGTGTGACGTGTCCTGACGAGAGGGACACCCGACTGGGCATCATTAGCTTGGCCAGAACAGTACCGTCATGAATAAATACTCGATTTAGAGGTTGCACTCGATACATCACTATGTAAATACGAAATAGACATGTTAAGAAGCTTGGAGTTGCTTGGAGTTGCTTCGAGGCGTAGTTGAGCGATAATGTTGGTCACGGTTGTCGTCTGCAAAATTTGAAATGGAAAGCCATGGGCCGACCGGGATCATCGGCAGAGGTTTTTCCGGTGCGTCACAAGAAATATTTAACCCTTCTCCCATACACAACAACAAAAAGATCTATAAGTTGAGATCAAGATTCCTCCGCAAGGAAATTATTGCAGACCATCTGCCGACACAATAAACAACCTCTAAGCAGCCTGAACTCCTCCCTACCTGTCCCGCCATGTCGGTCGCAGCACCAGCCAATTTCAATGCTGAAGAGGCAGATAACCTCGAAGATGTATGGGATGCCCTTGGACATTTGCTGTGCAGCACGATACAAATTGCTAATACCCACGCAGATTGAGAAGCAGTTCGCTGTCAAAGGTATGCGCCCCTATAGGCGGTTCGTTTCCCCTATGTCGTCTACCCCGCCACTGACCCCGCCATCAAGCCGTGCAACACTTGACTACATACTGGGCCATACTGGAGAAGGTTCGCGGATCTTCTCTGAGGCTTACAAAGATGGACGATGATATCTACGAACACCTGAAAACCGACTTCCCTGAATTCGACCCTGCGGTTCCCCTGAATGAGGACGAAATAAAGAGCAAAACCGGCAAAGAACGTTGGCGAAAGTTCATGATGGCATACGAGAAGAAGATCGATGATTACAGCTTCGGCACAATAGTCAGAACGAGCCCGAAGACGGAGTACGATCAAGAAGGTACCATCTTTGGTAAGATTGAGCTTGGCTGTCAAATAAGAGGAAAACTAATTATGTATAGTGCCTCGGATGCAGTTCTATGCCATCGAAATTGCTAGGAATAAAAACGGGTTGAATGACTGGATCTACGAGGATCACCAGAAGGAGTTGGCGAAGGCGAAAGAGGCCAAGTCGTGATGTTGCATCTCGACCATGCCATTGTACAATACCGATCCGACGAAGGAATTTTTCTGAGCATATTTGACAGAAGTATCCTTCAGTTAATGGCTTTCAGTTGGGCATTCTGCTAAGAGCGGTGGAATTTCTTCATAGCCAGGGTAGGTTGAGAGACTGAAGTATACCCCACATAGCGCCAATGCGATCCAAATGCCAAACAGCATGACATTCTCAAAATACAGAGGTCCACATTCAAGGCATTTCTACTCTACATCTCGGCCACATTGGTCAAAATCATACTACATTGTTCCGATGGCTGTTTCGGCTGCCAGCGAGTTGTTAGCCACAAATCCTGCTCGTAATCCTTGTTATCTTGCTTGCTGTGTTTTGCCCCTTCTCGAAAATCAATCAGATTAGTAAATGTCATCCGCTCATCTTTATTAGAAAGTTTCCGGTCCGATCTCGGTGGTAGAGTACCTGCAATCGGTATTTTCGCTTCGTTTTAGGAAACAATACTAAGGGGCCCCCGCCTTGAGAACAATGAAACGACCATAACTTCAAGCTTCAGTCTACAGAACCCATTGTTCTGCTGAAGAGATTGTTTGAAAGGCTTCATCAACCCCAACGACAATTTCACAAACATGTCTTCAATCAATTTCGTTCAATTGCATTCCTTGTTCATAATTTTCGACGCCACAATTGACCTCAACACACAATGACCCCTCAGCTATCTCAAAGCTTTGGCAGCTCTGAAGAAAGTCCAGCAACAAACCACAGTTCTATCTATATCGAGAAGACTAATGGGTCATCGCGTAAACTTCAACCTCTTGGAACGGACGAGAGTAACGATCTGAAACCCTCGTGGCGCTCGCTGTTTATTTTCCTCAAGAGAAGCCACGCTCCAGCAGTGGCCTTCGCTCTTACCTCCACCTTCATTTCAGCATGTATCAAACCTGCATCGGCCGTCTTCTTTGGTAAAATCTTTTCCGTCTTAACGAAATTCGGTGCGGGAACACTGGACACTCAGCAATGCCTCCACGAAATATCCGAGTGGTGCGTTGCACTTGTTTGCCTCGGTGGTTTTGCTTGGATCGTGGAAGGAGTCTTCTTCTCTTCGTGGGTGATGTTTGGAGAATTGCAGGCCAAAAGTCTGAGACTTCAAATGTTCGAAGGCATGCTGGATAAGAACATGGAGTGGTACGATCTACGACAAGACGGGGTTGGCGCTCTCATGATCCGAATTCAGACGTAAGCTTCACCTTTGACAGGCTCGGTGAGATACTAATAGTGCTATAGTCAAATACGGGAGCTTCAATTGGCTGTCTCTCAGCCACTCGGCTTCCTGACTTACGAAGTGATCGGTGTTGGCGCAGCGTTGGGACTTGCGTTCTACTTCTCCTGGAAGCTGACCCTTGTCATCATCTCCACATTTCCCATTGCTGGAGCCCTTCTATACTTTGTTTCGCTCAAACTGGGTCCCGCGATTGAGTCGCAAAAGCGCGAGCTCACACAAGCTTCGAAGTACGCCAACACCGCCATCACGAACATCAATACAGTCAAGGCGTACAATGGCCAAGATCAGGAAGTCTGGCAGTATGAAAGCACAATTAAGCGTGTAGCGATTAGTTACATGATTCAAGCCCGCACCAATGCTCTTCAGCATGCTATCATCAAGTTTATGATGATTGCATTGTTTGTTGAGGGATTTTGGTTCGGACTTTATCTCGTCAATAGAGGCGTCGACCCTGGACATGTCCTTACCACTTTCTATGCCTGCCTGAACGCCTTGCAGGCTGTCGAGGTCGTCTTGCCACAATGGCTTGTATTGACAAAGGGGATGTCGGCAGGTGCCACATTGGAGACCATCATGATCCAGATGCGAAATGGAAGAAAGATTACAACTATGACTGGGTCTTGTAAGCCAAAGTCGTGCCTGGGTGATATTGAGATTAATAAGGTAAGTTGTGGAATTGAATAACCTGGTACTATAATCATCATCCTCTGATACAATCTTAGGTCTCATTTACATATCCAGTAAACCCACAACAAACAATCCTGAACAAAGCCAATTTCTTCTTTCCAGCTAGTGAGACAACTTTTATCGTCGGGTCTAGTGGATCGGGGAAGAGCACCCTTGGCAGCTTGCTTATGAAGTACTACGAACCGTCCCGAGGAGAAATTCTCTTAGATGGGAATCCTTTACATATCCTGGATCCTGATTGGCTGCGCCAAAATGTCAGTTTGGTACAACAAAAAAGTGTTCTATTCAACGAGACTATCCTCCAGAACATCGCATTCGGTCGCGAACTTGCTCCAACTACAGATGATATTGTTGAAGCATGCCAGGCTGCTGACCTTGAAGACACACTCAAAGCATTGCCGCTCGGGCTGGAGACGGTTGCAATGTCCGGTGGACAAGCACTGAGCGGTGGCCAACAGCAAAGAATTGTCATCGCAAGAGCCCGTCTACGAAATTCTCCTATCCTCATCCTTGACGAAGCTACCAGTGCCCTGGACCAGACGAGCAGGGAAAGAGTTATGACCGAGATTCGAAAGTGGCGGAAAGGAAAGACCACTATCATCATCACACATGATGTTTCTCAGATCCATGATAATGAGTATGTCTACGTGCTTCAAGCTGGCACCGTGGTACAAGAAGGTTACCGGTCCAACCTTGCAGACAGACAATTCGGAGCTTTTGCTGCTCTGGTCGCAGCTGCTCAAACCCCATTGATACCTTTCGCGGATCAAAGAAGAAGTTCTGCACCCACCTCACCTGCAACACCTAGTAAATCTTCCTTTGACGAGCTACTACACTTGAACTGGAACCACGTCTCCCGGCCATTCGGCATGCCGAACTTATCACCTCGTACAGGAACCAGCGTCAACGTTCGAAATAGTCTTCTCCTCAGTGTTGGAGCTACTCAGGCAGATTCAACGTGGAATAAAAACATATGGTCGTCGCCAGTCATTTCGGATGAGGGATCCTTCAGCCCTCGCTGGAGCACTTCCACGCGTTTTGCTTCGCCGGAATCCTTATCAAGCAGGTTCTCTCGTGCATTTCCAACGATTTCCAATACGATAGACTCTACATTTAACGACCTCGAAGGTGCAAATAAGAGTCTATCTCAGCCCGAAGGCGCTGTCAATCCAAATCCAAAAGGAAACCGAGGCGAAGGATTTAAGCATCTACCTGAACTTGAGCTACCTCGACTTGAGTTACCTGACCTTGATCGTCCTGAGCATGAGCCACCTTTTCCAGTCGATTTATCGCCTCCATTATTACCTTTAAAAAAGCCTGCGTCGTTGAGCTTGATCTTTCAGACAGTCTGGCCAAATCTGAACTGGAGAGACAGATCGTGCCTCGTTCTCGGCTTCCTGGCAGCTCTGATCGTAGGAGCTTCGACTCCAGCATTTGCTTATGTGTTTACGCAACTGCTTGAAGTCTACTATCTCCCTAGTAATCGAGGTATGGAGGCACTGAAGTGGGCTTTGATTCTGCTAGGCATCGGTGTGGTCGATGCGGTGTCCGTGTTTTCCATGCATTATGCGCTGGAACACAGCGGACAAGCGTGGGTCAACAAGTTGAGAGTGGAAGCCTTGAAGCGAATTTTACGCCAACCACGATCATGGTTCGACAAGGAGAGAAATTCGGCTGCCAATTTGAATGCTTACCTGGATCGCAACGCAGAAGAGATGCGCAATCTGATAGGTCGCTTCGCAGGTCCTATCTTCACAACTTTCTGGATGCTGGGCATATCGCTTGTCTGGTCGATGGTCATTTCGTGGAAACTCACACTCGTGGCTGTGGCCTGCGGTCCAGCTATGTATGTTCTAATACAGGTTTTCAATCTTGTCAGCGGGAAATGGGAAGAAAAGTGCAATAAGGCTTCAGAGCATACCGGCAGTATCTTCACGGAGACGTTCTCAAACATCCGCGTCGTTCGGGCTTTGACCTTGGAATCATACTTCAAACGCAAGTATGAGAATGCCGCAGTTGATACCTATAAGATTGGGATGTCTCGAGCCATCTATACAGGTGCTTTCTTCGGTTTGGGAGATACCATGAGCTATCTACTCACTGCCAGCGTCTTCTACTATGGCGCCGTCATCATCACCAGCGGACAACTCGATGTGACTACCGTTCTTCAAGTCGTCAATCTTCTTATGTTTGGGATTGCTAACGCAATGGCGATGCTGATGCTTGTGCCACAGCTCAGTTCATCACGCACAGCGGCGACATACATGCTTCATCTCGCCAATCTTCCACTACACAATACGCCGGAGACCATGGGCAAGAAGCGATTGAAATCTCCGTTCCCAATCGCCTTCAGCAATCTCTCGTTCACCTATCCCCTGCAACGCAAACCCATCCTCCAGAATATTTCGCTCAACTTTCAACCAGGAACCTGCACAGGGATCGTCGGGCCTTCGGGCTCGGGAAAATCTACCATCTCATCCCTCCTCCTTGGTCTCTACACACCCAACCCGGCTCCCGTCGACAAGCTCGCGCCTTTATCCTTCGCCGGCGTGCCCATCACCCAATGCAATATGGCCAGCCTTCGTAACCAGATCTCCATCGTCGCTCAACAACCGCTTCTCTTTCCTTGTTCCGTCCTCTCGAATATCATCTACGGCCTACCAGAAGGCTCTTCTTACGCGAACCTCAATTCGGCAATGCAAGCCGCTCGAGACGCTGGTATCCATGATTTCATCATGAGCTTACCGAATTGCTACGCTACCATTGTGGGCGAAGGAGGAATGAGCGTCTCAAGCGGGCAAGCCCAGAGAATCGCTATTGCACGAGCACTAGTCCGACGTCCAAGGATCTTGATTCTTGACGAAGCGACCAGTGCACTCGATGCTATTAGTGCAGAGGCGATCCGACAAACTGTGCGTTTGCTGATTCAACGAGGAAAAGATGCCAGAGATGGTGGTGTAGCAGTGATCATCATCACCCATGCGGTCGAGATGATGCGGATTTGCGATCAGATCGTCATGATCGAGAATGGAAAGATGGTGGAGAGTGGTGGATTTGATGAGCTGAGGAGTAAGGATGGGGCATTTGCGGGGTTGATTGGGAGTAAGTCGGCGACCAAGGGGGACGCGAAAGGGTTGGGCATAGAGAGGATAGCAAGCCCGTGGAAGGCGAGGACTCGACAGAATTGGTTTAGACAGACGTCGTATTAGGGACGAGAGGATAGAAATACGATGCCCTTTGAAAGTATGAAATGCATTCTGTTGATTTATGTGTCTACTCCAGATTTTAAATGCCTGATGATAGCATTTCATGCGCAGTGATTCCAAGCCAGCTTCCAAAATCGATACTACCCAGACAGACCCTTATTTCTGAGACCGTCTCCGAAGGCAGTGCTACCCAGACTGCTACTCAAACTTTCATTGCAAAGAATGCGATAGGGAAAACCGCGCTCTTCACGTGATTGCCTTAGCTTATCTAGGTATTCCAAAAATTTTGCTTCACTTCACAACCCAACAACAAAGAACACGCCCAAAATCCCTCCCGCCCTCTGATTGGCCGAGATACCCTTAGCGCCAAAATTCCTGACTGCTGAACGCTGGAAATCTTTGTGGAGGGCCATCGTTGGCAACATGAAAAACTGCGACATGCAACAAACGAATTTAAGGTTTGGAGCTAAAATTAACCTTAAAACCTTAATTCTAGCTTTGTTGCGTGTCGCAACCACGAGGATTTTTGTTTCTCAACGAAGAACGTATACAAATAGAATACTGCGATATGATTGGTCCAGGGCTTCTTAGCGTGGAAATTTCCTGAAGGTGTAAAGTTTGGATTTTGAGAAACGTTTTTCGAGGTCTTGGGGCAGAGACAGATTTTGCGATGTGCAACAAAAGATTTTTAAGGTTTTAAGGGTATTTTTAGCGCCTACTTTATTTTCTGCCTGATGTTGCTTGAACAAATTGCTTCGCAACGAATACACATTCATTCTGCAAGCTCTCTGAGCATGTCAGGAGTTGAATCATGGTCCATACGTTTGACTTCGCTCGATCTAGAGATAGAGGCTCCATACACTTTGTACATCGCATCATCGATGTAGCCTGATTTCGTTTATGCCGCTCATCAAGCCATTCAAGCTGTACTGTGCAGTTGCGACCCGACAGAGCAACTGAACTTGGTTTTTTTTCGGCATGGATACACTCTGATCACATATCAGCATGCTTTACATATAATCGGACAGTTCTACCTAGTTTCTTAACTCTTTGTCCCCTTCTCTCCTAAGATCTTTGATAGTACCTAGATGTAGATGCATCCAGGAGAGGAGGTATTTTCAACGTTGAGAATGTTCGTTTGATTTCCGAGACTTGATAAATATACTGTTGAAGTATGTCAAAATTATTCGTTACGTAAGAATTCGAATATGAGATGATGTTGTTCTAGAGCTTGTCAGATGGTACATGGGAAACGTAGTTTCTTTGAGATAAAGAGACATTTACATCGTTCTTGTACCACTTTACAAGTCGAATCTTAATTTACACATGAGACTTAGCCTACTTATGTACTTATGCTGTCTCACAAACTGCGGAACAGTATTATCTTGTTCCCCAATTTTCACTGTAACGCATGAAGCACTCAAGTCCTGCTTAGTCTTTTTTAAACAAAGAAGAAGTCTGCTTCTGGGAAGCTAGCACGACGAGAAAGAAATTGTTGAGGAGTTGTGAAAGAGAAAAGGAGTACAAGGATTTTCTATCAGAGTTGAGGCTTCACACCCTCGATACTATGTACACCGCCAAAGAGTACCACCCGGTTGACTAGAGTACAGCTCGTTGATCCATCCATTCCAAAATTCATCACAGAATACCAAGACTTCCAAATATCGACGTCTCAGATTCTCCCGTGCATCCTGCTTCTTCTGTTCTCACGTAGCTCGCTTTGCCTCGTATGCATCATATTGTACACTCTTGTCAATCTCCAATATCTTGACCGTGAACTTTGGTCCTCCAGATACCTTCCATTTCGAGTCTTTGAACTGATCGAAAAGCTCTTGTGCGGTTTCATGCACAGTGTCGACTGTGTCATCATACTGGGCTTTGGGGACACGTGGTATGAACGAGTTGTTGCCCTTTTCCAAAGCCACCCGTCTCTTCGCCGCACTCGCTGTCGCTTTATGACATTTTTTGCGATCTTCCAGGGTGATGGCAAATTTCGAAGGGGGGACCTTATCACAACAGCCACATTCACATCCACGAGGGAGCCCATACTTCCCTACTCTCCCTTCGTCCCAATTTTTGATTCCGGGAGCAAGGTATATCATAATCCCATCCAGTGCAAGACTAGATAACTCGTGTTTGTAGACATTGAACTCCTTCATGGAGATAGCAAGTCGGCGCATCTTGGTCTCGGACATCAGCCTTTCTAGCGCGGAGCCCTTAGACGTCAGATCGCCTTCCCAATCAATGGAGTCGAAGCAACTAATTAGACAGAGGATATCGGATTGCCAGTTGATATAGACCTTCGGGCGGTTGATGTATTCTACCAAGTCGCTGAAACTGTGTGTACCGAGCTCGAGGCTATAATATTCCAGGCCAATCGGTGTGAAGAATTGAAGGAGCAATCCGTGCCGTAAGTGTCCTTAATTTGAAGGTGTCTTCTAATTCTTCATAGAACATCTCTCGTCGCTCTTCGCGACTCTCGTACCTGTCTTCTCCTTCATCACCGCCCTCTGCATCTTCGTTTTCTTCACCTTGGCCGTCTTCACCTTCGCTATATTCGTCTCCACCCTCTTCGTCTCCACCCTCTTCGTCTCCACCCTCTTCGTCTCC